CGAACCCCCCCCCCCCCAAAGAAAAAAAATTCCCCAACACCCCAACCCCAACACCCCAAACAGGAACCCGCCCCCCCCTCCCCCCCCCGAAAAAAAAGAGCGAGAGGCTGCCTACCTGCCTGCTGGCCCTTGGTTTCCCAGAACTGCCTGGCCGAGGCACTCATTCATTGCCCCAAGCCCGAAACCCTAAACCCTAAACCCTACACCCTACACCCGAGTTTCAGAGGCTGCCTGACTGGCTGCCAGCGCGCCGTCTGCCACAGCTGCTTGTCCGACGGAGGGGTTTAGGGTTTAGGGTTGAGGTTATTTATTTAGGGTTCAGAGCAGAACCCCAAACCCTACACCCTAAACCCTAAACCCCAGTTTCAGAGGCTGCCTGACTGGCTGCTGCTGCGACGACTTCCGGAAGGGCCTGCCAGACAGGGGTTTCGGGTTTAGGGTTTAGGGTCTAGGCTGGAGACTGCACTGCCTGGCGTGCCTCTGGCTCGTCTGCCATGTCTGCCTAGCCCAGGGAAAGGGTTGAGGTTATTTATTTAGGGTTCAGAGCAGAACCCCAAACCCTAGTGAGAGGAGACACGTCTGCCATGTCTGCCTAGCCCAGGATTAGGGTTTAATTAGGGTTTCGGGTTGAGATTTGCTGGGCTGCGAAGTCTGGCTCACTTGAGCAGTGCTGCGAGGGTAGCCTGTTTCTCTCTCTCTCTCTCTCTTTCTCTCTCTCTCTCTCTCTCTCTCTCTCTCTCTCTCTCTCTCTCTCTCTCCTCTCTCTCTCTCTCTCTCTCTCTCTCTCTCTCTCTCTCTCTCTCTCTCTCTCTCTCTCTCTCTCTCTCTCTCTCTCTCTCTCTCTCTGTCTCTCTGGCTGTCCCCCCCCCTCCCCCTGAGGCTGCAAGGACTTTCACTCTTCGGACTTTCAGTGAGCTTTCTGGCTTGCATTGGCTGCAGCTCGTCGGCTTCTGCCTGCCCGGAGCATGTCTCATTCACCAATTGGAGAGAGGTTTGTCTGGAGTGTGTGTGCACAAACACAGAAAGAGCACAAAGAACACAGCATTTTTTCCTGTCTCCTGCTGTCTTGCTGTCAACAGTATCTACCTGTCTGGCTATCTGTGCAGTGGCTGGCAAGGGGGCCACCCAGCTGGGGACTGGGGCCTCGTGTGGCTTGCAGCCTCGAGAAAAGTGAGGCCAGTGTTCATCTATCTCGCTTTCCATTCTCTTGTTGCAGGGCTCTTTCTGGCACTGCAAGCATGCAACGACACAGAAGTACGTCTTCTGACTGTCTGACCATCTGCCTCTGCCTGCGGTGGTGGACGTAAACCAGCCCTGTCTTGGGAATTTCGACGGCATTGTCTGTCTGGCTGTCTGTCTGGCTGGAGTACCACCAGCTGCCATGGCTCCACTGCCACGAGTCCTTCCACCACGACTTCGACTGGCTGTCTGCCTGGACAGGTTGCGGTGTCTGGTCTGGGTAGCTGTTTTGTGGCTGTGCGAAGACCCATCTTGCCCCGACTCGCACTTCTCGCCCTGGAACCGGAGCCTGCCTGGGAACCCGAGCCTGCCTGCGTTGTGGCTGGCTTTGGCAGACTGACAGCCAGAAGGCTGTGCAGCAGCCTGGCTCTGTCAGCCGGGTCCACCTGGCTGAGTGTCAGCTCGAGGTCTTGCTCACTGGCTGTGACCAAGAGCTGCACAGCGTCCTCCAGAGCTTTCTCTACAGTCTCAGTAACTAGCTGTCCGTGTCTGCGTCGTGGTCTCTGTGTATCTGTCTGCTTTCTCTACAGTCCAGCTGTCTGAGCAGCTTCGGCGAGTGCAGCTGCGACTGACAAAGTCTGACTTCCTCTGTCTCAAAGAAGCACTCCCCCCGGCCTGAACTTGCTGTGTTCGTCGACCCAAGGCGAAGCTGGACGGCCTGGCTGCAGAGGTTTTTCAGAGGACTCAGGTCATCTGCCGTGACTCGGACCTGGCTGTCACCTGTCTGCTCTGCAGGGAGTCACCTGCCAGTGGCTGCAAGCGAGTGCACAGCTCTCAGCAGAGATCAGCTGCATGAAAGTTCCCGTTAGCTGCAGGAGCAGGCCCCTCCAAGGCGGACTTGTGTTTATTCAAAAAAAGAAACTAGTTCATGACAAGGGCCTCGTTGTTCGTGGCTGGCTGGTTTCGCTCGGCCATCGCTCTGCCTCGCAGGCTGCAGGTTAATTAATTATTTTTCTGCTGCGGGGACCTATCGCCCTCAGCCGGCCTTGGCTGCCTCAGGAAGCTCAAGGGCTGACTGGATCGGAATCTCTGCCAAGAAAGGGCTGCGACTGTCTCGTCTTCGGCTTTGGGGTTTTATTAGGTTTCGGAACTCAGGTTTTAGGATTTAGACCCCCCCTAATTTTAAATATTTTTCGGGCCCAGACGAATTTCAGAATTGGGGGGGGGTTTTAGTATAAGGGAAAAGGGATTAGGCGAGCTGGTGTGTGTGTGTGTGTGTGCTTCACCCAAACTTCCGAAAGATGTCCATTCGGTCGGCTTCCTTTAGTTCATCCTTTAGTTCATAGGGCAGCAACGACCGGTTCACTACAACAGTACAGGAACGACTTGGTCTCCTAGCACTTGCTGTGGAAATCAAGCCCCGTAAAGCAGTCTTAAAGCCGATGTGGCACCTTGGCTTGTCGTGGCCTGTGGCCTGAAAACCACACACGTTTGTGGCCGGTTGTGGCCTGATGTGGCCTCAAAACCATCCGTTTCTGGCGCGTTGTGGCTTTGTTGTGGCCTCACGCGCGCAGTTTCCCTGCAAAACGTGGCATTTGTGGACACGCTATTGAAAAGGTTCCACGCGCAGCAGACGTGTCGACATGAGGCCAGATTTTTCTCGAGGACCCATCAGAATTTCAGTCTGGGCGTTTTCCCAAGTCGTTTACGTTTCCAAGAATGAACTATGCGCCGCTCAAGCGGCGTCGACGGAACGTTGGTTGAAGTAGAGAATTCACTGACACGGCGGATCCTCCGCTGCCCGTCACTTGCTTCAGTCCGTCTTCCTCTCTTCCTCTCTTTCACTCTCCAAGTCGCTCGCTCTCTCACTCTCTCGTTCGCACGCGCTCGCTGTCACAAAACATCGTTTGGCTTTCGCTGTAAAGAGCAGGCTCGACACCAAGCCAGCACTGGCACCGCCGCGAAGACAGCGTTACCTTTTGAATGCGTTGAGGTGGCAGACCACGTGGCATCGAAGTGCGCGGGGAGCTTGCCGTCGTAGTTGTCCTCAAAGTTGCCTCATTGTTCGGCGCCTTGGGTACTGGTAGCACCTCCAATTCAGCTTGATGGTCTGTCTACCTCATTCAGGGCCCCGACCTGCGCCAACAGAGTAAAAAAAGGCTTTGGCTGCCTTACTTGCCCTGTGGCAGTAAACCCCCTCATATTCAATGCCTTGCTTCGCGATGGAGTACTGGGCTCCAGGAACAGAGCTACTTGAGGTCTTGAGTCCATCTGGAAGTATGGACCACATGTCGAAGTCACTCACGCGTGTGATGATTTTGCACCCCACAAAAAGCGAAAGTCGTTGGTTGTCACACCCTGACTCAAGACATCTTTGAGCACTGTCCAGGATGTTGGCTCCCAGCTGTACGGTTTCCATGCTTGCATCTGGCGTTTGCCGCGACATGGTGTACAGGAGCAGCACTTCGGGTCTCCATTGGCATCGGCCCTTGGCAAAGGGAAAGCTACGCACCGCGATGATGGCAGCCGGCCTTTTGCGCCCTTGATTCCCATCCAGAACTGCTAGCTCATGGGGAGGCAGTTTCTGTTGGCCTCCCTGTCCATCCCTGTCCACGTAGTTAGATGCTTCTTCAGCATATCGTCCCTCCGCTCGTCGTCTTGCTCTTCCCTCTGCAAGCTTCTCGGCCCTCTTCTAGTGCAGCCAGTGTGGCCGCTTCGGCTTCGTAGTAGAAGTAGTACTACTCGGATTAGAAAGTAGCACGTAGCGTTGTGGTCCTGAGGAAAGGGTTTGTTTTGTTGAAGTATGAGGGGAGGGGTTCGTAATTCAGGAGTATGAGTGTGGGGGGTAGTTCTCCCAAAGTATGAAGGGGGATCGCAAACACCCGACTGGTGAACGGAGGCAGGGATGGGTTGAAGTCGTGGATGTTTTTTGAACAGACATGTTACTTGTCTTCGGTATCTCTGCAGATAGGATGCAGCAATATGCAATCTACACAGATACCCCTACCCACTTTGAAGGTCAGCTTGACCAGTGTACAGCCCACAAAGAAACTGCACTGATAGGCAGAACTGCTCAGCCAATGTTGAAGTGTGTGTTGGCCGCTTGGATCAAGGAAGGGCTTCTCAGCAGCAGGATCAAACGGGAAAAGGGCTTGCAACGGCGTATTCGGAACCGCATGTCATGCCTGAACTCAGTCTCAATCCCCAGCGAGGCTTTCTATTTCGTGTGTTATTAACACCTGAAGCACAAGTTGGATGGCATCGAGCCATGCTGATATCGCTCGCAGCAAAGCTCCTGCTGCTGGCACCGGTCGCATCCGCGGCTTGGCCTGGCTACGCACCATGCATTAACTTCGACTTGGGAGATGCCCAGGTGGGGTTCGACCAAAGCACACCACCGACCTAGTCCACCTCACTTAGATTTGTCAGGTCAGGGAGCTTGCCAAAGCAGTTCATTTGGAGGCAGCCTTTGAATTGCAGGTCTCATGCCATTCGCCGAATTTTCCGCTAACAATACCGTTTCAACATCACCGGACCTCTTTCCTGGTTCTTGGATTTTCCTACTCTCCAGGTGACACCATGGAATTGCTGGGGTTGGAACCTCACCGATGCAGCTAACTCATCCCTCGAGCACGCCGTTCAGACTGGCATGGGTGCCCCGGCCGTCAGAAGAGCGAAGCAGGGACGGTGTGCAATCCTTTTGTTCTGTTGGAGTTGGGCAATTCCAGATTCTGGAGATCACCATTTAACTTGCAATTTTCCGTCCGAATGGTCATGGTGGTGTGAGACTCATCCGTTCAGGTGTCCCTTCGGCGATCTCGATGTCGTTGGCTGGGGCGTCCTTAGACTTTGGCTGCGGAATCGTGCAGATTGTTTGGAACACTTGGATTGGGGCCTTTGTAGACTCCATTGAGTGGATCGGCGAGAACATCGAGATCAGTGCGACGGTTTGTTTCGTCGTCACTTTTTTGGGTGCTTGTATGGCTCTTGGCCATCCACTCCCTGCCTTTCCTGCTGCGTTGTTGCTGATGTTTCCCGTCCTTGGCATTATTATTGCAATCTGGTTTCTGCTGTTGGCAGTCTCGTTTGTGGTGGTGTTTCTCTTCGCACTGATTGTTGCAATCATTGTGGTGCCTATCACGTTAATTGTAACACTTCTGATTCTCTTGGTGACTTTATTGGTCTTTGCTGGTCTTGTGCTGTTGGCTTTCACAGCTTCCTGGCTGATCTATTTGATCGTCTTGCTCACTGTGACGCTGTTTGGCTTGGGTGCGGTGGATGGTTCTCTCAGGGCCAGCAAGAAGTCACGTGGCAGCTGCGGCAAGTGCACAGAGCAAGGATTTGTGTCCAAAAGGGTGGTGCCTTGGCAAGTCATGCTGCAAGCTGTAATTACGTTTCATGTTTGTCCCACTCGACAGGATTGCTTGCCTCATGCTTAAAGTGTTTAGAAGAGGTGCAGTCTTTGAGCAGGGCTTGTTTTGGGGCACCCAATTTGAGCCACAGCACCATACCATTGCCATCCATTGCCATCTTGTTTCCCTTCACGTTCGAAGGTACCGGTACTCATTTACCTCGCGGCAGCCTTGGTGGCCAATGTTCTCGTGCTTTGGGACCTTGGGGTGTTGTTCGTTATGTGGAGCAGCTTTCGGGAATTCAGTGGGATTCAGCTTCCGATCGCCCACGAGAGCATGAAGAAGCTTCTCGAAGCCGCTGGTATCAACTTGACCGGCTTCTTCGATTTCCTTGCTTCGATCTACTCCATCTTCTACCACCTGCAGCAGACGATCCAAGAGATCACCAAGTTCGATTGCTTTTACCTCCTTTCTATGATGTCAGCTTCACAACTCGTTGCCGGCATGCTAGCTCTGAACTTCTTCCAGGCGACCGATGTCAAGGTGGCATTGACCCACATGTTGTCCCATTGCTTTGACCAACCTGGACACGCGTTGGCCACGAAGACCTTGCTTGCTGCAAGTGAAAAAATGATAGAGCTGATGATGGTCGCCGGCAGCCCCACGTTCATCCGCATGTTCAGCTCGCCCTTTGCCGGTTGCGATGCGTTCATTGACAACATTTCTGGCATTTGCGGCATGGTTTGCTTGTGGTTCGTTGGCGTTCCCGCACTTTTGATTGCACCGGACCTCATGATGTCGAGCCTGTCATTCAAGAGCCGGTGGTCACCCCGTCAAGCTTGTGCGGAAGTAGCACGTCGAGCTTGTGCCAAGGATCGTCCTTGGCGAATGTCACCCGGCTGGATTTGGATATGTTGGATCGCTCCTGCATATCCTAGTCCATTTGTCATAGTGTCATAGTGTGAAGTGGGCCCGTGCAGCGATCATTTTCTGCCTACCTCCACCAAGGGCGAGCGTGATGTCGGTGCTCATTGGACGCTGGGGCGACCTGTCTCTGGAAGCGTGTGGATTGTTGAAGTTCCGAGCCAAAAAGCGCGAAAAGTCCACAGACCTGGGCGAATCACAGGTGCAAGCATACATCGAGGCCAGGCAAATGAGCGGACGGATATACTGTAGGATACGAATCCTGGGTCCGACGACATGTGTTCCTTTTCAACAGACCCGTTAATTGCTGTTGGGAACCTCCATCATCTTGCAGCTGCCCCCCTAAGAAAATCACAGCAAAGCAGCACCTGAGGTGTCTTCGGCCTTCATCTCCCCTGCTTTTCAGATTGTTCCCTGTGGAAAAGTCCTTTCGCAGCTCATGGACGCCTCGAACGTAGGGCATGTGTGGATCGACTCGGATCAGGCGATCCCAGTGCAGGAGGCAACTCGATGGAGCCGGGCCACCAAGTCTCCTGGCATCAGAACGAGCTGCGGGGTCATGAACCAGTCAAGAATACTTTTATTTATATATATATATATACACACATATATTGTGTTATGTTGCTACCATATATGTATATACCAAGATGTATGCGTTGTTTTTACCTCGATGTTTCGTGCAAGCAAGCATGTGCACGTGCACGAGGACACAAAGGCTTATTTGCATTCCCACACAAAGGACATTACAATGTTTCATGTCATTTTTCTTGCACTCCTAGGTTCGACATCCTTCAACCATGATCAAGCTTACATGCATTGATTCTTCGTCATTTGCAGCTTTGAATCCAACCTAGAATTGACCCGGGAAACTGGGCCCCCTTTTCGAGTTCGGCCTTGAAGCCGATATTTGGCATCTGAAGACGAAATTCGGCCCCCAAGACGAAATTCGGCCCTGAAGCTGAAATTCGGCTCCTGAAGCCTGAAGCTTGAATTCGGTTTTCGACTTCGGGGGCCGAATTTCGCCTTCAGGGCCGAATCTCGCCTTCGGGGCCGAATTTAGGCTTCAGGGGCCGAATTTAGGCTTCAGGGGCCGAATTTCGGCTTCAGGGCCGAATTTAGGGCCCGGATTTCCTTTTTAATGCAGAACTTCGTCTTCGGGGGCCGAAGTCTTCAAATTTCGTCTTCGAATTTCGTCTTCGCCCTCCCCCCGGGAAAAGGGGACCCACTTTCCCGGGCCTCTGCAACTTAGGATCTTGGCGGTGCTTCGATTTTGCCTTCTGCAGCCCATCCCGTTCTTGCAGGAAGCTTCTCCTGGGCAGGTGACGTTGCTGTGGATTTGCATTGCGGTCACTTTCTTGGAAAAGGCATGCAGTGCAATGATCGCGAATCCGCAGCCCCCGACAGATGAGTATGAGGACGAGAAGTTGAGCAGCGCGATTTCAGGTGTAGTGAGCAGGGGCTTTCATGCTGGTTGCCGTGAGCTACGAAATATTTGGGTTGCATTGGCGACGATCTTCACCTTAGCACTGCAGCTGGCTTGGAAAGGAATTGGTATCGCGGCCTTGGCAGCTTACAGGACGGGCCTCGCGGGTAGAAACGCTCTGCTTGCTGCAGGTGGTGTCCTGGGTGCCGGTATGATTGGGCATGGCATGCGCGCTCGTGATGCCCCCGGCAGTGCTGATAGTTTTTCAGCGGATGTTATTGCAGAAGAGGTGCCACCTGAACATCCGGTTGAACCAGACGTACCACCAGATCATACTGATGCCACGAAGGAAGACGCTGATGCCTTGCCTGATTCCTCCCCTGATGCCATGAGTACTATTTTTGCTTCATTCTCCGCTTTGTCTGCCACGTTTCAGAGTATGTTTGGTGCCAGTGATGGTGATCCAGATGACGGGTCTCCTCGTTCTCCAAAAACAGGCCCAGATGACGTGTCTCCTCGTTCTCCAGAGGAAGAGCCGACGACTTACGGTACCGCGCTAGACCCTTCAGACGAAGATTACATAAGCATTTGATGGATGAAAGCGACAGATTTTCCCTGTAAAGGCTGCCAAGCAGCCTAGCAGTGTGTCGACTCTTCCCCGGCTGAGGGTCCCCGGGTCTAGGTATGTCTTTCACGTCAATCGGTATATATATATATATATGGCATTCTATATGTATGTATATATATATATAAGTTGATGAAACAGTTGCATTGAAACAGCGACCCCTTTCCTCGTTTTTCGGGTGTTGATCCTGCCTGAGGGTGAACCTTCCACTTTCGCATGTTTGCCGTTGAGCGGCCAAGTCGTTGCTCCGGTAGCTTCTTGCTTCACTTCACAGCGGCTTTCACAAAAGCATGCAGATGTGGCGACAGCAACTGTAACAAATCAGAGCTTTGCTGGATTAGATTCTGTGTGATTTCGCTGTTACGTTTTCTGGTGTGCTTTTCTTATGCAGGGATTTTCCCTCGAAAGCCCATGAGCCAGTCCTGAAATTTCAATGATCACCGAGCATAGGATAATGACCTCATCCATGAAGGCCCCCTTGACTTTGCTCGACGCAGGCTTTCGTGTAGTGCTCCGTTGCTCCATGCAAGCAATCCCTGCAAGCAGCACTTCTTGATTTGCGCTGAATGTGTGAGGGCATTTCAGAATGTGCGTGGCCGTTCACAATGTGCATAGCATGTCTTCTGTTGGGATACAGGACTGTGGCGAGACTGTCCGAAAAAGAGCTTTCTCCGATTTTGCAACAGGAGCAAGTTTGTCAAGATGTCAAGGGGTCTTGAGAATTGTTCGAATGTCTTTGCAGGTTCTCAAGATTGATCTTGCATCCCTTCTCACCCTTAGACTTGCCGATCCTTGTATGATGAGTGACTGCAAGAATGGGAAGTGACCTTGCGGTTTTCTCAAGTTCGTTGACAAGTTGTTCAAGCCTCGCGGCTTTGATCCCAAGCGTGTTCTCGAGTTCCTGCACAAACTTGCATTGATGTTTAGATCCCGGGCAGTTAATGGAAATGAGTAGTGAGACATGCAGGAGACATGGAAGGACATTTTTCCCGAAAGCACCGCGAAGGGTTCTTCGGAAAGAAGCGCTGCCCTGCTCGCATCGCAGCAACTACGCCGCACCAGGTACACCACCACATCGTACCACCTACACCACACCAAGCACATCACGACACCGAACTGGTCATTTGCCACCAGGTTCGGATCTCCATCGATCCAGAAGCTAGCCTTTCGCTCCACAGGTCTCGCGAAGATCTCCTTGGAGCTGCGAAACACGCAACAATGAAACAGCACGATTTCCTTGCTGGCGTACCACCCCTCACGACGTAGGGGAGGCAATCTAGCACTGCCCTGCGGCCGTCGCGGGGGAGGTCCACGAAGGTCAGATCCGCCAGCTTCCCCTCCACTTCCCCTTCGAAGCGGGCACGATGCTGTCCAGGGCCGCTTCGGATCCCATTTCTGCAGCTGACGCCGCTGGTGGCCTGGGGCTGGCCGCGTAGGAGTGGTATAGGCTCAGCGGCTCTCCAGGGTTGTGCAGTGGTTGCCCTCCACCCTGCAAGGTCCGGCGGCACTTTAGGCAGAGGGCCTTTTAGCCATATCTGGCACGAGCTCCACCGTGCTAGCAGGTGGCCCAGGAAAAGCCCTCGAGACTGCCCCTCTCAGCGCCTCTCAGCGGCCCCCCATGGAATGCGGTGGACTATGTGGGTGTACAACCCATACCGCCGCAGGGATCAGTCATTCAGGCGTGAGCAGACTGTTAACGAACTTCGGCATTCTCATGTCATGGGCATCGTGGGAACTCGCACAGATGCATCACGCGTGGGACAAGCTGTCGTGCAGAAAGCTCTTGGCTCGCACACTTGGATTGAGTCGCCACGTAGCAGCATTGACAGAGAGTTACAGGAGCTTGTCGATCGTCTTGCCAAGATTGTGAAGGAAGAGTGAGAGAGACTCGGGCTGGTCTTGCATAAGCAATAGCCATACGTTACGAGAAGGGTTGGGGGGGGGGGGGTGTGAGGCTGTTGTGCCGTAGACGTTGGCGTTAGTCAGTCGGGCCTGCAGTTCTCACTTTCTCCAGTGGCGACGTTCCAGCACAGTCTGGTGTTGTCCAGCGCTGGGGGGTTAGAAGAGGTCAAGAAGTGGCTATCACAACTGTGAGTCGCCGCCTGCTCAGCCGTGACTGTGTGACGTCAGAGCACTGTTGAATGCATGAGGGCCTGCAGCTCCAGCCGCTGCCCCCACCGGAGATGACGTGGTCCAGCTGCCAGCTGCGACGGGCCGCCGCAAAACTTGCGCATGCCTTCCTGATCGGCCATGATGGGCGTCCTGGCGGCTCCGGGTTGTCCCGCCGCCCCTGCAGCACATACAGGAAAACCTCCAGCTGGCCCCGGCGTCCAACTTTATTGCACCTCCACGTCCTCGCAGAGCTCCCGGATTTCGCAAGCCTACACCGCCTCTGTTGAATTCTATCTTGTCTCTTAGCCCATGGGTAGGCTTGGCCTCTCTGCAGGGATCGCGTGTCTCGGAGCGCTGCATCCGTACCCATTTTCAATGCCGCGGACGAACCCTCCGCGGGGATTGTGCATGTCTGAGCGCTCTGGAAGTGCATCGGGGATCGTGCGCGTCGAAGCGCTCTCCTTGTGCGTTTTTGTGCATTTTCAAGTGTCTTGGCGCTCTCGCTGTGCGTCGGAGTCCATGCACATTGTGTGGAAGCGCTGTCGCTGTGCGTTTTGCGCATTTTCCGACGAAGCCTCTGCGGGGATCATGCGTATCGAGCAACAGCGCCGGAATTGTTTTGAACTTCGTCGGAACATGCAACTATCGTGCGTCGTGTTGAATCTTTCTTCGCCAAAGACTTCGTAGTATCGAGGGCAGGAAGAAACCCGGCGCTGAAGAATGACTGCCAAGGTTCAACAGAAATCAAGCACATTAACACGATGCAGAGCCATCCCTTTCGGAGACGTGAGATGCATGACTTGGCCTTCTGCACTCACAAAAGCCTGAGACTTGAGTCGACACTCCGTTCGGCTCAAGGCTTAGGGTCGTGCGACAATAGTTCGCGCATGCTCCCATCTCATGACTCGGTGCGATCTCCCCCAAAGTGAATCATTTGCTTGCATCGCCTCAGCCGTTTCGGCAATAGTGCAGCAAGTCAAGCTTTCGAAGCCGGGTTGCAACTGATTCATAAGTCGTGGTGCAGATCCATTGTAGTCTAGCATGTGAACGTGACACCGGTTACTCTCAGCGATAGCCATGGCTAGTGTTTCAGCAGTACATTATGTTGTTTTGGGGGTGGGTGTTTGTTGCTGGAGTGACATGGTGCCACTGCGGCAAAGGCTGCTCAGCATGATTTAAAAACAGAGTTGTGAGTTCCTTGCACTTGACCTTGCAGTATTTTTGAGTCGAGATGTGTTCAGTGGAACGGTCGCGGAGCTGGTTTGCTTGCTCACGCAGGTCACGTTCTCCCAGACGGCCTGATGGGGCCAGCCATGTCGAAATTGCTCATCTGGTGATTCTGCGGGAGCAGGTCGCCGGGCCATGATGACTTTGCACACCGGAAAATTGGTTTGAACCTCGTCGGAAACTGCAACTATCGTGCGACGTGTTGGCTCTTTCTTCGCCAAAGGTAGCTGACCATGCAATTTAAGCGGTTTCGCTGCTTTGCAGTATCGAGGGTAGGAAGAAACCCAGCACCGAAGTGACACGATGCAGAGCTCTCCCATCCTTTCCATTCGGCGACACGTGAGATTACAGGGCCAGTTCACAACCGTTATAGGGTTTAGGCTTGGGGTTTAGGGTTTAGGGTTTAGGGTAACTAATCTTCTTCGCTCCGTGGCCAGGCACGCCTTGCCAAAGATTGGAGCCAGGCATCGGTTGTGGAAACCGCTGTGAGTTGGGGAGATAGTTACCCTAAACCCTAAACCCTAAACCCTAAACCCTAAACCCTAAACCCTAAACCCTAAACCCTAAACCCTAAACCCGAAACTTTAACCCCGAAACCATCCAAAAACCTTACAGCCCTGCTGAGGCGGACCTGCTGCGCACGCAGCTCCAAGAAGCCGGGGTTGGGCTCTCAGGTCGTAGCTCTGAGGGGGTATGGCTCTTGGGGGTTTCCGAAAATTCCGAAAACACGAAAATTCCGAAAACAGGGTTTAGGGTTTAGGGTTTAGGGTCCCTAAACCCTAAACGCTAAACCCTTTTTTCGGGTTCCTTTAAAAGGATTACATAGTATTTTGGGGTATATGATTCAGGAGTACCCTTATTTTCGGAAATCCCCATTTGTTTTAGAATCAGGATGCGATCGTCGCTTCAGGCCGTGTTTCGATAGCAGGGGTAGGCGGTTGCGGGGAATGCGAACGGTCAGCAAAAGTGTGCTGGAGTCGTTGTGCTGGAAGCCCTAAACCCTGCATAAACCATCTGATATACACAAAATCCCCTCTCTTTGCTGTCTTCTGTCTACTTTGTTGACATGCCCAACACCAGACTGTTGCTGCTCAGACTCCATGTCAGGTGTCTTAAAACGTCGGAAAAATTCTCATTGGCATGTGCTTGGAATGTGCCAAGGTACAGTTATTTGACAAGGCGAATCAGTGGCGGTGCTGCACTGCTTGCGGGCTTGCCGTGCGCTTGCTGTGCTGGCCACTGCATGCACTGCATTTGCCACAGCGAACGGTCAGGGGTAGTAAACAGTAAAACGCAATAAGCCACTTTTGACTGCCATGCCACTGTTCCTCCATGGAAAGTTTCCTGCTGCTGCTTGCGCCAGTGAGCTGCAGAACTTGCCTCTTGCACTGTAACAGTGTGCACTCCTCTATCGGAGACACGTTTGCATTTTCATGTACTGTGAAGCTTCTCATTGCTTGAGTGGGCCTGCGTTGCCATGGAGTGGCAATATGGCTCTGAGGTGGAAGGCCGCAGATGGCAGGGTCTCGGGGCGGATTCCAAGCTTCGACGAGATCGAAGCCGGAGCCTCTGATGGCTTTGAATGGGGGGGTTTAGGGTTTAGGGTTTAGGGTTTAGGGTTTAGCCATTGCTGGGCTGTGGCTGTTGGGGGGCTACTGGGGAGCTATTAGGGGGCTCGTGTCTCGTGCTCCAGGCGGGCATTGATGCTGCCGCCTTGATCTCGTCTGTCGACACGGCGCTGCCGACAGACATCAACGCGGGTAGTGACCGGAGCTCAAGTTTTCATGCAGCGCCCAGACCACAGAAGCAAGTCGCGAGTTGTTTTCTGAGTTGTTCAGGCCGTGCTAGAAGAGATCAAGCGGCTCATTCAACATCGTGAGCTCGCCCGTGGGAGCAAGGTGAAGTGATGAGCTTGAGAGGTTTCAAGCGGTTTTAGGGTTTAAGCAAGTTCAGAATCCGTTACAGCCATCATTCTCCTTGTTTGCATGTGCGCAAGGGTTGCCGGAACCTTCGTGGCAGGACTTTGCGCAGGCAGACAAGATCCGTGCCGAGCTTCAGGACAAAAAGCCGGCTTTGCCGCATGGAATGTGCCGCTTGGATGCGCGATCTTCCATTTCCAGGATCTCGGAGTAGACCTGTTGGACAAGGAGAAGCTGTGGAAATGCTGCTGAGCTTGGACTTTTGAGATGCGGTTGTCTCCTTCTTCCATCACGCCCCTTCTGATCTCTTACCAGGTCCCAGCAGGGGGCATGCAGCTCAGATGGGTCCAGCCGGCGTTAGTTGCTGCACGTGCCGCAACCTCTGCCCAAGGCTACAGGGCATTATTACGGGCTTCCGCGCAAATGAGCCGGGGCCAAAGTCATTCCTGAGTTGAGCACGCTTTCAATCTTGGGCACAGGAGTTCTACTCAACAAACTTGTGTGACTTCCAGGCTGAGCGATGTGGAAGTCAGCACACTTGTCTTGCAAAGGGAGAAGCCAGGGACTTGGACCATGAAGAATTAAACAGAACCCTTTTGTTCACTCTGTTCGAGCTGTCCTCACCAGGGCTCGGATGGCAAACGACTACGAGCTCTCGGACATGATCCGGGACGTTCCTTGGCAAGGGAAAAAAAATCTGTTTTTGACTTTCTGTCCTTGATGTCCTTCTGCTTCCATCTCCGTCTCGGTTGCTGTGCTAAGGAGCTCAAGGATCGAGGGGTGACCATCGACGACAAGAAAAAGGCCCTCGCCTTGCGTTCGAATGCACGGTGTTCCTTTAGCTATGCCTAGTGCCATGCTGAGACATGGACCTGCACGGATGGCCGCTCCGGGGTGGTGCCCAGTTGGGGGCAACTGACAGGCGGGGGCAAAAAGAGGTGAAGTATAGCAAAACCAGCCTACATGCACGCGAAAGTATCTGCCCAGGTGATGCCACTCCCGTGGCTGCACAGCAACAGCAGCTTGGAATCAAGCTTTGCTAACTTCGCGAAGGTTTGCTGCCTTTCTCCTCCCATGGTTCTTATGTAGCACGAGAATGCCATTGTGTGGGCATGCGACCTTGCTGTACGTAAGTGGTTGTCGCCGCTTTTCCTGCCAGGCGATCTCCAGCAGCGGCGATTCCGTCCGCTATCCCTGCGGCCGCCCCTCCGCAATCGCGTTTTTCAGGGCGTTGCGTTGGTCTGAAATGTATTCAAGTTGTGAGGTCAAGCCTTACAGCCCAACAGGCATGCCCTCAATGCATGGATCATGAATCATGTGTTGCAAGGCGCGTATGCCCATCCCCACGGTGGAGGACAGATGCAAGACACGTCATCTTGATGAGCACATGTGAAGCATACATTCGCATATACAAATATGGATTAAACAGATACATATATGTCTATATAATTAGACTCACATTTACACATTTATATTCATATATATATATATATATGTATATTTATACTTTTATATTTGTAATATTTTGATAGATTATATATATATATTTATATTTTTATATTGTTACATTTTTATATTTTTGTATTTTTATCTTTTTGTATTTGTATATATATGTATAGTTATATTTGCTCACCCCCCCCCCCATGATCTAGGTCGGAAGGCCTTTCGGGCCCATCGAAACGAGATTTAAACCTAATTCGGAATGAAAATTAAAAGGCCACTGGCCTCATTCGTAGTAAAATTTATTTAGAAATCTAAATTTGCCAATTAAAAGCCGCACCCTATGAAATCCTCTTCTGGGGCCTGCCTGTCCGTAACAAAATCTCACAAGAACTTTATATGCAGAGGTTACAGCCTCAGAAATCCTCATCTGGGCTTCCTTCCTAGTTTATTGAGAAAGTGCTTCTATATAAGAAGCCCACACCCTAGGAAAGAATTCTATCCTTAAAGGCCACACCCTATGAAGTCCTCTTCTGGGCCCTCTTAATGAAATTTCAGTAGACTTGTGTCTGATAAAGCCACAGCTTTGTTCGTAATTAACCCAAGTTAAAAAACATGCTAAGAGGCCCAGCCCCAAGACATCCTTTTCTAAGCCTCATTGGTTAATACCTATTTAGAATCTTTTTGTTCTTCCCACACCCAATGAAATCTTCCTCTGGCTCCATTCGACATGAAATGCAATTTGATTTCATATTGTAAACCCACACCCTAAGAAATCCTCTTCTGGGCTTCGTTCGTAATTGAACCCAAGTAAAGCAAGTGTATATTCAGAGGCCAGCCCAAGGACATCCCTCGCAATGAAGCCGAGTTAGAATTTTATATTGCAGACCACACCCTATGAAATCCCTTTCTGGCCCTTATTTGTAATGAAGATTAATTAGAAGTCTGTATTACAAAGCCACACCCCAAGAATACTCATTAGACATTCGTTTGTAATTAGACTTATTTTCGATTTGCCTAGATGCTTGTATTAAAAATGCCACACCATTCTGGGGCCTGTTCGTAACAGAATCTCATAAGAAGTTTATAATTCTAGGTAAGAAGCCCACACCCTAAGAAGTTCTGACCTAGGCTAGGTTCGTATGTAACTCTTGCACAGATTTTTTTTATCATGAGCCCCCATTCGTATCGTATTTGAATGTACTTACAATTCCATATTTAACCGCCACACTCTATGAAATCCTCTTCTGGGGCCTATTAGTGAAATGTCCATAGACTTGTGTATGATAAAGCCATAGCTTCGTTAGTAATTAAACCCAAGTCAAGCAAATAAATTAAGAGGCCCCGCCCCAAGACATCCTCTTCTAAGCTTCATTGGTTACTACCTATTTCGAATTTTATTTTGCAGACCACACCCTATGAAATTCTCCCCTGGCCTCGCTTCGTAATAAAATGGTATTTGAGGTTTGTATTAAAACGCCACACCCTAAGAAATCCTCATCTGGACTCGTTTGTAATTCCACATAAATTGAACTTTTAAGTTTAGAGGCCACACCCCTTTAGACAGAATTTCAAAGGCCACACCCTAAGACCTGTGTATGATAAAGCCACAGCTTCGTTCGTAAAACCAAACCAAGTAAAACAATTAAGAGGCCACGCTCTTCTAAGCCTCCCTCTTTGGAATTCTATTTTACCGACCACACCCTGTGAAAGTCTCCTGTGGCCCCGCGTCGTAATGAAATGTAATTTGAGGTTTGCACTAAAACACCACACCCTAAGAAATCCTCATCTGGACTTCGTTTGTGATTCCACTTAAATAGACGTTTAAATTAAGAGGCCACACCCCAAGACATCCTCTTCGAAGCCCCACTCTTTTTGAAGTACAATTAGACTTTTGAATTGCAGGTCCACATCTTCAGAAACACGCCCTAAGAAACCCTCTCTATTTCATTCTATATTACTTTTTATATTGAGACGCCACATCCCAAGACATCCTCTTCTAAGCCTCATTCGTAATTTAATCTAATGGAACTTTACATGTCAGCGCTACGCCCTGCATACCGAACAGGCTGAATTGAAATAACAACGAAATGGTGGGTGTGTTTGTGTGTTTTTCTCTGTGGGTGTGCAAGGCAGTCACGTTAGAAGAACCAACTTATAACAATACACATTCTTTATGCAAGAAAAGCATTTTGTTTGCAAAATTTGCTAAATTTGCTAAAAAATCCAAAAATCCAAAAATCCAAAAACTCAAAACCATGGAGCCGGGAGGCCGCCTTTTTTGGATTTTTTGGTTTTCTCGAGGTTTTTTTGGTTTTTTTTGGAAAAATCCAAAAAAAACCATGTGTTTTTTTGGATTTTACTTGCTCCTGGCCTCAAAAACCTAAAAAACACATGGTTTTTTTTGGATTTTGAGTGAAAACCCAAAAAAAACCATGTGTTTTTTTAGTTTCTGAGACCAGGAGCACCTGAAATCCAAAAAAACACGAGGGTTTTTTTGGATTTTCACTCAAAATCCAAAAAAAACCATGTGTTTTTTAGGTTTTTGAGGCCAGGAGCAAGTAAAATCCAAAAAAACACATGGTTTTTTTTGGATTTTTCCAAAAAAAACCAAAAAAACCTCGAGAAAACCAAAAAATCCAAAAAAGGCGGCCTCCCGGCTCCATGGTTTTGAATTTTTGGATTTTTGGATTTTTGGATTTGTGTCAAATTTTGCAAATTCTGCAAAAAAGAAGTGTTTTTTGCATACAATTCTGTGTTTATAAGCCTGTCCTATGCAAATAATTCATAGACATGTTTAGCAAATTGCATTTTCATGTGTTTTTTGGGTGTTTTTTTATGTGGTGATGTGGAAGTAGTGCTAAACACACGCGTTTTTCACTATTTAGATGTTTTCTCGCATAGGACTAGACGTGCAAAAACAGGACATCGCCTAGCATAGCCAGCATGTCATTTTAATCGGTATTTACGAGGGTTTTTATAGGGACAAAGCAAAACCTAGATCATGGGGGGGGGGGGGGGGGTGACCTTATATTTATATTTATATCTATATTTATATGTATTTCTGTATTTTGTCTATATTTATATTGATATTCATATTTATATGTATATATGTATATTAGACAAATAAAGAAGTGTATATAAATATAAACACAGAAACATATATACGTATATATGCATGTACATGCATACACCTATATATATATATATATATATATGCTACCCCCCCTCCCCCCCCCCCAAAGATCTACCCTTTTTCATACATTTATGCCTTTCTAAACCCGACCTTGACTCTTTCTCAGCATGAGCAGTATAAGAAATATCTGGTCTTACAAAGTGATTACATAGAGCTACTGTGTGGAGGTGACACTCAGGCGTTCTCCTAGGCTTTCCGGTATAGGGTTTAGGGCTAGGGCTACAGGTATTGAAATTCTTAACCCTAAAACCTTAACATGAACCCCTCCTGAGTTTAGGGTTTGTAAGTTTAGAACTGAGGCGTTCCAACGTGCGTACAGGGTGCTGTTCAACACAAATCTCAAACTCCAAACTCGGTCTCCGACTTAAGTACAGGGTGCGGTTCAACACAAACCTCAACCTGTATACCAAGAAACCTGAAGATCCAAGCATACTACAATTCTGAAGCCGCGCATTGTATGTTTGTTCTGCACAAATGGTGGGTATATTCCATATCAGTGCAGCTCGTACCACAGAGCAACCTTACGTACCCCTTCAACTCAAAACCACCCTAAACTCTCTCTATGCTAAGATATAACTGCACAGTTTCGGTTGCATGCTATTTTCCTTTATTCTTACGAGACGTGTCTCTAAACAAAACCTTCTGGCTTACCTACCCCTCCAACTCAAAACAATCCTACACCCTCTCGCTATATTAAGATATAGCAGCACAGGTCCCGTAACATGCTATATCATTTCTTCTTGGGAGACGCACGACCACCTGAAGCACCCTGAAAACAATACTTTTTTGTAGTAGATGTGATACCCAGTTGCTTTGGACGAATGTCATATATGACCTTATGTGCTTGTGAGTCTTGCGGTTTATGGGAAAATGAGCATTCTTGAGAAATCATACATGTTGGGAGACCTGTGGGGAACATTGAGAATGAACAGCAAGATACTTGCGATCAATTACTAGCAGCCTGTTGGAAAGGCTCGGGAAATAGTGAAATGATATTTGCTCACAGTATTCTCGCGTCCCCGGACTTACAGTAAATGATTTCTTCGCATCACCTTATACCATATAGGGTTTAAACCCTAAAGGGCTTACCCCATGAGGGTTTTAGAGATAAATCCTGAAGCCTTAAAAAGAATGGAAATCAATGGGAATCCTGTGAATCTTAGTGGGAAGTTTATTAAGTTGAGTAGAAATCCTTTCAATGTGAATGGAAACCATATTAACATATGAATGGACACCATATTCGTCAAAAAAAATGAAACATGCATGGACACAAATGGAAATCCTGTGAAAACATATAGAGGACAGGGAAAAAGCAAGGTAACAGAGCCAAACTTAATACGAATTCGAGCAAATTCCGAAGAACTCCTGCGAAAAGTCGTATGAATCATGTGAAAGTATAGAGGCAAAAGAAAAGACGCCCCCTGTGCCAGCAACTGGAATGCGAGCCATTGCGAGTATTACGAACACAAATGGTCAAGTATATTTCGAGTGGACTGTCTGCGAATACATATGACCTTGAGCGACATCACGAGATCTACTTCTGAGACTTTGTAAAACGTGAGCCCGATTGAAAAACGATTGAAACGATTGAAATTCAATCGGGGGCCGGATGGAAGATTGAAGATTCCCGGAAAACCTTTTGCTGGGAATCTTCAATCTTCAATCTTGAATCCGGCCCCCGATTGAATTTCAATCGTTTCAACCGTTTTTCAAGTATATGTCGAGTGGAATGTCTGCAATACATATGACCTTGAGCGACGTACGAGATCTACTTCTGAGACTTGATAAAACGTGAGCCCGGTTGAAAAACGATTGAAACGATTGAAATTCAATCGGGGGCCGGATTGAAGATTGAAGATTCCCGGAAAACCTTTTGCTGGGAATCTTCAATCTTCAATCTTCAATCCGGCCCCCGATTGAATTTCAATTGTTTCAATCGTTTTCCAATCGGGCTCACGGTTAGTATACGAACACTTACATAAGTATATTTCGAGTGGAATGTTTGCGAATACATATGACCTTGAGCGACGTCACGAGATCTACTTCTGAGACGTTATAAAACGTGAGCCCGATTGAAAAACGATTGAAACGATTGAAATTCAATCGGGGTCCGGATTGAAGATTGAAGATTGAAGATTCCCGGAAATCCTTTTGCTGGGAATCTTCAATCTTCAATCTTCAATCCGGCCCCCGATTGAATTTCAATCGTTTCAATCATTTTTCAATCGGGCTCATGGTTAATATACGAACACTTACATATGAAGATGGCCCCCCCAACCCTAAAACCCTAAGACACACCCAAAACATAAAAACACGAAGATCTTTGGGGGGGGTACCATATATATATATATATATATATAGATGCTCCCCCCCACCCCCCCTTGGTTATCTGCCTTTTTGGGGTTCAGACCTGGTGTTACATGCAAATGCGCCAGGTGTGGTTCTACTGGATTCCTGGGGTACCTCTCATGGCTTTCCCACCCCTTCTTCCTCACTATATTTCTTAAACTATTATGGCCAAGCCCTAAAGCAGGGTGATCCCATCATAGTCCCTAAATCCCTAAATCCTGAACAGGAGAGTTTTGAGTGCTCCCCACGGAGCAATGGTCTTATTCACTAAATCCTAAACGAATGGATCCCTCTCTTTAGGCTGTAGCGAAAAGGGCTTAAGGACCAGACTCTTCCCCAAATCCTAACGGCGAAAGAAATCAGTTTGTTTTACTCCCTTCAATTATAAAGTATAGAGGCTACATCGTATTGGCCAAGCCCTAAACGTGGGGGGGGATCCAAACCTCAGTCCTAATCCTCTTCTCTGAATCTTAAGAAAAGGGATCCCTCAACCCTACAGAGGAGTTTTAAGTTACCCCTCCTCCCCCCGGCACTCAAATCTTACTCATTAAGGGAGCAAGCCACTACTGCCCGAATTGGGGCCTAAATTTTATTCGCGAAATCCTAGTCGAACAGGAATAGGACTGGGATCTAGGGGATAAGACTCTAAGAAAAGATGTAGGGAGCAACGCTTTTAGAAGAAGATGTAGGGAACTAGGGATCAAGGGAACAAGATTTAGGGAATACAAGTTAGGAATCCCGCTCATGAGGATTTAGCAAAAAGACTTAGGGATTAGGGTCTATGGCAACATTTTCGGAATAGGCTTCAATAAGGGCTCTCCTCTTTAGGATTGAAGGACACCCTTCTTTGGGGCTTAGGGAATAGGACGACGGGAATATAATTAAGGGAGTGAGATGTAGGGATCCTGTTCTTTAGGATTTAGTGAAAAGGGAAAAGGACTTTTTTTGGATTAAGGGTCTCCTCTTTAGGATTTTAAGAAGCCTCTCTTTAGGGCGTAGGGAATAGAAGACCGGAATTGACATACGCGCGCGAGCTTCAAGTGGGAATGCTTTTTCATTATAGATACCATCACTGTGACATTGAAGAAAACCTTGACAGAACCCAGACCGGCTAGATCTAACTGGATCCGGTTTAAATCTGAGCGGGCCTGTGGTTTGAAGATTGAAGATTCAAGATTCCCTGGGAAAGTTTCTGGGGAATTTTCGATCTTCAATCTTCAAACCGGAGGCCCGGTTCGATCTACCCGGATCCGGTTTAAATTTAACCGGTCATGGGTTTCGCCAACCATTTCACCTGAGTTCAACACTATCTGTTCATTATCGAGTTGTTAAAAAAAAGCTTGTATAAACACAAACAGTATATGGAATAAAGAAAGGCGCTTTCCCCCCCCCCCCCCCGAAACCACCAAAAATAGGTAGATAACTGGGGGGGGGGGGGGGGTACCATATATATATATATGTATATATGTATAATGATGTATGTATATATATATATATGTGTATATATATATATATGTACAAATTCCACAAAACAATACTACCATGCCTCTCATGATGAGGCTCGCGTTCTTCTCGCATGTTGACTTGGGAGGACGAGTTGGTCTCCCTGGCGGTCGCAGCCGCGCGGCATCCGGTCGGCCCAGCAAATTCCGGCAGTCACTGCTTTTGCTTCCCTAAAACCCTAAGCCCTAAACCCTAAGCCCACAGCCCTAAGCCCGAAACCCCAAACCCTAAACCCTAAACCCTAAACCTTTTGGGAAGCAGAGATGCTCAAATCTACACTGACTGTGACATGCAGTATCATGCGGTAGTGCTGGGAGAAGCATGCCAGTTCTCATTCAGTCAGAAAGGAAGGTGTGTTGCGCAAGCGCCAGCCCTTTGGTCAAGGACACTGCAGCACGAGCTTTACACGCCTTGCGTCAGGCTCCGATTCGCTGATGTTCGCTGCATTGCTTCTTGAGGAATAAGATTGTTTCGGGGGCTTTGACTATGTTTTTGACTTTGGTTTCGCGGGCCATGTGTCGTTGTGTGGAAGCCAGGTGCTTGCAGTGAGTGCACCAGCTCCTGCTGGCACCTCAGTGCGGTAAACCCTGAACCCTGATCCTAAACCCTGAACCCTAAACCCTAAACCCTGACCCCCAAAACCCTAAACCCTAAACCCTAAACCCTAAACCCTAAACCCTAAAGTGCAGGTTCTCAGTCCAGCAAGAGAGCAACCAGCTGTCGAGGCCCGACCGCTGCCCACAGCCCGGCAGCCGGTGCCCAGCATGCCTGGCATTCCCACCAGCATGCCAGCGGCTGGCTCAGTGGGGTTAGGGTTTAGGGTTTAGGATTTAGGGTTTAGGGTTTAGGGTTTAGGGGAGTTTCTTTCGGAGCCTTGGTGTTTCATTTCCGAATCGACATCCGGTGGGCCTGTGGGCTGACAAGCAATCTGCGTCCCAGGCGCAGCCACATTCTTCGAGGACTGCGCCGCGATGTTCCATGACAAGCTTGGGGCAAACCATGGCAGCAGAGTCTACTCCGGCAGAGTTTCCAAAGAGCAAGCGGGGCTAAGTCTTGAAGGAACCTGGAGATGCAGCAGGCTCTGGGCTCAGAGGGCAAAGATGATCAAAGCATTTGGAGAGAAGGCTTTTCTTCTCTTCCTAGCTCTTGTTTTAAGCACGCTGAAGGCCCTGCAGATGGTGAGACGCGGCAGGGAGACTCCTCCCCTCCCCCCCCCTTTTTGCAAGCAAGCCGTTGGGCAGGGCGGGGCATCTTTTTTCTTTTTGCTTTCCCTTTTCTTCGTCTCCCTATGCTCTGAAGGATCTCTCGAGTCAGTTCAGCCTGGGTATGTGCAATGGAGATTTCTGTTAGAGCAGGAGGGTATGATGCTGACAGACCACGAGATCCAATTGTGCCGTGCTTAAGCACGGATTGTGTCAGCTTGCTTCTTCTCTTCGACTGTTTCGCTTGGGCATCGTTCCTCCTGGCAGGATTGTTGCCACGCGGGAGCGCTTGCGCATGGCCAAGGAAGCATGTTGTTTTCAAGCCCCGGGGCGGGAGGTGGATTTGCCAGATTGCTTGTTTCTGTTCGCGACTGTTAGTTCTGTGTATGCTGATCCAGGACTACGCCAGCTCAGACGAGCTTCGAAAGGAGCTGCAGCATCAAGCTCTGTTGCGCTGACTTGCTTTGTGAATGGCGGGTGAAGCTCCGGGTTCCTTGAGTTTCTTTCGGTCGCTTAGGTCCATCGGCGTTGAGCTGCTTGAGAAAGAGAAGAGGTGGACGAGTGTCGCTTGGATCTCAGGGGTTCCTTTGCATTCCTTTCATCGCGGTGCTTTTCGGCGCTCTTCGGCCATCTTCGGGCCAGATCCAAGGATGGGCGCCAGGGAGACATTCCTCTTTGGACGAGCATCAGTACCTGAGCGAACAGAAAAGGGCAGGGAGTGAGGGCTCCTCTGGGCGTGCCGGGTAGTCCGGGTAGTTGGAGTGATGGAACAGCCGAGACTTGTTTGGCGCTGAGTTGTCGTTCTTTCCGTGTGATCTCAGAAGCTGCAGGTCAGCTTGTAGCCGTTTCATTCGCCTTTCAAGAAGGCACATCTCGTTGAATCAACCCATCATCTAAGTCATGTTAGCAGTCGGAGCATGCAAAAGACTGTAGACCTTCCGCCCAAGACACACACTTGACGCACTCGGAGCCTATGGCAGATGCTGTGATGTATCCTCACAGCACGGCCGCTACCTGGGCACTGGCTTCTTGAATCTTTGCTTTGTACCCTTGCCTGGAGTCTAGAGAGCCTAGAGGCTTCACGGAGTCAGACGCCACTCGTGGGGGGCCTGGAGACATCTCCGCCCTTGCAGCAGCTCTTCTGTAATGTGCAAAACTGGGTTGTTTGACAGGGACGGAGAATTGATGTACCCCGGACGGCGCAGACAGGGCCTTGCCTGCCACAGGCCTGCAGTGCCTGCAGTTGGACTTGAAGCATCTTGAAGCGAAAGCAAGAAGTGTGGCCCCAACTTTTTGACCCTAAAGTTTGCAGGCTTCGGTCAGCTTTGTGCCCGTGGCTTGACTTGCAATGGGGTCGTGAAGCCTGGAATCACTTGGAAGCACTGCTGTGTAGGATCTGTCGCCTGCAGGTGGCAGTGCAATGCCCCAGAGTAAATTCATCACCATTCTTGCGCGGTGAGGGTGAGGCATAGGCTTTTTTTGCATGCGATGTGCTGCAGATTGATGTTGGCCAGCGGAGAGGGTGTTGGAGCGCAGGCTTTTATTTGCTCCAGGTGTCCTCCATATCCCTGTTCATGCGTAGCCAGACCATCTTGCGCAAGGGCTTGGAGAAGCATTCAGAATAACTCAGACTTAACTCCCCAGGGCTCCAACGCCAACGCCCCGTAGACACCAAGCCATGAATCCGCGAGTTCGGACGCGTGGGGGTTGCGCAATGCCTGGTCAGCTGGCCCTGAGAGGCAATGGATAGTGGCACATGTTGATCTGACTCATGGGTTCTTGTTCTAAACAACTCGAACCCAAAAAGGAATTCGCAGCGAAAGATTGCCCCAAAAAGGGCCCACACCTTCTTGCGTGTCCGGGGGAGGAGGCTAGATCTTGCAGCTCAGTCCAGTGCGTTGCAAGCACTTCGACTGCCCCAAGATGGGCCACCGCATCCACCAGGATGTCTGTACCTCCTGGTCATTGTGTTGCTGCACAGAGGAGGGCGCGCTGTCTTTTTGGTGCTTAGAAGGTGCAGCAGAAGATGTTTCATGCATGGTTGTGGCAGATGGTGACGCGGGAGGACTCCCGTTCTGCTCCTGGTCCACGGCCTCAGCTGTGCATCGCAGGCAGGTTTCCTCATTCTCCTCACTGCAGCGTCCTTGACAGTGGGCCTGGCTAGAAGGACCCTTCGATGTCGAGGTTCAGAGGCAGGAGTCTGAGCTCAATGAGACTTCTGACTTCGGCTGTCTTTGCCATTGCACGGTTCAGGCGGAAAGTGAGAAGAACTGGCCGCGGATGTACTACCAGGCCTCGCACATGTGCTGCGTGGGGAATCCGCCCATTCCTTGACCTCAACAACTCTCCTCCTATGGCTTGCTGACTTGGCAGCTGTATGTCATCGCCTTAGGTCCGGATAATGTGTATGCCTCTTGAGAACACGGGGGTTGGAGGTCTTCAAAATGAGTCGGGAAAGCAACTGAAACTGTTATCAGCGTGTTCGGGTACCGGAAAGTGCCAGCAAGCGTCCCCCAACCAAGATGCTAGAGGCAAAGAAGGCTTCCAGCAGTTGCATCTCTTTAGGTAACGAAGACCCGCGCATCACAACGATAGTCCTTGCCGATCGCATGAACAACTCCAGCACCAGCAGCGACGGCGCCAACATCACCAACAGCCACAGCCGCAGTGAGAAGCGCCATCATGTGTTTCGTGCAACTGCTGTGTCCCAGAGACATGCGTGACCTTCGGCCGTACCATCAGCGCCTTTCTTCTGAACTTCCAAACAATTCCAGCCACTCGCACCTCTGTCGTGCTTGCTCCTCAACATCTCCTTGAAAAGCATGTTGTCAGTTCTGCGAAGCATGGTTCCTTATGTGATGTGTCACATTGCAATACGGCCCCTTACATGTTTGAGTGCCCAGAGCTGATCTCGGCATCGAAGGTCAGCATAAGATTTTTTCGGAGCCTTTTGCATGTAGAGCGCAGTTCTTTCACACACAAAACCTTCATCAGAGTCACAATACCCCGGTTCTCTCTCTTTCTACTCTACTTGAATAAGCGAGAGGAATGATAAGTGGGGAGATGCAGAGACCTCCAGGAGAACCGGGGCACCCCGCTGGGGAAGGCCTTCTGGGGCCGGTCTACCACCGAGAAGTCGCCCAGAGTGATACAGACCTCGGAAAGACTGTGTATGGGGTTTTCAGGGTTTATAGGATTTATGGGGTTTATGGGGCGTGTAGGGTTCATAGGGCTTATAGGGTTTATAGGGCTTATAGGGTTTCTAGGGTTCATAGCGGTTATAAGGTTTCTGGGGTTTCTGGGCCTTAAATGCTTCAAAGGGTTTATAGGGGTTAGTGTTTTTATGGGGTTAAAAGGGTGTATGGGGTTCACAGGGTTCATAGGGTTTAAAGGGTTTGTGGGGTTTGTGGGGTTTACTTTAACCGGTTTCTGGGGTTTATGGGGTTTTCAGGGTTTTCTTTTTTTGGAAGGGGCTGGGGACTGGAGAGCTTGGAGGGAGCCGGAGTGGGGTGTCTGAGCCTGCATTTACAGTTTAGCTGCCTTTTGAGATCTAAGGTGGGGGGAGTTTGCCGAGGGCGATCCTGGCAAGTTCGACAAGGACGATCTCGTTGAGGCCAAGTACCCCGGGACAGACGACGCTCGCCATCACCTGCTTTCACCGTGTTGGAAGCAGTGAACCAGCAGCGGGGACATCAGTCTGCTTTCCCTGCACTTTGCAAGGTTTTGTGCTTGAGTCTCGCTGAGGATTGGTACTGCGCACAGGCGCCTCGTTCTGATCTGTGGGACCTAGGATTTCTTATGCCTGACCTTCTGGGATTTCGTATGCCTGCAGTCCTTGACATCCTTTGGTATCAAGTGAGGGCAGGCGTCAGAACCAACACAAGGCGCACAGAGAAACGATTCAGCGTGCAGCAGGCCACTTGTGAGCAGCTGCCATCCTGCCTTCCAAGCATCTGGCGCACTTAGGTGATGAAATATATCGGCGAGGGCGATTGGAGCCTCGAAAGATGGATTGTGCGGGATTTGTTGCTGCAGGTGAAAGGCAGGGCTTCGACAAAACGCCAAGATGTATGGGTTTCGAAGAAGTGTGCTCGTGTACAAAAGCAAGCCTGCAAAGTAGCAGTCAGCGGACCGGTGTCCCTGCCAAAGATCCGCACTGTGCTTAGACTAGGGGGGCCCAAAAGCCAGGCCAACACAAGGATCCCACTCTTGGGGTATAAGGGCCCCTTGCTAAAAGGGGTTGCTACAAATTAAGGATCATCCAATGGATGGATGACATGCCTGACGATGCCGCCAAAGCTTCCGTCGTGCCGACGTGGCTGGGCTGCAGAGCTCCCTTTGCCACGCTTTGCTGCCCGAGCTCGGCACGAGAAAGCCGAAGCTGAGGAAGGAGATGAAGCATGTCAAGCTGAACTTCGGCCGCTGAGCCCACCGCGCGCGGGCAGCCACTGCGCAGCGTCCGTGTTCTAGTTCTACATTGCTGTCCATGAAGCACAAGCTGCGTGGGAGCAAGGATTTCGTGTCCAACGTGTGCCAATTCAAGTCTGGATTTCCCAGGGCCCAGAACTATTTTTTCTGAGCTTGCTGACGCTCATCAAAGAATTCGGCATGAATGTTCGGCATGAATGCCGATGAGCTAGACAGCTGCGGACGACCCACAAAGACTTTGGCATCACCAGCGTGAAGAGAAGCAAATCAAATCCTGTTGAATCGTGGTGTAAGAGAGGCAAAACCAGCCTAACCGTACAAAGCAAAGACATAGCCATACAAACCAACATGTGTAGACTGATGCAGACGGAGTTGCTTTTGAAGAACTCGAAAGCTGTCCCTGCCTGATCCAGTGCTCGCCGTCGATTCGCTGGCGCAAGGCACTGGGTCTCAGTCCCTCCTTGCGTGCATTCTGCTTTCTTGCTGGCACCGCGGTTTTGATGCTGCTACTGCTGCTGTTGCGACTTGAGAGCCGCACTTCAGCCGGAACTCTTCGTGTGACACGTCTGTGCCGAGAGGACTGTTCGCCTCTGCACTGGCAAATGTCCGGGATGTCCACGCAAAGTGCTCGGCACACTTGCTGGTATGCCAGCTCTTCGATCATGCGCTTACATCGGCTGAGGCCTGTACAGGGACCCGTCCACGGCTTGGGAACGATCGGTCTATCCTCTAGGTCGGTGCAGGACCCGAGCCTTTGTAAAGATTGACAAGAGGCACCAGAGGCGCAAGAGGCACACAGGAGCAGAAGCAGGACATGTCTGATGCAGCTGCGATGGGGGGGGCTCTGCATGTCCACACTCAGACCACATCTCACGCTGTGGACTTTCATGTGCAGAGCACTGAAGGCTGAGTTTCGCGCCCTGAGTGTCGGGCGGCTCCGTGATCCTTTCGGTCAAGGCGTTGTTGGGAGCACAAGAGATATGAGAGCAGCATGCGGGTCTATGTAGGACTTCAATGTCCAGGGCGAGCTGTCACGCCGGCCGCACCCTTGGTTTCTCGTTTTAGCTTGGCACGCTGTCCACGAGAAAGTCTGCTGAAACTTCAGCAAGAGCGGCAGAGAGTGGACTTCTGAGGTTCGACGGCCGCCTCTTCCGCAGGCCAAGCACTAGGTCACCCAAGACCCAAGCATATGCAAACTAGACTTAACTAGACAGTGCATGGCCTGCTTTCTACAAAGTCCATGATGAGCAGCATCATCGTCATCAGCGTCATCGTCGGCATCATCGTCGTCGTCATCATCATCATCGTCATCAACCTTTGAGCAGCTAATTTTACAGAGAGCAAAGATGAAAAGAACAAAAAACCTGGAGCCGACATGCAGAATCTCTGCCAGACCTTGAGAGCAGACGGCTGGCGGTCTCGACAACGCATTTGACAAACAAGGTCACGCCGCTGTTAGCGGCCCTGGACCGTTTGCGCGCAGAAATGTGGTTCTAACCCACGCACAGGGCAGTGTTCGAGACAAAAAGGATTTTGTCGGCGGAAGTTATTTTTCAGGACTTGGAGTGATTATGAGGTGGTGTGTTGCTCAAAAGTACCACGCCTGCCAGTGTTTTCAGCATTCCACAGTGCTTACTGTGGGGATGCGATGTTGCGACTTTTGCACGTTTTCGGGTTTTGTGTTTGTCATTGTTCAGGGTGGAACGAGGTAACTGCAATGTGGTCTTATCTTCAAAAGTGCCACGCCCGCCAGTGTTTTCAGCATTTCGCATGTTTTTTGGGGGCCTGAAGTGTTCAGGGTGCAACGGGCTTGCAGTGGTTCAAGTTTAGGGCTTTGGGGTGCGCAGAGACGTTAAGCACGGAAAGCACGGTTTTGGCCGCGAAAGGCATGGACGCCTGTGACAGATTTCTTGTTCCACATCCTTGTGCAGTATGTTGTACAAAGAGGCGAAAACGCTGTAAATACCAGTGTTTATGAATGACGTTCTTATCCCCACCCCCCCCCCCCCCCCCCCCCCAACCCTCCCCCAACAGCACAACCGGAACAAGTCACCAAGAAGTGCCAAAACTAACGTTATACCCCGTTTTACCCAGGGCCGCGAACAACGGCGTGAGCACAAACAAACATGCATGTTGTCGAGCTGACGGCTTAGGGTTGGTAGGGTGGGTTTAGGGTTTGGGGTCTGGGGTTTAGGGTTTAGGGTTCTTAGGGTTGAAGGTTTAGGGTTCTTAGGGTTTAGGGTTTGGGGTTTAGGTTTTGGGGTTTAGGGTCTGCAGGATCCCATTTAATGAGCCCCTCATCCTTACTCCTAGTCTGGGTTTGTGGGGTTTTCCACGTTGGCGACGGTAATGTTGCACCCTCCTTAGTGTTGCCGAACAGTCGAAGAAGCTGATGTTGTCCCTCTTTAGCCTCTTTACTCCCTGCAGATTTTCATGGAACGAGTTTATATGAGTTTCAAAGGGACAGAGCCGGCAGTTGATTTTAAAGGAGCGCCACACGAAGTGTGTTTGCCACACCCGCGAGACTTAACTTAACCGACTCAACCCTCAAGCAGTTGCGCGGTCCTAAATTGCCCGACAAACTTGACTTTATAGGAGGGGCCCCTACTAAAGAGGGTTCAACATGAAACACAAAGCACAGGAGGGGCCAGAAACGCCTTTGTACAAGTAACATAATCACCACCGCAAAGGGGAACCTTTCTCCTGCATTTCCTTTTCATAAGACGGTCATTGGGCTACCAAGAATCTGACTTGTGACGGTCCAATGGCCCAAAAGTGGGTGGCCATTCGACATCCACCATGAGTGGCCACACTCCCCAGCAGTCCAGCATCGCCTCCGCCTTTTGCAGCTTTTTGACTTCATATTCATCTTGTAGTTCGACAAAGAGCCATGAAACAGCATAGTTCATGGCAAAACACCTGATATGATCTCAAAAGGCGTGTTTTCCTCCGGCAAGTAGAATCTGCAGCAAGCTCAAGCCGCGTGAAAGCATTTGTCGTGGAGCAGTGCTGTGCTTTGTGTGGTCACAGGCGCCGGTCGTGTCACTGGCTCCTGGGCCGTCCGTGCAGGCTTGCTCTTCAAGTTGTGAGTCGGACGACTGTTGTGGAAGCTTCCTGCAGGCTTTTCCTCAGCCGTGCGTGGAAGCGACGCACGGAGCCTGAGATACACGGGAAAAAAGGGGAGACAAGTTTGTTTCATGTTTGTCTTGGGTCAGGTTGCTGTCGCATCCGATCCCGAACAGCTGGAGTAGGCTGACAAGCGCAGCTTTGCTGCTGCCAGATTCGAGAGACTCTTGCGCTTGCGCCGGCAGGTCTCCACATGTGGTCACTCGTGGAAGCATGCCGCCCCTACGAGGGCAGGCAACCTTGAGAGTTACCTGTTCTGTGTGTTGAGGAGCCTGTTTCGTTCAGTCCAGTTCCAGCAGGGGCACTGCCAGATCACTGCGACAGCAGTCACCTCCACGATGTTGGGGCCTTTGTGAGGGAGCCGAAGAGAGAATACTAGAGTTACTAGAGGATGACCAGGTGCCTCAAGGTTCTACGGGTCGTTACATGGTCCAGTTGCCTTCTTTCAAGGGTTCTGAAGTATGGCCATTGGGCTTGATAGTATTTTATAGTAGGGTATACAAGGGGCATACACAAAGAGGCCGTAGAATTGCCCTTAGCCAGGTCGACGCCCAACCTGCCACGAGCAGAGCCTCAGGTGTGCGGCATGCGATCGAGGCTTTTGCGCCTCCGAAGCCTGAAGCGCATCCTCCACCGTTTGCTTGGGCACACAAGGGCTCGCATTTCCTGCACCCGCCAGCTTGGCTGCTCAAGGGCCTCAAGGTTCGTAACATCTCAGGAGTCACTGCAACGAACGTTGAACGCATCGGTTCTCATGGCGAAAGCTCAGCTTAGGCCCACACTGCCTCCATGACTCCATTGGTCATATTTCTGGGGATTTTGCTGTGTTTTGATTGCATAGAAACATACAGTGGCTGCTGGCATGGCAAAGATGGTGTTCGTGGCTCAGTATTCCTTCCTATGCAGAACCAGTGAGCCCTTTCACAGAGTTCGATAGCGCCGGACGCGGAGCCGAGGGAATCACCAAGTGCCAGCTGTGTCGAGCATCCGGTGCCCCTTCCTCTGATGTTTTCCGCGTTTACCGAAGCAGTGCGGCTCTTTTGATTGTGGTCCCCGTCAAAAGGGGGAGCTGATTCTCAGGCTGCGTGTCGTAGTCAGAAGGGGACCATGACTGAGAGAAGCCCCAGGAGTGTGGCAAAGCAGCAGTGTCGCTGTCGCCTCTAAGGATTGTTCAGTTGCTCGGGTGCCGGCAGGAACTCAGCTTGTCCGGGCCTTGTCGATCCAAGGTATCTTCAGAAATCCTCTCATAGTCCGTATGTTGCTCCAGTCCCTTCACACTTGCATCGTCTGTAATGCCGGTTGGATCTTGCGCCTTATCCCTTCCCATTCCTGTCGTGCTCAATCCGAAATCTTGTTGCGGAGAATGGCAGTCACCGTGGTGAGACAGCAAAACTGAGACAACAGAGTCAGACTCAAATGCCCGCTGTGTTGGCGATCCCTCTCAATTTCCCAAACAAAACCTTCAAGCGGCAAGAAAACACAGATTTAGAGTAATAATCGAAGGCAGCATTGCTGTACTATGCGATTTAATAAGAATATGATAATAGTATAGGAGCGCAGTTCACCATTTAGTTACTATATAGTAACAGTATAGAAACAATGCAGACAGGTTGGAAACAAATATGCAAACCGGGTAATAATGTATCAATATGGCAATATAGCAAGAAAGGAATGTAGAAATATGCCAATATAGAAATATATCAATACAGTAATGTCGCAAAGAAGCAATATTTTGATTCAGTGCTGTAGTACTCGTAAGACAATAGCATAATCATACAGTACTACAGCACTACAGCAATACAGGAAACAGAGATACAGGAATGCACAAGACAATACTGTACCAAGAGAGCAATCTAGCGACGTAACAATAGAGGAATATGCAATGCACAGGAAGACAGAGGAACCCTCGCTGCAGCACCAGGCAGGATGCAAATCTCTGCGAAATGTGAGGGTCGGCCGGTTCCATGTTGCAGGCACTGACACAGCTGGTGGCTCAACACTTTGAGGCCAGGCCACATTGAGAAGAGCTTCTGGGCATGCGTGACATGGGAGAATGGAGACAACCCAGGTGTCGCCTCCCTTCAGCTTCAGCAGCGATCAAGGCCATCTGGAACGGTGCCCTTAAGGCCTGGGTTGCCGAGAGCTATTCGCGTGTAAACCCACTCCAGGTGCCTTCTTGGAGGATGCGGAGGCCTTGGCTGAAGCAGTGAAGGCTGCTCAGCGTTGAAACAGATAGCTGATACCGAACGAGCGGCTCTGCATTGCGTCGTTGAGTTGACGGCGAGACTTTGCTAGACGTGGCAGGCTGGATCTGTGATAGCAGGAGCCTCGATTTGGAGAGAACACGAGAGACCTCTGACAGTCTGACGCCTACGAACCTCAGGTGGTGCACCTTGGCGCCACAGCCCTCCATGACTTCGGCCGAAGAGTCCATGCCTCGAGATCGACAAGCTTCGCTGAAGTTTGGATGGGCGCCTCATTGTTTTTCCAACATCTCCCAGAAGTCTTTGTTTGATGAAACTGGGGGTTGGCCATTCGGCGAAGCACCGGCATGTCCCGCCATGTCAGACTTGCTGACGGGTTTTCGTGCATTGTAGCCTCCTCTCCGTCTCTGTTGCACTCCTGCCTCCTCCTTCTGTGCTTCCCTGGCCTTCTCAGCCTCCATTCATCCGTAACAAGTCCGGGTAGAATGGCCTTGCTCGGTGCTACCCCCAGCACAAGTTTCATTTTCTTGCCATGGCTCCTTGGCCGTTCTGGTTTCTTGCCCAGGGCTGATACTTGCTGGTGACTTCCCGGGCTTCCTTGAGAGAAATACAACATCCTGCCAAAATGGGGCAGAACAGCTGCACTCTGTCTCTGTCTCTCTCTCTCTCGCTCTTGCGCTTTTTTTGCCCGTTTCTCTTCCTCTCTCTCGTTACGGCAGCTGGGGAGACATTATCTCCATGAGTCTCCCTCCTCCAAGGTGAGGCAGCTGCGGAACTTGCAGTGGGGACTCGTGAGTCAGCAGCTTGAGCCGGGACCTTGAGGTACAGCACGGGCTTCCCTTGACATGCCCTAGACGTGCCCTAAATCTGAGAGGGCTGCATCACCAGCGCAACCCGACCATTGTTGCTGTAGAGCGAGTTGGGGTGCACAGATCACCTGCCGAGGAAGGTTCGTGTGGAGAGCGTGGTGCACATGATTCCCGGCGGTGCCTGCTCTTGCAGGCTCGCCTTAAGCTCAACCAAAAAAGAAGGCTGCTATGGACGAGGACACACTGCCGGCGCAGAATGCCGTCTCGCCAGGAAGTCTGCCGAGACGATTCTGGGTGAGCAGCCGCAAGCTCGGCATTTGCCATCGACATCGACATCCCAATGGTATAGAAGGGTTCGTTGATACTTCGCCAGGTTTGCCGAGTTCCGTCTCGAGGTGAAGCAGACGCTCGATGCCCAGTGCTTGTGCATGTGGTGACCCGGCATTATCACTGCTTCTTGCACGGATTTCTTGCGCAGCCACGGCAGTGAGAGTCACGCAGCAGAGACTCTTCAGAGACCCACAGGCAACGTAACAGCACTCCTAGCTCTTGCAATTTTGGGGGGCCATGGCGGCTGCACCATCCCGGAGCCGCTCGCCAGCACGGCCAGCTTCGCAGCCTCTGCAGAAGCTCGGGATGGACCTGGAGGGCCACAAGGCGCTGGTCACGGGCGGCTCCCGTGGCATCGGCCTTGCCGCGGCCGAGCTCCTGCTGTCGCTAGGCGCTCTGCTCGCTGAAATCTTTATGTCTTCCAGGATCTTGTCGCATCGCATAGTCGCATAGCAGCGAGTAGCATATCGCTTTGTGTAGCTTCCGGAAAACCTAGTACGATCTTCTGCAACGCAGGTGCAGAGGTGGCCATCTGCGCACGAGGCGCCGAGGACCTCCAGTCAGCTCGGCAGAAGATGCCGCACAGCGAGCGCTGCCACACCATCGTTGCCGACCTCTCCACCCAAGCGGGCGTCAAAGCTTTGGTGGGGCAGCTTCCCTGGCCGGAGCTTGATATTCTGGTCAACAATTGTGGCACAAACATTCGGAAGAGGGCAGAGGATTTTCAGGAGGAGGAGTTTAACAAAGTCTTCAACACCAACTTCATGAGCTGCATGTGGCTCACTCAGGCAGCGCTGCCGCTGCTGCGGAAGGCCCGAGAAGGCAACCGAAGCAAGCGAAGCAGCTCCGCGGTGGTGAACATCTCCTCAGTAGCCGGCTGCACGCACATCCCGTCTGGCTTCCCCTACGGCGCTTCCAAGGCCGCGATGGATCAGATGACCCGCAACCTGGCGGTGGAGTGGGCCCGGTTCGGTATCCGCATCAACTCCGTGGCACCGGGCGTCATCGAGACCCCCCTGATCCAAACTGCCAGCCCAGTCTACGTCAAAGACTTCAAGGAGCGGAAGCCCATGAAGCGCATGGGACAACCAAACGAGGTGGCACGGTCCATCGCTTTTTTGGCGAGCGATGCTTCGTCCTTTGTAACGGGCCAGACGTTGTACGTAGATGGTGGTTTCACGGCCTCGGGCTTCAATCAGATCCCCGGCTATTGGGAGAGCGCATGATGCCAGGAAACCGCTAAATGAACCACCCATGGGAAGCTTTGGCATTTGGCTGTGTTTCTCTGTTTCCATGGCCCATCAGCCCCATCACTGCTGTCGAAATCTTCGTTGCCTGTGTCTAAAGGTTGCAGCTCCGCTTGGAGAACTTGCAGGAGGCCATGGAGCAGCGCCTCAGGAGACTGGAGGCTCGCATGGGCGACTTTGCCCAGATGTTGCTGTGTCCTGGTTCTGGATTGGACTCTGCTCTCTCTCTCTCTCTCTTTCTCTCTGTCTCTCTGTCTCTCTCTTCAAGCAGTCGCCCGACTGGGAAGACCAATAGCGTAATGTTGCCCTGCCTTGGCAGCAAGCAGGAGTCCTGGGAGCAAAGACTGGGCCACTTGCCAAGCTCTCGCATTCTTGATAAGCCCGGCATGAAGGTGCAAGTTTCCCTAAAAATTGCAGACTTGTCACTTGGGGGCTGTTTACGGGCTGTTTCATCCACGCCTTGTCGCATGCTGCTGCCCAGGCTCAGCATTGGCGGCGATGAGCTCGGAAAGGTCACCGAAGGTAGTGCGCTCAGAGTGTGGCTGACACTTGGAAGGCTCTGACACTTGGAAGGCTCTGAATGAGCAGTTGCCATGCCTGCCGACCCGCTTCTGCGCTGACATGGGACTCCCCCGATGTGTCCAGGAGAAAGATCCCGAGCAGCGTGCCGAGTTCGAGGCCTCTAAGTAAACACTTCTGGGCAACTCTTTGAGTCTTGCAGCTTCGACTTGTGGGTCACACGTGGCTGTACATCTTCAAGTAGAGAGAGCAACTCCTCATCATGGCGCTGTCTTCTGGTCAGGGGCTGTCGGATCTTCTGAGAACCGAATGCAAACGCGTTGCGGAGTCGGTGGATGACCTTCGCGAGGCCCTTGCTTGGCATGCTTCGTATGCTTCGCGCAGGGCGTGTCACAAACTCAACTCTTGAAAGCCTCAAACTTAGAACTGGGCCGGGTGTCTGCTCTGGCAAGATTTGTTGAGTCCGCTATGGCAAAGACTACTGTAGAACTCTCGAGAACCTCATGGTTTTTCTTCGCAGGCATGTCTAGCGAGCTGCGGCCACATCTTGATTTATAGTGACTCTGCACGGATGTCCTGCCAGGAATGCCGGGAAGCTTTGCAGCGAGAGGCCAGCAACGGCCGAAGTCATGCAGAAGTTCTTGATATCGTTGGATTCAGGTACGAGCGCGGTTGGAGCACCACCGCAAGCTGCAAGAGGCTGGATTCGCGTCTGAGTCGAGAGGACTTAAGCTTATAGTGTCGGTCCACAAATGGCTCGATTTGCAGGAGTTTCGGCAGGAGGCCAAGGCGAGACTCCAGGCAAGTGCCGCCGCGACACTCTTCGACCGCTCATCCCCCACCTTGTTCGGCACTTCTAGGTGGCCTCCAAGCTCGAGCAAGAGATTCAAGCGATCCAGGAGTCGGATTGACCCTCAGCTTCTGGGCTCTGGGCTTCTTGGCTTCTTGGCTTGATTGTCTTTGTATGTCTTTTGTATGTCTTTGCTGATTCTTGCAGGCATCCAGCGCTAGGAGCACCAGTTGCCACGAAGTTGAAGGTGTTCGGCAAAGGCCGCTGGGAGCAGCTCCAGCTTTGCTTTCGTGGGCAGGGAGTTCTAGTTGAGAGCGGTGAGATTCATAGCGCCCTTGCAGGGTTCTGGTCGAGCCTCGGCGAGAGGCGGGGTCAACGACAACGCAGGCATCGCGCGGTGAGCTTCTGCTTGCTCCTGAGGTTTTGCTGCCCTTCGCGACATTTGCGGAGCCTGTGACCGCGGGCGCGGGCTCACCCATGTCTGAACCCTTTTGCTGCTTGTTACTGGGGCTTGTTTACTCACGAGAGTGGCGCGTAAATACTGACACGCACCATGTTGCTCTCTGGCTGAATCTTGGTCGTCTTCGCCATGAAAAGGCTCTTCCTGTAGGCATCGAAGTTGCAGAGAAGGTCTCAAGGCGACAGCTCCACCGCACCATCTAAAATTGTGGGCTTCTGCACTCGACCGTGCATCTTGTACACTCTCGTGTCCAGAGGTCGTCTTACCCGGCCTCTTTGCACGGCGAGACACCAGGCTGTACCTGCAGAAGAGTAGCCTCTTCGTGTCTCTGACAAAGTCGAATCCGTTTTCCTCATGCCATTGCCTCAGGGTCGCCAGGCACAGCACGGAGCCCAGCACGGCAGATTCAAGAAAGCTGCTTACATGCGCCAGAAGTTGGTAAAGTACATGAACAGTACTATCACGGACTGTTTGTGAAGAGCATTGAAGTGCTGCAAGTCGCGGTGGCTTCTTCCAGGTGCATGTGCGCCTGCCAGCCTGACGCCGCACAGGAGCAAGTCGATTCAAGTCCACCTTGTCCACTCTTGGGCCATCTGGGGGTTTACGGAAATAGGGGACCCCCTGATTTAAACCCCACATAGTAGGATTCCACCCCTAATATCGTAAACCCCATCGATGGCCGTTGCATCGCATTGCGCGTCAGGAGGGTTCCCTTTTACGGAGCGGCTTGCCTCGTGGCGCCTCGGACATTTGCTGGATGTCCAGAGAGTCTCGAAGGTTTCACAAAGTCTTGGAATCGAGGGCCACAGGTTCCTTCAGGCTGTTCTCACTTTGCCGGCCTCGGATCCTTCTTTCTCAGACCACCTCCCAAGCCCACCCCTCCCTCCCTCCCTTCTCCCCCCCGAGTCAACGTTGGGAAAAGTTCTCTCTCTTCAAGAAGTGGTGTCACTCCGCGATGCTTTTGTCGCGGAAGCTTCCTCTTCCTCCTCCCGCCGTCTGCTTGAAAGCAACGAGGACACAACCTTTTCCGGTCCATCGGGCTGAAGGATCGCTTCGCCTGAGTCTGTCTCTTGGAGCACCAGACCTCTTGGAGTCAGTGTGTGCACGCGCCAGTGAATTCACGCAGAGAAGCTGTCCCTTCTCCGGCATTCTCTGTGCTTGAACGAGTTGACTGTATGTCTTCAACTCGGCCTGCCAGAATCCAAGAAAAGCTGCAGCTTTCAGCCTCCAGCTGTTCTTGGGCAAGCTGTGGAGAAGACAGGGCAGCAGCCAACAGTGCGCAGGTCCTACACTCCGGATCCCCTGGTCCCCTGGCCCATGCGCGCACCCAAGCTTTTGCCAAAAGTGCATTCCAAGTCCAGCTGCTGGCTTCCTGCCAGGGCTTCAATCGGTTTTGCAGGCCAACGCCGCGTGCGCATGTGTGCGTTGCGCAGCCGCAAGCGGCCAGCAGGCCGTGGGCTACTCAGAAGAAATTCCACGAGGTTCCACGACTTGAAAGGGAGTGATGCTTTGGTGGGTCTTGTAGCTGCCCTTCGCCTCAGCCGGCGAGGTTTGCGGCCGTGGCTCTGCCAGCCAATCTGCGATGCCTGAACCCGAGACGGCTGCTGGCAGCACAAGCTTCGAGCCAGCTTGTTTGCTTTTGAGACTGGCGACGAGCTCGTGGACTGAGGTGCCAGTTCTCCACCCGGCGTACAGGCCTCTCAGGGTGTTGGGACAACGTGACACGCCTGACATGACATTCACGTTTCGTGTTGAGGCACCGCCAAGGGCTGCTCCGAGTTTGCAGCGTGCTTGGCTGCATGCTGCGTATGCTGGTCCAACAACATCCAACAACCGTGCAACCGTGAGAGCAAGAAGCTAAGCTAGAGCGGCCTTACAATTGAGAGCACAACAAAGTGTACATCGGCGGAAGCACCATAACGGTATGGTTCTTCAATGGGCTGTCTTTCAAAAACCGGCAACGCGCAGTGCGACAGCTGCGCCCTTTATCCTACCCCTTCTGCCGCCCCCCTTTTGTTTCTCTCCATCCTTGCCCTTCTTTGCCGACCCCTCCTCCTGGCTTGTTTCCGACTTCGCTACCGGGAACTACCGCATCCGGAAGATAAGTTACGCAGTTAAGCCCAGTTAAGCATCCACATGCGCCAATCTTTGACACCTAGCAGTTGTGCAGATCCGTTGCGTGCCCTGCAAAAGATCGCCAGGCGTCCAAACAGGTGTCGAAAGGCCTCAGCCCAGGCAGGCACAATGCAGTGCTCGTGAAGCTCAGGACGCGAATTGCATTCGATACACCCATTCGCATCCCATTCACCATCATTCACCGTCTCGCAGCCTCAGAGGCGCACTCCGAAACTTGGACTCCTAGCCCCGACGAGTGACAAGAGATGACAAGAGCCAAAGGTAGCGCAAGCATCCTATTCACATATCCATCATCACCAAGCCATTAACGAGAACACGCCGAACCGCAAAAGTCTGACGAAGCTGATACCACGTGTGTTTTTTGCACACGTGTTGTTTTTGCTGAGGTCTCCTCGCAAGGGCTTGTACGAGGTGTGCCCTGCTGGGTCTCCAATTGAGGGTTTAGGGTCTCGGGTGTTGGCATTTAGCATACTTTAGCCAATATTTCTCGAAGAAAGAGGAGTTCGGGATGGAGGCCATTGGGTTGCGAAGCTTTGTGTGTGAGGAGCTGACTTGTGCGGACTGTAGACCCTCTAGAGTCGGTCAGACTTCATGGAGAGGTGACGCGCTGCGATCCAGCTCAGGCAGCCGCGGCTGCCCGCGCTTTGGGCAGGCGTTTGTGGGGCAGACCTTGCAGCCCGATACCCCCAAATAGTAGGATTCCCTTATAATGACTACCCCAATAAGGTACCCCAAATTTCGGAAACCCCATATGTTTGCTCTCTACACAGGTCCACGCCACCTCCCCCGACGGCACGAGCAGAGTCCGAGCTGCCCAAGGACCGTCTTCGAAGGAGTTTTCACCGGGGTCCCGGGGTGTCCCAGAGGGGATGTTGCAAACCTAGGGGTACCATGATGTATGACTCGTGTCGCGTATTCTGGTATACGAAATTCTCTTGAAAAAAGCATCTACTGTTGCTACGGCTGCCTGCCGCTGCTATGATTCTTCTACCGTTGCGAAGGACGATTCTGAGTTGCCGAAGTGCGCCGCAGGCATCGAGGCCCCAGCGCGGCGACCCGTTCACACATGCTTTAGCTGGTTCTTGTTTTGATGTCTTTGTTTCAAGACGACTTTGTTTGATCTCTCTGCGACCGTCGCTAGTTGGGATTGATTAAAGAGGAGCCCCTTGCGCTGCAGCTTTTGGCAGTTGCTGTCCCGCAGGTCTCCGTCGGCGGCACCCGCTACCGCTGCCGCTCCGTGCTAGGGCGCGGCTCCTTTAGTGAGGCGGCTGCGGTTGTGAAAGTTCCCCAAACCTAAGATCTTGGGTAACACCCCAAAAACCTTAAACTCGAAACCCTAAACCTAAAACCCTAAACCCTAAACCCTAAACCCTAAACCCTAAACCCTGAACCCTGAACCCTAAACCCTAAACCCTAAACCCCGAGAACCCCAGATCCTTGGAACTCCCCAGGTTTGGTCCGGGGAGGTGGTGGCCGAGAGAAGCGTGCCGGGCGCGCCGGAGGCATCAGCGGTGGCTCTCAAGGCCGGGCGACCGAGAGTAAAGGGGTCACGAAGCATGCTTCAGTGATTCTTTTTTTGGGGTTTGGGGTTTAGGGTTTAGGGTTTGGGGAGGCTCTTTAGTCTTTAGTGTATGTGTGATTCCGGCATGGTGCGCCTGAGTAACTCGCGCTCTTGCGCGGTTGTGAGGACATCTTCTGCAAGACGAAGGCCCCAGCCTGCCACGGATGCAAGCGACACCGCAAAACGATCCTCTGACTCAAAGATTCCGAGAGCCAATGAACTGCCACGCCAGGCAGACTTAGAGCAGACTCTTTTTGAGGTGCGCAAGGGCAACTTGGGATTTTTTGCCTGCAACAAGTCTGCTGCTGCTGCTGCTGCTGCTGCTGCTGCTGCTGCTCCACATTGCTCTGTGCTGTTGAAGACGTTGTCCTCGTCCTCATGTCGGCATCACCCTCGTTTTCATGGTTTCGGTCTTGGTCGAGGTGTCGCTGCTCGAGCGCTTCAAGGAAGTCAGCAGCATCGGCAGGGAGGCCCGCGGCCATCACAGCCAGGGAGGAAGCCCAACGACAGCAGAAAGGGAGCAGGGGTCTCACAAGACACTAGTCTGACATGGACTGAACGCATGTCGTGAGCTCACGCCGGCGCAAGTCCGTCTGCGTCCGTTTGAGTTAATGGTCGAGGCTGCCATGCGCATCCCGCGCTACTTCGGTCACAAGGCATGTTTGTGTGCCCTCAGCAAAGCCGAATCCTTTCCTTCGCAATGCAGTTTGGCGCAGGTCGATCAGAAAGAAGACGGCTGGCGGGTCTGTTTAGTGGAGCCCTCAAGACTTCCACGCCTTGTTTCTCGTGTTACCGTGCGTATCCGTTCTTCCTCCGCATCGTCATCGACTGAAGTGGGTCAACTGTACAACGTTCTACTACACAATCTAGCACTGCTCGTGATGGCCTCGAAGACTGCGTCAGATTGTGGGCCAGGGCGCTGTGATGCTTGCCTACGGTAATTTCGGAGTCGACTCAGTATGCTTCCACTCGTTCGGCCAGCTGGGACATTTAACTGAGGCCATGGCACGGCTACCAGGCGAATGCCTGGATTCTTGGCTGCGGCGTGCACCACCGCCCAACCAGGCAGTTGTGGCAAGTTCCAGCTGAGCTGCCCCAAACATCGTTGAGTCTGAGTTTGGTCAAGGATGGACCCAGCGCAGTGCGCCGTGGCTGTGCCAGCAGCCCGGAGAGAAGAACGGCTCGATTAATCAAGCCGGTATGTTCTTGTCTCAAGTTCCTGCTTGCTTGGCTTCGAGGCATTGGCAATGGCTCTGATCAGGTGCCCTTGCTGTCCATTCGGTACACGTCACTCTGAATCGGTCTTGGAAGCACGAATCGCCTACATGCTCACTGGAGCTCTTCAGCTCGAACCCTCGAGAATGGATGCTCTTCGCAACGGAAACGCGTCAGCGTCGGGCATGGGCGTTCCGCGGTGGATATGTCGGTAGATGCAGGTAGTATGGACGTCCTCATTCAGAAAATCTGGTTCCCTGAGAAGCTATTTAAGAAGCCCCGCCTCGGTAAGCCTAGCGTGGGCCTATGGGCAGGCCCTGCTTCTAATGTCAATCTCCCTCGCCGGCGCTCGTAGCACCAGAGTATGCCGAGCGGTGCAGTGGCGGAAAGATCTGTTGCAGGGTGTGTGTTGTTTGAGTGTGTGTGTGTGTGTGTGTGTGTGTGTTTTTTCTTTTTTATTTTACTATATTTTTTTTTAGTGTGTGTCTCTGTGTGTGTGTGTGTGTGTGTGTGTTGTTGTTTGTGTTTGCCTGTTGCAGGGAGAGGGAAGGGCTTGGCTGCAATGAGTCCGTCGCAGGCAGCTCGGGCCAACACTCGAGCGGCTCGCACCCCACGCCTGGCACCGGGATGTGAACTCGGCTTGGGGCCCAGTCGAGGCAAAGGCATCAGAAGAGGCTTCTGACCTTGTTTCCATGTGCCTTGGGATGTTCCCCTTATACTAGTATAATCCCTCTGAAGGACTGTTTGTATTAAGGGGAACATCCCAACATATGCCCATCTTGTCCAGCACCCGTGCGCCCCTGCTGCGCTGCCTGCAGCACAACGTGCTCTTGAGCGACGCCCTGGACGGTGGCCGCTTGATGCCTTGTGCCGATGTGGAGGCCGGAAGATGGGGAACCCGAGAGAAGCGAAACCACTGCAACGCAAGAGTCTGCAGCTATGTGCAAGCCTCCAGGAGACCTCCAAGCGAGTCACTGGGCCGAATTGTTGTCAAGAATCTGAGACCTGATGTGTGTTGTCGATATGTTGGCTACAGATGTCTGTGACTGTCCACCTTGAGAATCGCCACGTGAAAAAGGCGTGCTTTTGGCTTCTGGATTTCGGCCTGGCTGTAGATGCCGCCACCTGGCGTCTGCCTGAGTGTGAGCTTTTTCTCTTTGAGGCTTTTTCTCCGTTTTTCCTCCCTACTTCTTCCCCACACCTGGCGCGTGAGGCCGCAGCGCTGGCCGCACTCCGATGTGGCAGGAGACGCTTTTGGATGCTTTTGGCTTCTTCCATGAAGCCGCAGCGGCCGATGGGTTGTTGGCACGCGGAATCGGCTGGGAAGTTAGTGGTTTCATGGCCTTCGCCAGATCACGGCAGATCACGGCAGATCACGGCAGATCACGGCAGATCACGGCAGGTTCCAGTGCTAAGCCGCTCAGCCAAGCCTGAGGCGGATGCCGGCATCCCGGATGGGAGAAGCCCTCTGTGCGCCCCACAAGGCATAAGGCAAACCAAGAACCGGCCACGGAATCAGGGCAATGCGGCTACGTGCTTATGCAGCCATTCCCTGATACACGGGGGGAGGATCCTGAAGGATGTGGCAGGCTTCCGTCCCTGCTTGTGGGAGGTCATGGTGCACAGTGCCAAGGCACAATTTGACAAACACGAAAGGAAGAACATACGACGCATCAAGATAACGCAAAACACGAAGACCAGCAGAAGCAATCCCGAAAAATGTCAGGAATACCTGGAAATGGTTTCAGTTCGGTCGGGACAGCACAGTCAGAATGATACCAAAAAGCACACGATGTTGTGCCAAGGGTTACAGTAGACAACAGACACCGCTAACCAGCCGCTTCATGGCTCGACGTTTTGTCGAGGTCTTCGCTGGTGCTTTTGTTGAAGGTCTGTCCGGTGTTGACCACTATGATTCCAGGAGACTGCCGATACTGGGCGGCGAGCTCCTTCGTGCTTGACCTCAGCTCTTCAAAAAGGCAGCGCGCGTTCCGGCGCATGCAAGCCGAGGTCATGAGCTTTTGTGGTCCTGAGGCGGGCTCAAGTCGCGGAGTCGGTAGATTCTCGGCAGATGTCGGAATTTTGCTTTGTTTTCTGATTTTAGAGGAGACGGCAGCGAAGAAGGACCTCTGCGCGCAATACCGAACCAAGCTTGACGTCGTGGGTCTTGGCAGGGGGCCTGGTGTGCGTTATAAATGATGCTGCGCTCAACATGACAGCATGATGCTGATGCTACTGAAGATGATGATGATAATGATGATGAACAATGTCTCGAGTAGGTCTTGACCGGGGGTTGTCGGGGGCATCCCGGGGGAGGGGGGGGGAGCTCTTAACAACCCTCACACTCTAAACTCTAAACCCCTGGCCCTAAACATCCGAAGAGAATCCCCGAAGCCCTGAAAGATCCTAAACCCTAAACCCTAAACCCTAAGCCCTAAGCCCTAAACCCTAAACCCTAAACCCTAAAGCCCTAAAGCCCTAAAACCCTCAGAGGCCTGACTGCCCTGGAGCTGCTGTGCAGCTCGGTGCTGGCCAGCCGCGAGTCCTGGAGCCGCTCGGAGCGCAAGAAGGATGCAGGGGCTTAGGGTTGTCAAGGCTTTTGTGCTGTTCCTCGCCCGGTCAGATATCAGGCATGACCCAAAAGGCGGGCAACTGTACCATAGTGTGACATGAGCAGGCTTGCAATCCCCACAAGCCAGTTTCAATTGACCCCACCAAACTCAGAACACCAAGCCCCGAAAAACACGTAATGCTCGGCTTGGCCTTATCCCGCTAAGGGTGCTTTTGGGCTTGCGCTGAAGACTTGAAGGCTATGAAAAACTTGAAGGCTACTTTCCAGATTGTGTCTGACGTTCGGGCTTTTAGGGACTCTTCTAGCAGCTCTTGCTAGACTGGAGGAAGCAACAACTGCTGCTGGGCCGAAATGCTTGGATTTGTCAGTCGCCGTCGAGCAAAGTGTCACGGTGGCCTTGCAGTGTCTTCATCCATTCGACCTTCAACCCTCAACCCGAGACAGTCAACCCGACACCATCAACCCGACACCAACCCGACACCATAAAACCCGAAGCCCTGAACCCCTTCGCCCTAAACCCTAAACCCTAAACCCTAAACCCTAAACCCTAAACCCTAAACCCTAAACCCTAAACCCTAAACCCTAAACCCTAAACCCTAAACCCTAAACCCTAAACCCTAAACCCTAAACCATCTGTAGCCCGAGAACCCGTCTGAGGCCCGGACGGCCTGCGCGGCTCCTGGGAGCGACTCTTGGAGACCTGGGAGAGGCGGAAAGCTTGGTTTAACATAGGGTGGAGGGGTTTAGGGTTTAGGGTTTAGGGTTTAGGGTTTAGGGTTTAGGGTTTAGGGTTTAGGGTTCAGGGTTTAGGGTTGAAGTAGCTAGGGTTTGAATCGGGAATAGAGTAGTACATGCAGCATATACGATCCCAGCTCTTTGGCGTTCTCCTTTGGGAAGGTACCGCGATGACGTGACGCGATGGCACACCATGATCTTCCAGGTCTTTGCCAAGGGAGGCGGGGGCATGTCGTCGAAGTCCTTGCAGCGTGGCGTGAAGATGCTGGGCTTAGGGCAGTCGGAACTCGTAGCCAATCATCTTGGCCCAACAGGACCGACAGGGCCACTGTAGGCGTACCGCAGGCACATCGAACGCCGAACGCCATGGGTGCGTCAACCAGCACACCCAGCACGGACTCGGATCTGAGGCTCCTGAAGGCGCAGCCGGCGAGTTCCCGGTTGCGCCAGGAGGCCTTCGAGCGCCTGAGGCTCAAGTTTCTCACCCCCATCGGGCCAAAGGAGCTGCTCGAGGCGAAGGCGCAGGTCGAGGCCTTGCGCTTCGCGCGCCTCTGGCCAGAGCCGCCCGAGGGTGCCACGCGCCTAGATGCCGAGGTGCGACGGAGAAGAGTGTTATACAAGGGGAAAAGCAGGTCCTCGGAGCAATTGTGAGGATTTGACGCGATTTGCAAACATTCGTGCGGGCAGTGGCGCACTGACATGGTTCAATGCTTTTCTTTTGCCAGTCTATCGGGTGGCTCATACCTTAACAAGTTCAGCACCCTTGCTGCAAGAATAACATTGCCTGTACCTGACGCAGGTCCTGGCAGATCGTGTACGGGGCGCTCTCTTTGGTGCAGCCTTGGGAGATGCCGCTGGCCTGGCGACGGAGTTCCTCTCCGCGGCGGAGGCCAGGGAGTTTTACGGGCCAGAGGCGGATTTTCGGCCCGGCCGGGCTCTGTTCCCGGATGAACACCGGATGATGTGGTGTGCCGGGGACTGGACCGATGACACCGACCAGCAGGTGCTGATGATGCAGTCGCTCCTGCACTCGGGTGGCAACGCCGATGCCTGTGACTTTGCATCTCGCCTGCTGTCCTGGCGGACATCGGGCTTCCCAGAGTTGGGGGATCAGTCGGCAGCGGGCCTGGGACAAACCACCAAAGCGGTTCTAAATGATCCAGACTTCGAGAAATCCCCCCACAAAGCTGCAGCGGCGCACTCTGCAAGCATCCCCTCCAACGGAGGAGTCATGAGGACAGCCTTGCAACGCGTTGCATGCGTGACCATTCTTTTTTCGAGTCCTTGTCCCTCAGTCATCTCGGCCCTCCTCTCCCTATCGTGATTTCAGGGTTCTCCAACAAGATTCTTAGGGTTTATTCGAGGGGACCCCCCCATCTTGGGAAATGCGCATCTCGGCGCTGGCCTTCCAGGACGGCGGTCGCGGGAATTCCGAATTTCTGGTGTGAAGACACCGTGGCAGCTGCGGCACAGACGTTCTGCCTCACCACGCATGCGGAGCCCAGGTGCGTGGCCAGCTGCATGGCGGTTGCACTTTGCGTGAGCCGACTTCTGCGTGGAGAGGATCGGGGGGATGCCGACATGGTAAAGTCGGTGGTGCAGCCTGCTCTGCTCAAGGCTCAGGAGCTTCTTCCCTCCGATGCGGATCGGCAGGAGACCAAGTTGTGAACTATGGGCGATTTCGAACTCTCAGAAGTCTATAGTCCAGGACAGTGTATTTCCCGAGCTTTGTTCAAATGTGTTCATGGTCATTTGTACAGCCCGTCGCCCGTGTCTTCAACATGACATCTTAGACAACGAAGAAGAGGCAGCAAAGCGAGAAGCCAAATTCTACAACCAGTCCAGTGCAAGGTTGAGGCAGTGATGTTGCGTCGAGCCTTGCAGGAGCTGCTGCGGCACGCGGAAGCTCGCGAGCTACGAGACCTAGCTTTGGACGATCGAAAGACGATCGGCTTCACGTTCAAGTGCCTTGGCTCCGGCCTCTGGGCTTTGAAGCAGGAAGGGGAGTCTCCGGAGCTCTTTCGCCGAGTGATGAACGAGCTGATCTTGGCCGGTGGAGACGCGGACACCAATGGAGCCGTGGCCGGTGCGCTGCTTGGATGTCGCCTGGGATTCAGCCAACTGCCCTCGGACTTGGGCTTGGGAACGTCTGTGCACTGTAGTTATATGTAATTACTGTGGTTGTTCGGCTTGCGAGTAGCCTAGCCCCTGCCAGGAGTGGATTGCTGGCATGCCGTACAGTTCGTGGCTTGAGGCGTATGTGCAGAAAGTCTTGTTCATGCTCCGGCGAGGTCGAGGAAGCCCTGTCGTGCAGTCGTAGACTGCGCCGCTCTTGCACAACAACACCGCAGGTACATCTGTAATACCTTTGGCAGAGCCCATACTGATTGTATCCGAAGGGGCAGCCTGGCTTCGGACAAGGACCAAGTATGCCCAGCTGCACTCTGTACAGAATGAATGCATGGGGCGAGCAGTGGGCCCTTGTGAGTTCAGCAAAATTGTCGGCACAACATGGACAGACAGTACAGTCAGCCAAAGTCACGCAAATAGAGTACGGGCGCCGCATCAAGTCACATGTGACGAAAACGCTATGGCCATTGTTGTCCGTGGACCTGCAGCCTTTGCTATGAGAAGCCAAACAGCCCCCATGCCAAAGACGATGTAGCCGCGTAGCTAGTTGCTTGAGCCCTTGCAGATCTGACTAATCTTAGCCACTGCGTTCTCCAGATACCCCACTGTATCGAAGTGCAAAGCACAAGCGCATCTCCGTCGGGCATGGCACATGGCAGCTCGTCCAGGCCCGCTGCCTGCGGCACTTTGCAAACCAAGACACCGCGCTTTGCAGTTACTTTGATTGTGCTCCTTCCTTCAGATCTTCATAACTTGGCAGTTCCACGTGCCCCTACGCCATCCTGGGCGTCTCCCGGGACAGCGCACTCACCGTCTTCCGCTCTTGCATGCCCGTGGTCACAAAACATCCCCAGCCACTGCTGCGAACCCTTCCGCACGTCTAGGACGCGTCACCCCGAGACATTGAGCGTGCCTGGCGCCAGAAGGCCTGCCCTAAACTCCCCTAAACTGCCCTAAACTGCCCTGAACTGCCCTAAACTGCCCTGAACTTCCCTGAACTGCCCTGAGCCCCCAAGAAAGTGAGGCACGAGTTCATCATCCAGACAAGGCCAGTTCGAGCTTGCAACGGGCTCATGAAAAATGGACGGGATGGATCTGAACATGTTCACTGTCTCGGGTACCCTGCATCTATCACACTCCGTATGACAATTGAGCCTAAACCCTAAACCTTACACCCTAAACCCTAAACTCTACACCCTAAACCCCATACCCTACACGCTACTGTTTCTTTGAAAGCGCAGAGCAGGTGCCCGATGCTGAGAAAGAAGCGGCCGAGGTGAGGCGTTGTATAGGGTAGTTCCTGAAATTGAATTCCCTACTAAGAACCAGAAATTTGTGTTTTAGGGTGTTCCCGCAGTTGCTGAGTTGAGTTTATGTAACCCCCGCTTCTACAGGTTGCGCTTGCCTTCAACATGTCGCAGTCAGGGTCGCGCTCGCAAAGTGGAACGTTTGAATGCGACATGTTTTTTCCATGAGCATCGGCGCACATGCAGGTGCACCACTGGTGTACCCATAGAAGGTGCATTCAGAAGCGAATGGAGTTCCTGCAACAGCAAAATAGCGGCACAACCCATTTCGACTTGCACAAGGTGGCCCTTCTTGAAACCTTGCTGTCGAAGCTCAAGCAACTCATGGCTTCGTGGCAATCGACAAGGAGTAGCAAGGCAAGGCTTAAAACCCATGCGAATCCTTTCCGAAGCCAACGAGCATAGTGTGGTTGCAAGCATTGACATTACACTTGTTCTATTCTTACGTTTACTCTGACAGCTATGATCACCATCACTTGACCATCAAGCTATTACTATTGTTGCTTGTTCTCATGAATTGTTCCTTCTTATTCTCATGGCTGTTTCTCTTGTGGTCTTGCGTTTCGAATCAATCTCAGTATTGGCAATTAGTTCTAGTATTGGTAATCATTAATTTGCAAGAAGAGGCAAAAATCAAGAACAACAGCAGAAACAAATGTCGGCCCGTTTGCTATCTGCAGACAAGCTTGCGCGTTGACGTAGATTCCGACTGTCAGCCTCGAACAGGAATTATTGTTGCAGTTGTTTCTTCCGAACATGCTTAAGGAAGTATAAGGGCTACAGGTGCAGGCCGTCATGCCCCATGCCCCGATGTCTCTGAACTCTGAAGCCGTCATCGCCAGGAGAGCTTCAAGCAGCTAGCTGAGGCTGGGTTCTGTGCTGCTCGTAGTTTGTTTGGGCAGGTTGGGGTAGGTTGTTGTAGGGTGCCCGGGTGTCGTAAACCCAGCGACGTAGCAGACGAGCTCAACAACCGGCAAAGTTCGATCTTGCACATGCTGATGTAAACAAGGCGAGGGAAGCAAAGAATGAACCATGGAATGAATTAGGTTTCGATTTCTTGTACATGCGCCGCGCGGGTGTATTAGAGTCTCCATGTCCTCATCAGAAAGTTTTTGGTTGGGGTCTGCTTGTTCCAGACGCCTTCCGGCTGGAAGCTTGAATGCTTCGCGCTACAGGGAAAGGCTGACGTGCAAGGGCCGCGAAGCCGCTAAGCCCTAAGCCCTCAGAAGGGTAGAAGGAACGAAGAAAGAAGGAAGAGAGCCACGAAGTTTGCTGCGTGCTGTTTCGGTGGTTCGGCAGTCGGCTCGCAAGCGGCAGGAAACTTGGCTGCTCGATTTTTGGTTGGCTGTCCTCTAGACTTTCGCTCGCTCTTCGAGACACAGAAGGTTAACAAGCTAGCGCCGAACCTGTGGATGAAAGGTTCCAAGATACGAAAGTTTGCCTTTTCATTTGTTGTTTCTGTTCATCTGGCCGCCGAGCGCAGTCCTGCTCCCTGTTCCGCACGAACACGCTGAAGTCATCTAAAGAGGCGTCGGCACAGGAAAGTTTGCGTCCCAGTGGTTGCCTGTGTATGGTATTGCTGCGCCAAAAATGTTCTACATTGCTCTCCCGAATCATATTGCTGCGATAGAACTGGTTCTACAATACTGGGCTGGGTTCTGAACGGCTTCATTTCTGCGGCCTCAGGCGGTCGGGGCAAGGAAAAGTGTCGGCGCTGAGGTTCGGAGTCGGGTCGCACCGGTCGAGTCCGGTGGAGCCGCATGTAGCCTGAACCCCCCATGGGTTCAGTGATTTCTCCGCGAGAAAACGCGAGGGTCATAACAAATGACCCCAATAATTTCAACAAATCGCACGTCATCCCCGCTGGCTTGCGCGCCAAAATCTTGGAGCGAAGGCTCACGAGTTGTTGGCCGATCCAGTTCGCCGGAAGCTCTACGACAACTTCGGCATCCAGGATGCGTGCTGGTGAGCCCATGTGAGCTTAACAGACAAATTGGTGAATGAGCAATAAAGCACACATGGTTGACTAACTTAAGTAGGTATGAAGCAGAACGCTAAGTAGTGCAGGGTCGGCTAAGTGCATCTTGTCATCTTGGAGACTGCTGCTGTGCGTCTTCGCCAGGACTCTGCCTTTGCTCGAGAGGCCGATGTGGACGAGGCTGTCCCTCCTGCCGAAACGGCTGATGCTCAAATCCTGAAGCCTTCCAAGAAGATGGGAGCTTACGAAAATAAGGAACCCTTATGATAAGCCCCAAATAGTAGGATTCCCTGCAAGCCGCTGGTGCGAACGTGGTGAGACGGCAGGACTGCATGGGCGCCAATGACTTTGCAGACTTGGAGGACTGCGCTGTGATGGATCTTGAAGGTTGGTTGACATGGGTTTCCTTTTTTTTGTGTGTGGAGGAGATGCTGAACCACTTGAACGAGATGTTCCAAGGTGGACCAGGCCCCCTATCGGCAACTGCCGATCACCATCGTGACGATCACAACTTTTTCCCGAACCCTGCCACGACTTGCGCACAGGGCCCGGGCCTGTCCAGCCGGCAGAAGAGAGGCAAGGCGGCGGTTTCTTGCTGTAATCCCCTCCCCCTAATATTAAGGGGGGGGAGGGTTTTTCATGGTGATTCAATATGAGGAGGGGGTAGGGGGGTTTCGGGGTACGGGGGCTTAATATCAGGGGAAGGGAGTTATTTGTCTTCTCTAAGCATCTCTCAGCCGAGTGGCAAGAATCGGCGCCAGGGACCTCTGGGACGTTTGGGAGGGGCTCCTCGGCTTCACGCTGCTGAGCCTTGGCGCTGGGGCACTAGCAGGCAGGGCACCCAGACGCACTCCTTGGCAGTTTTCCAAATTAGGGGGTGTCTATTGGGGTCCTTAGTATGAGGGAATCCTACTACTTGGGGTCTATATTCGGGTCCCTTATCTTCGTACATCCCCAAATGGGCTCTTGAAAGGACTGGCCTGGTTCACTCGGAGACCGCCGCTGTCGCTGTGGCTGAACTGGTGCTGGTGGAGGCCGGGTGCGCACAGGAACATCAGGGTTTAGGGTTCAGGGTTCAGGGTGTAGGGTTTAGGGATGCTTCAGGAGTGTAGACTAGTAGAGTGCTCTGTCAGGTGTCGCTTCCTGCTCTTTGACTTCGGGTTTGGGTAGAGGACAACTCCCCGCCCTCGGACGACAGAGTCTTCTTGGATTTGCGTTTAAATGTCAAGAGAAGAGCTGTACAGAGCACAAAGCAGCAGTGTACTTGAGTGCACTTGTGTTGCGGCGTCTCGGGAGCCTGTGAGCTGTGAAATGTTGCAAGGCAAGCGTAGTGCAACTATCCCACAGCTGATGGCACTCTGCCGGCAAATGCCTGCAACATTATTCTACACAGCTGGTGCCTGGCTTTGAGCTGCCTGCAGCAGGACATGCTCATGCGCATGCGCTGGCAGAGAGCATGCGCAAGAAAAAGGAGCGTGACCAAAGCACCTCTGCAGCGTGGCAGCACCACCTACGGGCATACTACGACTTGGAACACCGGGGCAGTTTTCAGCTCTCCCATCCAATGTAACAAGATCTGACGTGTCACGAGATTCCCTGGGCTTGCATCGCAAAGCGATGCAGCAAGTGTCGCATGGCTATCGTGCTGGTCAGGTGACATCGTGCCACTCTACCGTCAGTTGGGCCAGGCACGGTGTTTGCTCGGCCATGTAACGTCCGATGCTCCTGCTCTCGTCCTGCGCCGTATGAGTTCATCTTACCAAAATTCCATCTGGCAGTTGGCCCATTGGCCCATTGGCCCATTGGCCTGACTTCATCTGGTTCGTCTCCACCATCAATTGGGTTAAGTTGCGGCAAATCGGCAAGTGGATCTCTTGGCCCCAAAAACTTTGCATCGGCGCAGCTTGACTCCTAAACTTTACTGTATGCTAGGATGGCACTGCCAGTAGGGGCATGACTGGACTTGACAATGCGATGCCATGTGGCGGGCAAACCCTGTGCTGCCTTGGTCGCGCTGTCCCTCCTGCCCTGCACGCTTTCTCAGCCTCCTGCAGGCACTTAGAGCGGCTCATTGGATGGCCAGCTCTTGTCGCCATGCTGATGGCCACTTTGTGAAGACGCTGAGTCTCCAAGGTCTCTGCCGGCGGATGTCTGTTGGAATGATGGTTTTTCTGCGGAGCTATGCTGCGATCTGTCGTGACCTGAGTCCAGAGGACTCTGGCAGCACTGCAAAACATGAACTGCTCGCGGGTCCCTCCAGCCTAGGAGATATGGACCCAATGGGAACCCGGCTTGTTGGGCCGGAGCCTCTTGACGAAGACGGTGCAGGTTAAAGTGCTATTGGTGCAGAGATGACTGGACCTGCAGACATCTTATTGAGCCTTCTGGTGGCTTTCTTGTGCCTTTCTTGTGCCTTTCTTGTGCCTTCCTTGTGTCTTCGGAGACAAGGAGCTGACCTTTGAGGGCTGCTGCGGAGACTCGAGTCAGTCCTCCGATCCTCAGGCCCCGCGATCTTTGCACGTCACGTGATCGGGGCCTTAGCTGCCTTAGCTGTGCAGGAGGCTGAGCTCCCGCCGCCGATCGACCCACCATTTGATCCGCAGGATTTGCACGCTCAGCCCCTCAGGCGGCAATGCGCGCATTGCACACAGCTCATGATCAATCTTTCTGGGGCACCTTGAAGATTGTAGGTTTGGATCACCTTGAAGATTGTAGGTTTGGATGACTGTCGTGAGCATGGTCAGCCGAGGATCGGCATTGGCCTCTTCATCAGCTACGAGCCAGGAAAGGATTGCTGGACAGGCACGCGGCTGTGTCACTTCATCCGTGTGTGTGCTAAGTATACATCAGAAGTGGCAAGAACGGACGAAGTCATCATAACGATGTGCAGTTCCGACTGGCTCTTGCCAAAGTGCATGGCAGGGCTTGGTGGCTACTCTAGCCACGCCATGTGCTGCTCCCTTGCAGCACCCGAGGATCAGCATAGTTCCAGCACACTCGGTGACAGGGGCTGAATGCCAAGCATCGGCCGCGGACCCTATCTTCTAAATATTCTAAACCCAAGCCCGAGGTGACCTGACGCTCTCCGGATATGGCATGGGCTCATGCTGGGATGGCTGGCGTTATACCTTCGACCGCTGCTGCTTCCTTGGCGAGGCCCATTACTGCCGGAAGGTTTGTATCAATTTACAGGTGCTGTTTTGTTTGGTACTGGAACTGTCGGCTAGGTAGGTCTGGTGCGTCAGTGTAACCGGACGATCCTCCAGGCTTTTCAAATATGAAGGGTTTAGTTCCCGAGCTCTGTCTTGGGGGGGGGGGGGGGCCTGGCGGCTCGCAGTGAACGCGGGGTGGGGTTCCTGCTTGTCTCCACAGGTCAGAAAGATCGCCTCATTCTTCCCATCCTGTTCATGGCCTGATCTTGTGATCCGCTCCCCCCATGCTAGAGCGGTTAAAAAGAATACGTTCGATTTTTGCTGAGATCGAGCGAGGGATTCCGAGCGTTCACTGCGGTCAGGTCATTGGTTGTTCTGTTGTAAAAATTCAGAAAACTCCACGATTATTGGTTTCACTTCCTCCCGTTGACTTCTTCAACTATCAGTCCACCTCATTCAAATTATTGCATAAGGGGGAACATCCCAACCCCCAGGCTGCGGCATTCCAGCCGCCCTCGAAGCCTCACCTGCGGCTGCCCAAGTCCCCAGTGCCACCGAAGCCGGGCAGGCGAGGATTTCCGAGGTTACGGCTCCTTTCTTTCCAGTGTGAAGGGAGTCTTGGGGGCTAGCTTCTCTTGTCTAGTGTTGCGGGTTTTGGGGCTTAGGGTAGCAAATGGTAGCATGCTCTTAGCAGGCAAAAAAGCCACCAGGTTGTGATACATCAAGGGATGCCCTAGGGCTGCCGAAGTTGCATGCTTACCATCAGTCTCCTTGCCATTCCCAGACGGTCCCGCGGAGTTTGTTCCCGCCATTGTCTTGCCTTCTGCCGCCCACACACTCCCAGCGTCCACAGGCACTCCTGCAAGTTTGGCGAAGGCGTAGGCAGTTGAGAGTTTATGGACAGCTGGGAGTTTCAGTCCCGTTCGGGGTACCCGAAACAGAGGGCTGCCTCTAACAACAAAATGGATCATAAGACACGAACCTTGAACGCAAAACCCCAAACCCTCAACCCTAAACACGCCTAAACCCTGCACTCCAAACCATGTCAGGGCCGGCTCTCGCCCTGCAGGCGGGCGCAGCTATGCGGGGGTGGTTGTCTGCATTGGGGTACCTGGTTCGGGGAATTAATATAGGCCCATACATGTAGCCATGCACTCAGCTTATGCAATCTCATCACTTGGCATGCTGCGGTTGTGCCGCGTTCTTCTTAAAACCAGCTTTGTCCCGCGCTTCTGGGCCAGGCATGGAATGCTGGCAGAATGACTTCACGTTTGCCTACTGCTGTCCCCCACTTGCAACGGTATGCAACGGTTGGGCTGCGCATGCATTCAGGCTCGTGAGTTTCCTGAGTCGTGAGTTTATGAGCTCCCATATTGCAGGAGAGTCCAATTTTGCAGGAGAGATGGAGAGTGTTCCGGGGCGGTCAAAGGTGCAACAAATCTTCGACCCCATAAACCCCAAACCCTAACCCCGAGCCCTAAAACCAAAACCCTAAACCCTAAACCCTAAACCCTAGACCCTAAACCTTAAACCCTAAACCCTCAACCCTAAACCCTAAACCCTAAACCCTAAACCATGAGGTTTGCACAGAGGCACAGACTGCTGGGACGAGCAGTTCACTCGAGCAGCCTGCTGCGAAGGGATCGCGGATCCTCTGGAGGCACTGTGGACTCTTTGCTCTTTGACTCCTTGCTGCTGTTTTTTGCGAGAAGAGGCTTCGAAGATCTTCGAAGCTATGGGTTTAGGGTTTAGGGTTTAGGGTTTAGGGTTTAGGGTTTAGGGTGAAGCTGACTCGCGGCTTTCACTGGGGGCATGTGAGGACACGTCTGTCAGGCCTGGGAGGTCGCCGATGCATCGGATCCCCGAGCCGCCTGACTTGGTGTGGGGGTTCACGAGATTAAGGGGGTTACCTTATTGGGATTTAGGGTTTAGGGTTTAGGGTTTAGGGTTTACGGGGTGCCTTAGTGGGGTCCTTCTTATACTCTCTGAGGGTAAATATTAGGGTCCCTGATTTTCGTACCCGTACACCACCATGTGATTTCGCCACGTGGCTGTCCTCGTGTTGAGTGCGTTGTTCGAAAGTTTGATCGTGGGCACTGCCCAACTTGCGCCACGTGCCCTGCCTGCAAAACTGGGCATGAAAACCGAAGAAAGTGGGGGCTGCAGGGCAAGTGGGGCAGATGGGACAATACGATCTACGAAGCTGCCGGGAGGAGACGAATGCAAGGAATTGCCGTCTTTGTGCTGCCATTGGGGCCAGAGGCCGAAGAACCCCTGCATTCACAGCATGGCACTAGTTCAAAAACTCAACAAGATACAAGAAAGCTTGGCCGGTGTTTGATTCATTCTGTCCTTCATGGCTGCCCGTTTTATTCCGCCCTTTGCCCAGGTGATCTGTCTCCTAATCACACGAAATGTCGCCCTGGCACCTCGGCATGAAAGGTTGGCATGGCTCCCCGTATTTTCTTTAAAGTCGACATGCGTTTTTTGGATAAGAGCCAGTTGATACCAGTTGGCAAGTTTCAAGATGTTTTGCGATGCTGGCGGTGTTGTCGCGTGTACTTTCGGACCGCACCATGGCCCGGTACTTTGATGCTCGCTTGTGCCCTACGTCCCTGCTACTGGTACTGAGTTTTAGCAATGAAGCCGCTGAGCAGGTAGATCGCAATCTGCTTCAAGGGACAGCTCGAACCCCAAAACAACATTGTGCTTTGGGTGCCTCTCGGCTTCAGTGTCCGACAACTGAGCCACAACCTGAAAAAAGGCACAGAGCGAGATGCATTGGAGGCCGAAAAGAAAGCAACACAGAAACGCGAGGTTTTCTTAAGGAAGGATGGTGCAGCGCCGGCAAGCACAGGCGTGTGCGAGCCCCCCCATGAAACACATGGAGGACATAAAGAGGACGAGCAGTGCTTTGACACGGTGAAGACAGACCGAAGCGAGCCTCGGAAAGGAGAGGCGGGACTCTGATGATGAGGGGGTGGCGAGGAAGACAAGGACAGGTGCTTGCGAGGATCGCGAGGGCGATAGCGACGGCGAGGCAGAGGAGAAGGTGCCAAGCCACCCGCTTACGTCCGCCGCCTTCTTGTTTGCCGCGTGAAAGCTCTGCTCATGCTCCTCTATGTCTCTATGTCCTGCATGCTCGACGGGTGCACGCCTTCGCTTGCCTCTGCCTGATAGCACTCTTCGTCTCCTTGTGCCGCAAGGCTGCTTCGAACTGTTAGAGACATGAAAGGAGCATGTTTTTGAGTCGTTTGAAGCACACATGCATTGCCCTGTCAAAGCCGCCGCATGCCCTGTCGCTGAGTTCTGGATGCGTGCAAGAGATATGTTCTGATCCAAACGGTAGTAAATGGCAGTGATCTCCGGAGAGCAACGCCATGCAACGCCGAAACTTAGGCCCCAGCTGTATATTCGCTTGCGACCTACGGAATCTTGCGTTTGCCGCAAGGACCTGGAACAGACGCCGAAGCATTGCCCAAAAGACCGTTTCTTCCTCCTGGCATCGCTGGGTCCTCCAGTGATGCCTGGCTGAGTGCTTTGGGGTCATTCGGGGTCCTTAGCGGAACCGTAGACCTACGAAACCTTCAGCTCGCCCCCAGTAGGGAGGCCTCCGGTTCAAGAACAGAAGGCCATTGGCCTGTGCGCCGATCATGCCTGTTGTTTTATGTTGTTCTCTCTCTCCCTCTCTTGCTCTCTCTCTTTCTCTTTTTCTCTCTCTCGCTCGTTCTCCCGCTCCCTCTTTCTTTCTCCGCTCTGGTTCTTTCGCTTTCCTTCGCATGCTCTGGCTCATTCTGGCTCCCACCTGCTCTCTGAAACACGTCTCAGGATCGATGAAGACTGGACGGGGACGCCTTGGTTCTGGAAGCCGTGGAATATTCAGGCCAAAAATCCAACAGATGAATCTGCGATGCTTTGAAGTTTCTGGGGGGCATTGGTGGGAACTTCGGCCGGATGTGATTTTGGGTTCTCGCATGGTGGCTCCTCCGCGTGTGAGGCGCAGAACCAAGAGTCGATACGCCGACTGCAGCCGCTTCGTCCCAGTAGGACAGAAGAGCCAAATGTCAGGTAATCATCAACATACTTTGGGATGTTACCCCTGATACTAACAGTCTTAGTCGGGATCATAATCGCGGGTACTGAAATCCCGTTTAAGGACTGCTCGAAAAAGGGGGACCATCCCCAACACATACCGAAGCAAGCATCAGTATCGCATGATGTCGGCGGTGGGGCGGAGAATCGGAATCGGAGAAGGTGAGGGACGGTGCTCAAACTTCAGCCCTCGGCCAGGACACATTTTGTCGGTGGCCTTTGCGTGCCGGCTCCCTGCTCTTTGGAGGCGGCGGGAGATGCACAACATGAAGCTTACATATATATATATATATATCTATATATATATATATATGTGTGTGTGTATATATGTATATGCTCATATATATATATATATATGTATATACACACCCTAAACCCAAGGCCCCAAATCCCCAAAACCAAGACTTGCGTGCAGACCACGGCTGCGTACCTTGCCCCGCGCGTGGTGCCCTGGTGGGGCGCTCCTCGACCAGAGCCGCGGCTTCTCAACGCCCCTGGGCGCGCGAGAGGTTTTTGATGATTTGGGAGTTTACGAAAGTAGGGCCCAATATAGATCCCCAAATAGTAGGACCCCTTTATAATAAGGCATCGGAAACCCCCCTGACTGCTTTTAAGGAGACGCACTTCTTGCTGCCACCGCCTCTTGCCAGTCGGCACAAAGTCTACCGCATGCCGCGGCTCAATTCCACCTGGTCTGCAGCCCGGCTATGAAAACCCCACAAGCCCTAAAAACCCTAAACCCTAAAAACCCTAAAAACCCTAAAAACCCTAAAACCCCTAAAAACCCTAAAAACCCTAAAAACCCTAAAACCCCTAAAAACCCTAAAAACCCTAAAAACCCTAAAAACCCTAAAAACCCTAAAAGCCCTAAAAGCCCCAAAATCCCTTGACCCTCAACCCTTAAACCCTTGTGACCGAACCCGAAGCCCCAAAAAATCCGAAAAAGCCCCCCCCCCCCCTCACTCTCCTCTCAGAAGCAAGGCTGAGAATTAGTTCTCAGAAAGCCCCCCCTCACTCTCCTCAGAAGCAAGGCCTGGGTGGCGCCGCGGCCAGCGGATGCCGACGTCTTCGCGGAGCAGCCGGGCAGTTCCTCGGCCCCGCTGGTGTCCCGTGGGGTTTACGATATCATAGGGGGGGGGTACCTTATTTGGGTTCCTCATTTCTAAGGATATTAGGGGGGGGGGGGGGTTACCTTATTTGGGTTCCTCATTTCTTAAGGGGATCCTTCTTTTTGTGGGGTCTTAGATGAGGGGTCCCTTCTTTTCGTCCAGCCTCATTGTGGAAAGACATGCTGGGCGCAGGGGATGCGTAGGGCTTGGGGCTCAGAGGACTTCGGAAGGGGGCCTGCAGCGTAGATAAAAACTATACCGAACTACCGAACCCTGCCTACTGTGTCGTTCTCCCACTTTGCGCTTTTGGACGTTTGCAGCACAAAGGTTGGGAGTTTGCGATCCTCGAGCGGCCTGGATGAAGTTTCACCCGACCACGCACATGCAGACGCACATGCAGACGCACACGTAGACGCACACGCACACGCACACGCACACGCACACGCACACGCACACGCACACGCACACGCACACGCACACGCACACGCACACGCACACGCACACGCACACGCACACCAGAGGTCGAAATTGCTCAAGGCATCTGGAAGGAGAGCCTTGTAAGGTTCTTCCTTCACGCATGTATGGCTGAGGCACCGTCAGTACTTCGGTGTGAGCATCTCTGAGATCCTTACCGTGAGCCTGGGGCGGCTATTCTCAAAGAGCTCGCCTAGATATAACATGTCCTCTCGATAGGATCATTCTGCCAATATCTGAAAGCAGCTCGTATGCCCGTTTGGAGATGACAAGGATGATCGCAGCTTCTGCCGGCTTCCTTATCCCAAGGCATCCTGGCCATCGTGTCTGCACTGTTGCAAGTAGTTGCTGGACACCATCCTACAAAGCAAGCCGGATATTCCATTCAGAGGTATGCGGGTCCACTTGCCAAGTTGTTCACTGATGCCGAGATGCTAGCATACATTCTCGCGGTGCCAGGGAAGCGGCAGAATATCCTTCCTTTCTCGCGCCGCAGTTCCATGTGCCCATACCTTGGCATGTGATCAAAGTGACCTTGTAGCTTCTGTGTGGGTTCTGACAAATAGGGGTGCCCTGTTTGTGGTTACATATTGTCATAGTAAGGACTTGACTATGTTGGGCTATATTCAACCCTAAACCCTAAGCCCTAAACCCTAAGCCCTAAGCCCTAAGCCCTAAGCCCTAAGCCCTAAGCCCTAAGCCCTAAGCCCTAAGCCCTAAACCCCTAAACCCTAAACCCTAAGCCCCTTCACCCTAAACCTCAAATTTTTAGGGGGAAGTGCCCCCAAACCCTAAAACCCTAAACCCTATAACCCTATAACCCTATAACCCTAAAAACCCTATAGCCCTATAACCCTAAACCCTAAACCCTAAACCCCAAACCCTGTTTAGGAGCTCAGAACCTGTCCTGGCGAGGCTCCGCTTGGGTCTGTCGCGAGGGCCACGGCACCTGGAGGTTGCCAGGTTGTGGCTCACGGCGATTGCAGCTCGGCCGCCCGAGTGCCGCTCGAGTCGCTAGAGGGTTTAGGGTTTAGGGTTTAGGGTTTGGGGTTTAGGGTTTAGGGTTTAGGGTTTAGGGATATTTAGTGTTGAGGGTTGAGGGGTTGAGGGTTTAGGGAGGCTTAGGGTTTGGGGAGGCCATAGTCACTGCAAGTGTTGCCAGACGAATAGCCACGGCGGATCGTGGGAAGGAGCTGGTGCCAAAAGGGGGGGGGGTGTGTGGCCAGATCAGGAGCTTTCCGAAATATATTTGGGGGACTTCTTGTTTTTTTAAAGGGTCCCCTGTTCTCGTAAACCCCCCAAAATAAGACCGCGCTGGAAGTCGAGGTTCTCTTCATCCACGTCATCGACCATGGCCCCTGGCTCCCGGTCACGCAGCACACGGGGGGAGCATGGCTGCTGCTCCTTCGCAGTGGCCTTGCCCGCATTGGGGTTTAGGGTTTGAGGGTTTTTTAGGTTTAGGGTTTAGGGTTTAGGGCTTAGGGCAATGTCAAGCAGGGTCGAAATCTGTGCTGTGCTGCCACCCCCAAGTTGGACTGCGTGGCCTCCGCCTCGCACTCTCGGGCTGAACCCAGGTGGCCTGAACCGTGTGAACGTTGGCTTCGTGGTGCTCCTGGTCCACCTCAGCATCAGCCGCCGTTCGTTGAAGCAGGCGAGGGCGGCTGCGACGACATGGGGGCCCCTTCCTTTGAAATCTCTCCGCAAGATCCTATAAGTAGTCAGCCCCGCGAAGTGCCATCGGTTGCTCAACCCTCGCAGGCGACGTCTGTGTCGAGTTGGATAAAAGGCATGCTCTACCACATCTTGAAGCGAAGCTTGACTCGAGTTCGGTCTTGGGGTCCTGGAGTTTCTCTGTGGGAAGAGGGGGGGGATCTTGCTTGTCTCTGAGGATGGCTCATCATCTCTCCGGTGGTGTCCTTCTGGAGCTTTGCAGGAAGGCTCAGATTCGAGCGTGCACGTGAGTCAGAGGCTGGGAGGTCTTCTCGAAGCTTCGATTGCAGAGGTGTTCATTCATGCGCCCTTTCGGGATGTTCCCATGAACAACATCTTGAAGTCCCAGGCGTGCACGGCTCAGGCAATCTCAAACCCTAGCGCCGTGTGAAACGGGCAACCACGTCATGTTCTATTTAAGATGCTTTATTAAATGCTGAAAGATCAAGATCAAGCTTGTAGGCTCGCAGCTGAAGGCTCTTTCGCTACTACTCTGAGAGCCGAGATCAGTGTGCGCGATGCTCAGAAACTCAGATTTCAGCGCTGATCTCCGCACCTTAAGCATACTTCAGGGCGCGAGGTGCACTACGGGGTCTGCTCAGTGATTCCTGTCTCAAGCCTCAGAGCAGAAGGAGCATCCGGCGCACATCATCTCGAGCACGTTCATGGTGCATGCGCCGCTCCTCGGAGGGTCGGCTCAGAGATGTCACACGATGGCCACGGCTGTGTTGTAGGAACTGTGCAGCAGAGAGGAGCACCCCCATTGCAGGCGGTCGCCTTGCATGAATGCAGACATCTTCGAAAGCCCTCGCCCCAGCACCTACTGTCAGGAATGGGGCAGGGTCAACTCACATCGGCCGTGCAGTCCTGACACCTCAGCACAAAAGGTGAGCTTGGCGTGGTGTTTCTGGTAATTTGCTCAAATATGCTCAAGTCTATCATGTAATTCAATCATGAGTCGTATCCATGATCACGAGAGCTCTTAGCAGTGTGCTCTGCACCCACCAGCACTTGCACAGTGACGCAGAGTGTTCACTCTTAAGGGGGGAGAGCCCTTCTCGATTCATGGCGAGCCATGCGAACCCTCCTGTTCCTTCTCGTCCTTCTCGTGCCAGCTCTGGCGCACACCCCTGGCTGGGCTGTCGGGTGGGGTGGTCTGGACCGCTGCGATGGGTTTTCGTTCGTGTCACAGCAGATGGCAGCACTGTGAATACAGCCACATACCGCGACTCGATGCGACGCGGCAGGACCCTGCAAACAAGGACTCGGCGGGAAGCCTGCGACAGGAGCGAGATGAGGCGAGATGGTGGTGACAAGCTTCCCTTACCCCCCCCAAAACCCCCAAAAAGTTTCCTCCAAACCCCCTTCAACCCCAAGCCCTAAACCCTAAACCCCAAAACCTCAAGACCCCAGACCCCAACTCTGCAAACTGCTGTTGGAATCGAGGCGCGGGCTCAGCTGGCCCGGTGCCTGCGGAGCGAGGGCCATGACGTGGCTCTCCAGGGACCTCAGGAAAAGTCGTGGCCGACGCGTGGGCAGCGACTCGGCTGTGCACTCCTTTAAGGGGTTTGGGCTTAGTGTAGGGTTTAGGGTTTAGGGTGTAGGGTTTAGGGTTTAGGGTTTAAGGTTAAGGGTTTAGGGTTTATATAGGGTGACAATATGCAGATTACAAATGGATGCAGAACTATGTCCATGTCTACATGTCTATATATATATATATATACCTGCATCTGCATTTTTATACATGTGAGGTACAAAAGCTCCTTGTTCCACAGTGTTCCGCAAAAGACCGACACCCGTTGTCGTACCGGACGAGCGTGCAAGTGAGCACCCCGACCGTATGTTCATCCCGTGTCGCAAGGCCTGAATATTGAGAATAGGCTGAAGACAACTTCCGCCACCAAATCCGGCCCTAGACGGGACCAGGGACCATCAGTGTCCCTCAATCCTACGACGGCTTGCAACACCGTAAGAAGAATACATGTGTTTGTCTCTACATATATGTATACATGTATATACATATGCATATGCACATATTTTTGTTTATGCGTTTGTAAACATACGTACACACCATCCCTGTATACCTTATCAGTCGCCGGTCTCCAGCAAGACATGTTCCATAAGGACCACGCGAGAGTGGGGCTTCCTGTTGGGCGGTGCCACATTCCTCGTGTGCGAAGCCCAGCCCGTCCCTTCAACTTGGCAGTTCTGCGCTGGTTCAGTTGTGGTGTTGTTGACGACTAATGCCCAAGAATGCCCGGTGCCCACACGGCTACCCCCATCGTACCGGTCGGGTCGTGGTCAAGTTGCGGTGGGTTTGAGGCTGGGAGCCTTCAGCATGTGGATACTGTGGCCACGGCGTGCGCCAGCTGTTGGAGGCGCATTGCTGTACGGAATCTGTACGTAGCAAGACGAGAAGGTTAGAGGAACTAACGTGACATGACGATGACGATCTGCGGGGGTTCAGGCGGCAAGTTTCTCAACATAGAGCCAGACCTCCGAGCTCCTCTCCGAGGAAGGAGACAGGCATCACACTGAGAAAGTTGCAGCAAGAAACATGCCAGGCATGCCTTTCTGGTTTGGTTGGGAATAGTGTGCAGACTTCGTGTACAGACATCTTGCGTCATCCTGTGGCATCTTGCGACTTGTCGTGCAGGCAGAGTCGCGGCAATGGTGCTCTTGGGCAGCGCAGTGGTGCAGCAGGCGGCAGGGCAGAGCTCAGCATTGGCACTGCGACATGCGCTAGGCTGCCTTATGGGTCCTTGTGGAACTTTCCCATGGCAGACTTGCGCAGTGTGCAGAGAGCGGCAGAAAGTAGCCTGTGATTGCACATCGCAACTCTTGGGGCTCACATGGTTTCGAGTTGTTTCGAGTCTCGCCTTCTGCACTTCTGCTGAGCCTTATGCTGAGCCTTTATGAGAGGTGTCGGCCGATGGAGGTGCTGGTGGCATGGAGGCAAGCAGCCTGGAGGCCACGGCGCACATCTCGCTGTTTGCATGTTAGCACACGTAGACGGAGGTGAGTAGAGATGAATGGCCTTTGAGGCTCCTGCCAAGGATGCCTCAATCCGCTCAAAGCTGCAAATGCAGTGGGAGGCGCAGCTGTTTGCCTTCTCATTGCCTGTTTTTCCATAACTTTGTTGCGCAGTGCCGGCAGATACTTGCTGTTTTTTTGCTACGAGCTACACTGTCACCTTCACGCCACAAGCTTTGCAGCTCCCCTTCTCAAGTTACACGGATGCTAGAGGGCCCCTTAAGGCCCCAAGCTTCCTAAGCAGCCGAAGCATGAAAATCCGTCCAGGCTTGGCTTCATCGCTTCATCCCTGCGCATCTGCGCATCGCCACTTGGGCTGAAGTCGCAGCTGGAGCTTGATGCTTCAGAAGTGATCTGGGGAGTATTGGATAGGAAGTTGATACTAATGTGAGACGAATACAACAAAGGTGGTGGTATGCATCGTACGCTGAAAGGGTGAGAGGGTTGGCGTGCGCGCCCCTCATATGCGCCGACTTGTGAGGTCGTTGTGGTCCAGATGTTCAAGCTGCGCCACCAAAACGAGGAAGACTCTGCAGAGGCGCCTGGGCTGCGAAGCCTCCGCTGTGCCCAGCAGCTTTCCCCCCCCCCCCCCCCCCCCCCCCCTCGTGACCATTTCTGGGGGTTCCTGGGTTTTTGAACGCAAAATTTCGCAAGAAAAGAACGCCACCCCAAGCAAAACCCTGGCTGTGGTAGAGTGCTTTCCATTAACAAGGTGACCTCCTAAGCCCTAAACCGTAAACCCTAAACCCTAAACCAGAAACCCTAACCTTACCCTAGACCCTAATGAGGTTTTGCAAAAGCGACGACTGGGACCTCGAGGAAGAGTCTGGGTTCCTCGGTCTTGCCTCGTAGTCCGGAAGCCTGCGTGGTGCTTTCCCAACAAAGCTTCGGGCACCCATTTGTGGGGTCCTTATACGGGGGATCCGACTACACTGGGGGTGCGAAGAAGGGTATGGGAGCTCTAAACCCTAAACCCTCAACAACCCTACACCCGAAACTCGCAACCCTAAATCCTAAACCCTAAGCCCTAAACCCTAAACCCTAAACCCAAACCCTAAACCCTAAACCCTAAACCCTAAACCCTACACTCTTAGCCCAGGGTTTGCCTTGAGGCTGGACACTCCAGTCCTTTGGCGCCAGCGGGCGCAGTCCGCCCGGCAGGCCCTGCAGAAGGCCAGCCTCTGGTGAACTAGGGCAGGGTTTGGGGTTTAGGGCTTAGGGCTTAGGGTTTAGGGTTTAGGTTTAGTGTCCCTTTGTTGTTTGTGGGACTATGTGTAGCGCTGAAAAATTGCAAAGCATCTCTGCAGTAGCTCTTCTATTGAGATTTCTCACGCTCCTTTGCGAAATGTCACTTTGGAGTGCCCTAAGCCCTAAACCCTAAACCCTAAACCCGAAACCCTAAACCCTAAACCCTAAACCCCAAACCCCAAACCCTAAACCCTAAACCCTAAACCCTGCCAGGCTCAGGCAGAGCTCGAGCGCTGTCTGGCGGAGGCCTCGCAGCGAGTCGAGGAAAACCGGCGCAAGGCAGAGCAGGTGGAGGCACCCAAGCGCGCTGCAATATCTGTATATCTATACATAAATATAAATTAATAAATGAATAAATATATATATATATACATATATATATATATCAACCTGTGTATAATATGTATAAAAAAAAGAAAAAATAAATAATAAACCTACATATCTACACAGCAATATCGACGGCGGTATGCTGATGCATACTGCGAACCTTGGCGAGCCGCAACGCCCCCTCGCAGGCTGAGAACGGCCGCCTGATCAAGCAGGTGGCGGAGTTTAAGTCCCGCAAGGCCCTCAGAACCCGATGCTGGTTCCAGGCTGGCTGGGGATCGACCGAGAAATGATGAGGGAGCTGAAGCTCGGGGGGGGGGGGCTGGGGTTTGCTTGAGGCGCCGAAGCTGCGGAGCAGATCGCCAGAAAGTCGAGGGGTGAGGCCGAGCAGCTGAAGGCGGGTCAGAGGAAACATCCCCCGGTGCCACAGTTGAGCTGTGAGAATCGCTTCAGCATATGCCCCTAGAAGGCAGCTCAGCCCCCTTTGGGAAAGTGCCCTGGGCTCCACGCCGTGTTCAAACACATTCTCGCTAGAAGAACAGGGAGCAATGTGGTTGCAGACGAGCCCCGGTTCAGCGACGAAGTTTGTACCCGGAAGACAGGTGGCCTGCCCTAAACCCCACACCCTGACCCTGAACCCAGCACCCGTGCCCCCGAGGCTTCCTTGAAGAAGGCGGAAGAGACGTCCTCCAAAGCCAGGATGCTGGGCTTTGTGAGCCTCCCTGACCCTAATCCCTGCACCATCACCAGAACCTTTCCAACCCCTTTCAAACCCTATGAAGCCCTATCAAAACCCTATGAACCGCCTTTCAAAGCCTATATGAAACCCTAATTGAGTCTCCGCAAGGCAGGAGCTGCAAAGCGCCCGGCGCCGTGCAGAGGTGGCGGAGACGATCGCCGCACGCGCCACGCGCGTGCGAGATGCGCGGGGCGACCCGGAAGCCCAGGACGAGCAAAGTGGGGGCCGGTTTCGTTTGACGTCCTTCACAGCTGCGAGTAGAGTTCATGCCCACTCTTTCGGAGGACCGCAGCACCTCTCGAACGCGCAAGCTGCTGGACGTGGAGGATGGTGCTCTGGATGAGGCGGTTGCATCGTTTGCATGCTTTGAAGTGGCGCTGTGTGCAGGGTGGATCCCAGCCTGGGACTCCGCGTGTATCACCCTCACCGCGACCTTCCCCTCCCAAGGCCTGAAACCTTTGTTCTCCCGTTCTGTCCCCAGCTGCTCGGGAGCCCTAGCCGCTAGCCCTCAGGCATCATCACCCAGCACATCAACGAAGGAGAAGGCGACTGTTCGCCCAATGAGTGGACACATGGGGAGAAAAGACCTGTCTGTGGACACTGTGCAGGCCGGTTCTCAGCCAGGCACCCCGCGGCAGTCTGCTCAGGCTGGCATCGCCCACGTTTCCCTTCTTGGACAGAGTCTGCGAGTCACATATGCCAAAGGATCTGTCGCTTGGAGCCACTCGACGGCCAACAGCCAAGGCTTCTTCTTGGCGGTGCAGTCCTGACATGTCCTGACTGATGGCTCTCAGGGTGAGTGCACTGTGGCCATAGATGGGCCGAGCATCTTGGTTTGTTTTTTCTCGGCTTACAGATGCCCTGCAGAACCCCTGTTAAGACTCGGTCTCCTACAGTGGCTACGTGACACTCATTGCACCTCTGCTTTCCTGTGGCATGCGCAGATTGAGAGGGGAGCTTCTTATTGCGGAGGCACGAGCCGGGCGGCTGCCAACGCGTGGAGGCCCTTTTGCACCGTCCGAGTGCCAAGAGCGCATGGAAGTTCAAGTGGTCGGCCTGTGCTTTTGTCCAGTCAGTGCAGAGGCCTTTGTGTCGTGTGCGGCTCGTCAGAATTTCGGACTGCAAGCAAGTGCAGGCAGCTCAACCAGCAGTTTGGCCAACAGCTTGGAAGAAGTCACCAAGGAGATCGGAGGTTCAGAGGGGGAATTGTGCTGAGCGGAGAAGGCTGAGCGGACAGTCCGCCTCAAGGACTTCCGCCGTTCCACCTCGGGGCCAGCCGGTAGTACTCAGCAGAGCGCCCAACAGAGTGCTCAGGACGGGATGTGCCCAGCCAATGGCAGTCTTGGGCATCCCTGAACCCTAAACTGCCCTAAACCCTAACCCTACCCTAAACCCTAAACCCTAAACCCTAAACCCTAAACCCTAAACCCTAAACCCTAAACCCTAAACCCTAAACCCTAAACCCTAAACCCTAAACCCTAAACCCTAAACCCTAAACCCTAAACCCTAAACCCTAAACCCCTCGGCAGTTTTGTGGCGCCTGGAGAGGACAAGGCCGCCCCGCAGGAGTTCCGCTCCTTGGCGTGAACTCGTACTTGGTGAAGGTTTGGGCTTCGGAGTTTTCTAAGCATCCCGCATGAGAGCAGAGACACCCAGGCTACAACCGCGCCTTGGCCATGATGAAGTTTACGGAGAACAGGGGCCAGGAGCCTCAATGACCCGGGGGGGGGGGGGGCTCGATTTGTGCTTCTTGATGCTGCTGGGGGACTCTCAGAGAGGGCTCTCCGAGTCGCTGTAGGTGGTGGCTCCGGTGTGCCCAGCGCGGGGAGCTTGTGCTTTTTTGGTGGCCCATTCCGGGAGACTTTTCCCAAGAGAAGGGGAAAAAAGAGACATCTTTTGGGCCCTGAGGCCACAAGCTCCATGCAGAGCCTGCCAGGAAGGGTGGAGGATGCGCTCCAGGCCCACCATCCTCCACCGACGTCTGCCACACGCGTCTCGATGCCCTGAGCTTGTGAGGGCCTGGCACCAGCGAAAAGCTCCAAGAACAGTCTTCGCCTTAGGGATTTTGGGGACCAAACGCTGCCTGGCAACTCCAGCTGCAATGGCCGAGGTTCGTCCAGCGCACAGCGCTTCACGCGCGTGCCTCGTCTTTCCCTGGATGAGTAAGGGCCTCTCCGGGAGGTAGCACGCTGCACTGGGTGGACATGGTATTAGGCAGCAGAATTGCCTCCTGACTAGACACGATGCAGTCCGGCTCCATATGGCTCCCTCCTGGTCTGCAGCTGTCGAGCACAAGGGTGGGCATCGATCAAGAGGGTTGAAGCCCCAACCTGAAGCCGGGTGACCTGGTCGAAGACCGGTCATTGCGCTGCGACAGCCGCGACAGCCGCGAAAAGAAAGTTGACGTCGGAGCTGCGTGACAGACTGTGACAGATCGGTTCCTGAATCTGAAGTGATCTAGGGCCACAAGGCTTCATGGCACTGCTGAGGCTTGTTCCATGTGGACATTGTTGTGTTCGGCTTGCTGTCTGCACTGGGCCACTGGCTCAGAATGTCCCGCCGAAGGTGCGCTTAGCACTTCATGCAGACGGTGCTGAGGTCGTGGGCGTGCTGCCATCGCCGCACACCTTTTGTGGGTGCTACCGGGCTAGAATGTGCCATCCGACGTAAGCCATTCACCAGGAACAGTGCGGCGTTGGTGTGGTGGTGGGGTGGTGGTGTGTGCTGGTGTGGGTGGTGTGTGGTGGAGTGTGTGTGGTGGTGATAGTGGTGGAAGCGCATCTTCATCTAAGCACGTGCTTCCAATCTATCAATGAAGCAGGGGAGAGGGTTTTGGAAAACAAGAAAAGGAACGGGGAGGGAGAAAGAAGGGAGAGTAAGAGGGTAAGAAAAAAGTTGTGGGTGGGATCGTCAAGAAGAAAAGAGGGGGGATGAGCTGTTGGCCGCTATTTGTCCTTGTCCTGGAGTAGTATAGCGTTTAGGCCATCAAGAGGAGTTGCTTCAAGAAGCTTTCGAATCCTCTTAAGAAACCCATCATGCGAGCATCTTATGTTTGCAAACGCGGGCGGAGGGGAAATAAAGGTTTCCTCTCAGAAACACGGAGGATTGTCCAGCAATATACCGAAGTCCCACCCCCGGCCTCCCCTTCCTGTCCCCCACAAAAAGGAAAAGGGAGGAAAAGAAAGGAGAAGCAGATCAACAGTAAATCCATCCTACCCTGATCCTAAGAGTAAAACACTCCATTTTTAGGGAACCCGCCTGTTTGTGCATCAAAGCCCGCAAACCGAAAGATCGATGCTACAGGTGCCATCCGTCATTCTGAGCTACCACACAGTGCCCAACGCGTGGGCCTCAGAAGAAGGAGCATGCTGAGTGGTGGCGGTTTCGGGTTTCGGTTTAGGGCTCCTGACATGCGCAAGCACTGAGACCAGCCTCCTAACGAGAATGGTACTTGTTGGTACGTCCGGAGAAACCCTAACAAGCGCTTGGATTGAGGTTTTTCTGACCCCGGATTGGAGCCAAACTGTTGCACCGCCACGGCTAAGCTCAGACTCGCAATCGCGAGTATAGCGAAGGATGAAAGCGTTCGAAACGTGGCGGCTTGTGCAAAAAATCCAGTCAGATGGACCTACCTCGGGTCACGCAGTTTGCCCTGTGATGCACACAGCGCGTCGCTCGGCTGAGTCGGCATTTAATGGAGCTGGTCATCACTTCACTGGTTTACTGTCAGTACCTCGGACGTGGCCTCTCAACTTTCTGCCACGGCAGCTCAGACCTCTTGTAGCTTCTCTGTGTCGCTGCTGTGAGGCCAGCAGCGCTTGCAACGTTAGCCATCTCTTCCTGGTCGCGCGGCTACAACATGCTACAACTGCTCCCATTGGGGGGGGGGTGGGTGGGTGTTGTTTGGGTTGCTTTGGTCGACTCATAGGTAGCTTGTCTTGCTACTAGGACTCCCGATCTTTAGAGAACAACCTCTTCTCTTGTGTGGTATAATAAAGATAAATAGTTTAGATATTACATTTTATAGCCATTATCTTGTATTAAATTATATAGAATTAACAATATTATATTTTATCGTTATTGTCTTATATTAAATTATATAGAAATAAACAATATTATACATTATATGTCAGCCCAGGCTCAGCCCATGCGAGCTGCCACTCTTTCCCCGCACACTGCTGCCCTGGCGACATGCTTTGGCTGTGGCCGCGAGCATCTGCATCCCGGGAAAGTTTCAGGAACCCTAAACCCTAACCCATAAAAACCCTAAACCCTAAACCCTTAACCCTTAACCCTTAAACCCTAAACCCAGTGGGTGGCCTGTAGTCTGACTGCGCCTCTCAGAAACCAAGGCATCGTGGCAACTTGCCTTCAGGACACCGGGCACACTTCTCGGTGACTGGGCTTAGGGTTTAGGGTTTAGGGTTTAGGGTTTAGGGTTTAGGGTTTTTCAGACAGCATTGGGCCAAGTGGAGACATTTTGTGCCAGGATGCGCTGACCTGCGGCGAGTTCGAGTGGCCCCTTTCTTGTCTCAAAGTCGCAGCGAGCTTCTTTAAGACGCTACACCAGCCCAACCAGGAGTATGCGACTTGCCTGCAGCGATTTTCGACCGAGATGGTGCCAAGATTGACTCATGCCTTCACACGCTGTGTTCGCCAAGCTTCTGCTACCACGACTCCCACAACAATTACGCTCCTCTAATCCTGCTGCTACAGTCTTCGCACAACATCAATGCCTGTGGCGATTCTTATGGCGCAAGCAACAAAAACTGCTGGGCTTCATTTGGCTACTGCGTGGGTTTGAGTTCTGCGCGTGGTGCAGATTTTTTGCAGTCTGCCACAGTGGCGATGGACACATGTTACGAGAGAGGCTGCTTTAGTGGGCTCAGGTGATACCCTGTCATGTTTACGAGCTTGTCTTTGTGCCTGAAGCTCAGCTTGAGTCTGCTGCGTACTCCGGGAGCTCACAGCATGTGACTGTAAGAGGCTTGGGATGGTGATCCACTTGAAGCACGGCTGGCTATCTTTGCTTCCCCAACGCCAGGCTCCTTCACTGTTGCTACTGCAAAGATGCACGAGATGTGCACAGTGTCACCTCATCTGCCGGCCATACTTTCACGGTCGAATCAGCCATCAATGTCTTTGTCAAGGGTTGTGTTTGATGCTGTCCACGAAATGCTCATTGTGGAGGCTCCTTGTGGGTAGGAGACGATAGCGGGATACAGCGAGCTTTGCAGGAGCCTTGGTCGCTCCTGCGCTTTGTCTCACGGATCAGCCCTGGTCTTTGTGCATCGCAGGGCTCTCAGAGTGATTTCTGCAGCCTCCTTTGCTTCAGCGCCTCGCGTGCGTTGTCCTCCGAGGAATCTTTTCGTGCTGCATTTCGCTGGCGCCTTCGTACATGACGAGCCAGTCGAGCTGTCAGCACCTTGCTTGCAGAAACTTTGTTCCGCAGACTCTGTATGTTTGCCTGCGCGTTGCAATTCAATACAACAAAGGCTCACCAACCATCGAGACCGCTCAAAACTCAGGTATTCGTGTGCTTCGCCTATCTGATGGTGACGTTCGTCCTGTCACTTCTGGTGGTCACCTCAGAAAGGAAGCAGTCCACACCATGTGCGCGTGCCGCACGCTTCCAAGGTGACTGTGCTATGTTCGGTGCACCGAGTCAGTTCGTCGTTCAGTCAGGTGTCGCTCGTGGCACTGTTCCTTGTAGAAGGCCGTGCGCCGTTGCGTCGTCCACGCAAGCTGCGCAGCTTGGTGCACCGTGCAGCATGGAGCTCTGTGGCAGGCCCTTTTGCCTGCATGCTTAGCGATGGCCTTCCGCAGGCAAGGCACCTCTGCATGGTTTGCGTACCCGAGCCTCTGTGCCTTTGTGGTAGGATATGTCAGCACTGCCAGCAGCCGCAGCCGCTGCGTAGCGCTGCATGAGATGGCGCCTTGCTCTGCATTCGCACTAGCTCCTTTTTTTCAGATTCTGGCAGAAGCTTCCGCAGGTGCTGGCCACTTCCGAGATATGCGGGGGTTCCACCCTGTACATCCCCGCACGAATTCGGGCAGAGCTCCGCTTGTGCACTGAGGGGCCTGGCTTAGTTGTAAGATGCCAAAGTTTCGCTGCATCACTGGGCCAGATGGGCCACCACAGCCCTTCCATGGGGCGGGATGCAGGGTTCGTTTCCCAGCAAATGCTCTGTCATTCCTCTGTCCAACAGGGCTTGGCATCGATTTGACATAGCCTGCGAGCAAAAAAAAGCCAGGGCATGCATCCCAGCCAGCTAATGCTAAGGCTAAGGCGTCCCCCCAATACCAAACCCCCCCTAGCCAAATTCAGTGTGTCGACAAGAGTTCAAGCAAGTATGAAGTCGCATAGCGCTCATCTTTCACGGTAGTGGTTGTCACCACAGACAGCAGATGAAATGAAGCGTGCCCATTCACACGATACTGCTGGTGCTTGCAAGAATGTTTCCCATCTACAGTGGCTGTCAGAATCGTGAGGGAGGGAAGAAAGCTGAAGAAAGCATGTGGAGGCCAATGTGTTTTTTTTTGCGACAATAGAATGAAGATCGATGGCTTGCAAGAACCGCGCAGAAAACCGATCAACACATGCTCAAAACAAGTGCTAGGGTGCAGGCCTCTTGGCAGGAACCTGCGAGCAGGTACAAAGGCATACGCATATTGACCGAACCTCATGATTTCGTCAGCCTATCAGCAACCAACAACCACATGGAGGTGTACGAAAATAAGGGACCCCTGATTTAGCCCCCCGAATAGTAGGATTCGCTTATGAAAAGGACTCAGCTCCATCTAGCAAGCCCCCATCAGGAGCGCATCGTTGAGCGCGTGGTGGCTCATCTCGCCCTGAGCCCCAGAGCTGCTGCGAGGGAGTCGAGCCCTGGAGTTCAACGCTTGAACGCTCTCTTTTGGGGGGGGGGGTTTGAGGGATTCTGAACCCTAACGCAAGCCCTAAACCCTAAACCCTAAACCCTAAACCCCAAACCCCAAACCCCAAACCCCAAACCCAAACCCGAAACCCTGAACCCTTTGAAGGGATCCTAGATCGACATCCTCCTTTGTGGGCGCCCTGCGTGGGCCGCTTCAGTGTGGGGCCGAGGCCGACGTGCGCACGTGCCTTCGCGCGTGCGTGAAGCGAACCGAGGCGCGCTGTTGTCGTGCCAAAGGGTCGTGCACTCCGCCTTTCGGCTCCGCCTCTGGCTCCGCCTCGGCCCTTAGGGTTTCGGGTTTAGGCTGCCGACCTCCTCTCCTGACTCCGCGGAAGCAAGGTGCTAGTGAGAACCCCCTGACGCGCAGCCAGGGCAAGGTGAACATTAGGGGTTAAGGGAATTCTTCAGCTGTTCTTCCTCGTCCTTCGGGTGCCTCAGTAGATGAGAAAAGGAGCCCCCTTCCGAGGCCAAAATCCTGGGAACAATTGACGCTTTCGCCTCCCATTTCGCGCTTTGTTCCAACTCACAAAATGAGGCCGTCTTGCTGAAGAGGCATCGACGCAACGTTTGCCAGCTCCGGGGTTTCCCAAAATGGGGGGGGGAGGGGGAGTCGGGGTGGGCACAGGAGAGCTGGAACGTTTTTTTGGAAACAGTGGGAGAGGTCATGGCAAAGGTGCATCTGTAATTTGTTTGGGGGCAGCTCTGAGGGTGTTTGGCGCAGGATCTGGCCATCCAGCGTTTGCTGACCGTCCTTGCAGAGATGATTGACGAGAAAACCGAGTACAACATGCGCAAGGCATGGAATGCCGAGTGGCTGAGACCGTGAATGGCCGTGGGATTTGCGTGGAAAGTCTTAGGCGATGTTTCGCTCCGGGTGCAGGTGCTGGAGCATCTGGATCCTCCGAAGGCGGAGAGCTGTCAGCTGCAGCTCAGTGAGCTTTTCGCCCTTTCTGGGAGATCTGCATCCCTTGGGAGCACTTCCCTGCATGCTGCTGCATGATGCTCAAGTGAAGAAGGTAAGTGGCTTAGGGCCTTACACGCCATACCACTCTTTCCCCGCTTTGGGCCAACATGGCTGCGGAGCTGTGGCCATGGCTCAACGCCACGATGGAGCTTTGGAGCTCCTTGCTGGGCTGCCAGGCTGAGACGTAGGACGTAGGCGGTAGACACACAACTCAGCGTGTGTCCTTTCTGCCCTTTCCGCCGTGGCAGGCCTGCACCTTCAAGAGCTCCGAGGCCTCAATCCCCAAGCCCTGGAACCCTAAAGTTTCACATTGAAGCCCTGTTGCGCCCCCTTGCAGGAGGAGATCCTTGTTGAAGCTCACGACACAGAGGCCATGGCCCCCCCTGCACGAAACTTCCCAACCTTTAACCCAAAGGCTGTCTTAAACTCTCTGGCCTGCGCCCACAGGAAATGCCACAGGCCTCCGATGCAAATGTTTTCCGGTGCATCCAGCTGGAGCCTCAGTGCTTGGAAGAAGATTCCAGATTTCTCAAGCCGAAGCCGTCCATGATTGTAAATGCCCAGGTGCCGACGTCTTTCAGCAGACGAGCCTCTCCAAGCAGTTGTGGCCCACAAGCCTACGCAAGCAGGGCCCCCAGTAACCCCCCCCCCCCCGGAGCTAGGGGAGAATCTTCCCCAACCGCAGGTTGAACTACAGGGGGGTGCAGCGGGTCCACCCGAAATGGGTCAAAACGGGGCCAAATCCCCACCTCCTATGACATGGTGCCCGCAACTTGCCTGTCACCTAAGGGTCGCTCAAACTAAGCGCCCCTTAGGTGAAAGGCGAGCCTTGATGATCTCGGTCAAGAACGGTGGCCTCCACTTACCGAACTAACTTTTCCCCCGTCGTCCCACCCCGCAAGTCTTCTCAGGTCCGTCGCGGCTGCCGCTCGCTGTAGGATTGTTAGGATGCAGGAGTTTAGCATGCGCAAGGCTTCGGGGGATGTTTCTGATTGCATGCTCGTGTCGAGCAGCAGTCGCTATTCAGGTTCGTGGCTGCGCACATGGGCCGTTCTGCGGACGGTGTGCAAGCAGCGTGCGCAAGCAGGCAGGACGTTTGCCAAGGTTTCGGCAGCAAGGTTCTGGTTGCCGTAGTTCAGGGTCCTTAGGGCACGGGGTGCGCGAACCAAACCCTCAACTCCAAGCCGCGAATCCGCCTAGTTCACCGTGTGACTCTGGCTCTAAACCCTCCCGAGCCCCTAAAGGCCCCCTAAGCCCTATGGCCTATGGCCCTGCATGGTGCCGATTTCCCCGAAGGTGTTGGGCCTTTGCGTCTGCCGCGCTTTGGTTTCAGAGTTCCGTCGCGGGCTTGGCGTTTCATGGCTCTGGGGTTCAGGGCTTCGTGGGCTATCGTGGGCTCATGGGTCCAGGGTTCCTGGGTTTAGGGTTTAGGGTACAGGCATAGGGCTTAGGGTTTCTTTCAAAACGAGGTTTAGGGCTCAAAGTGGAAGACCCGAACCCTACGTCGATCCCTGAAGCCCCAGGCCTTTGAACGATCTCTGTGACATTGATACGCTGCATGTGCCTCAGCATGCTGAACTCAGCCGTCGTGGCACTGGGCCATGGCATTGAGCGTTCGACTGCCCGTACTTGATCACAAGGTTGGCACATTCCGATTCGACGAAGTGACGCAACCAGACTTCTGTGGGCATGTCTTAAATTGCGTAGCTCATCAAACACCTATCTCATCAATGGATAAAAAGCCCGTTCTAGCCCTGTTTTCATTTAGATGCGGTTCTTGAAGCGTACATGCGAAAGTTGAGACATTCTCATGGCCTTGCGTGCTTCAAGGCCCGAAGCTATTGTCCCAAGCTGGGCATGATCTTCGCTTTAGCCGAAAGGTAAGCTTAGTAAGAACGTTCTTTCGGGCCTGGAAGATTTAGTTGCGGAGGAACCCGCGCAAACGACAGAAACCTGTAACTCCATCGGCGCCCGCGCGCCTCAACGCAGAACCTTGCGCTTGGCGGCTCGCCTTCTGACTCTGAGCTTTAAAGCGGACACTCCCATCCTGAAACCCGAGGAAGGGAAAGTCCCTCGCGAGAAGAAAAAGGGAGCCAGGATGCCTCCGCACAAGCCCAAGCATCCTGCCGAAGGCGGAGAGCCGTCAGAGGCAGTGAGCTTTTCGCCCTTTCTGGGAGATCTGCATCCCTTGGGAGCACTTCCCTGCATGCTGCTGCATGATGCTCAAGTGAAGAAGGTAAGTGGCTTAGGGCCTTACACGCCATACCACTCTTTCCCCGCTTTGGGCCAACATGGCTGCGGAGCTGTGGCCATGGCTCAACGCCACGATGGAGCTTTGGAGCTCCTTGCTGGGCTGCCAGGCTGAGACGTAGGACGTAGGCGGTAGACACACAACTCAGCGTGTGTCCTTTCTGCCCTTTCCGCCGTGGCAGGCCTGCACCTTCAAGAGCTCCGAGGCCTCAATCCCCAAGCCCTAGAACCCTAAAGTTTCACATTGAAGCCCTGTTGCGCCCCCTTGCAGGAGGAGATCCTTGTTGAAGCTCACGACACAGAGGCCATGGCCCCCCCTGCACGAAACTTCCCAACCTTTAACCCAAAGGCTGTCTTAAACTCTCTGGCCTGCGCCCACAGGAAATGCCACAGGCCTCCGATGCAAATGTTTTCCGGTGCATCCAGCTGGAGCCTCAGCGCTTGGAAGAAGATTCCAGATTTCTCAAGCCGAAGCCGTCCATGATTGTAAATGGCGAGGTGCCGACGTCTTTCAGCAGACGAGCCTCTCCAAGCAGTTGTGGCCCACAAGCCTACGCAAGCAGGGCCCCCAGTAACCCCCCCCCCCCCGGAGCTAGGGGAGAATCTTCCCCAACCGCAGGTTGAACTACAGGGGGGTGCAGCGGGTCCACCCGAAATGGGTCAAAACGGGGCCAAATCCCCACCTCCTATGAAATGGTGCCCGCAACTTGCCTGTCACCTAAGGGTCGCTCAAACTAAGCGCCCCTTAGGTGAAAGGCGAGCCTTGATGATCTCGGTCAAGAACGGTGGCCTCCACTTACCGAACTAACTTTTCCCCCGTCGTCCCACCCCGCAAGTCTTCTCAGGTTCGTCGCGGCTGCCGCTCGCTGTAGGATTGTTAGGATGCAGGAGTTTAGCATGCGCAAGGCTTCGGGGGATGTTTCTGATTGCATGCTCGTGTCGAGCAGCAGTCGCTATTCAGGTTCGTGGCTGCGCACATGGGCCGTTCTGCGGACGGTGTGCAAGCAGCGTGCGCAAGCAGGCAGGACGTTTGCCAAGATTTCGGCAGCAAGGTTCTGGTTGCCGTAGCTCAGGTTCCTTAGGGCACGGGGTGCGCGAACCAAACCCTCAACTCCAAGCCGCGAATCCGCCTAGTTCACCGTCTGACTCTGGCTCTAAACCCTCCCGAGCCCCTAAAGGCCCCCTAAGCCCTATGGCCTATGGCCCTGCATGGTGCCGCCTTCCCCGAAGGTGTTGGGCCTTTGCGTCTGCCGCGCTTTGGTTTCAGAGTTCCGTCGCGGGCTTGGCGTTTCATGGCTCTGGGGTTCAGGGCTTCGTGCGCTCATGGGTCCAGGGTTCCTGGGTTTAGGGTTTAGGGTATAGGGCTCAAAGTGGAAGACCCGAACCCTACGTCGATCCCTGAAGCCCCAGGCCTTTGAACGATCTCTGTGACATTGATACGCTGCATGTGCCTCAGCATGCTGAACTCAGCCGTCGTGGCACTGGGCCATGGCATTGAGCGTTCGACTGCCCGTACTTGATCACAAGGTTGGCACATTCCGATTCGACGAAGTGACGCAACCAGACTTCTGTGGGCATGTCTTAAATTGCGTAGCTCATCAAACACCTATCTCATCAATGGATAAAAAGCCCGTTCTAGCCCTGTTTTCATTTAGATGCGGTTCTTGAAGCGTACATGCGAAAGTTGAGACATTCTCATGGCCTTGCGTGCTTCAAGGCCCGAAGCTATTGTCCCAAGCTGGGCATGATCTTCGCTTTAGCCGCAAGGTAAGAACGTTCTTTCGGGCCTGGAAGATTTAGTTGCGGAGGAACCCGCGCAAACGACAGAAACCTGTAACTCCATCGGCGCCCGCGCGCCCCAACGCAGAACCTTGCGCTTGGCGGCTCGCCTTCTGACTCTGAGCTTTAAAGCGGACACTCCCATCCTGAAACCCGAGGAAGGGAAAGTCTCTCGCGAGAAGAAAAAGGGAGCCAGGATGCCTCCGCACAAGCCCAAGGATCCTGCCGAAGGCGGAGAGCCGTCAGAGGGCATGATGCTCAAGTGAAGAAGGTAAGTGGCTTAGGGCCTTACACGCCATACCACTCTTTCCCCGCTTTGGGCCAACATGGCTGCGGAGCTGTGGCCATGGCTCAACGCCACGATGGAGCTTTGGAGCTCCTTGCTGGGCTGCCAGGCTGAGACGTAGGACGTAGGCGGTAGACGCACAACTCAGCGTGTGTCCTTTCTGCCCTTTCCGCCGTGGCAGGCCTGCACCTTCAAGAGCTCCGAGGCCTCAATCCCCAAGCCCTAGAACCCTAAAGTTTCACATTGAAGCCCTGTTGCGCCCCCTTGCAGGAGGAGATCCTTGTTGAAGCTCACGACACAGAGGCCATGGCCCCCCCTGCACGAAACTTCCCAACCTTTAACCCAAAGGCTGTCTTAAACTCTCTGGCCTGCGCCCACAGGAAATGCCACAGGCCTCCGATGCAAATGTTTTCCGGTGCATCCAGCTGGAGCCTCAGTGCTTGGAAGAAGATTCCAGATTTCTCAAGCCGAAGCCGTCCATGATTGTAAATGCCCAGGTGCCGACGTCTTTCAGCAGACGAGCCTCTCCAAGCAGTTGTGGCCCACAAGCCTACGCAAGCAGGGCCCCCAGTAACCCCCCCCCCCCCGGAGCTAGGGGAGAATCTTCCCCAACCGCAGGTTGAACTACAGGGGGGTGCAGCGGGTCCACCCGAAATGGGTCAAAACGGGGCCAAATCCCCACCTCCTATGACATGGTGCCCGCAACTTGCCTGTCACCTAAGGGTCGCTCAAACTAAGCGCCCCTTAGGTGAAAGGCGAGCCTTGATGATCTCGGTCAAGAACGGTGGCCTCCACTTACCGAACTAACTTTTCCCCCGTCGTCCCACCCCGCAAGTCTTCTCAGGTCCGTCGCGGCTGCCGCTCGCTGTAGGATTGTTAGGATGCAGGAGTTTAGCATGCGCAAGGCTTCGGGGGATGTTTCTGATTGCATGCTCGTGTCGAGCAGCAGTCGCTATTCAGGTTCGTGGCTGTGCACATGGGCCGTTCTGCGGACGCTGTGCAAGCAGCGTGCGCAAGCAGGCAGGACGTTTGCCAAGATTTCGGCAGCAAGGTTCTGGTTGCCGTAGCTCAGGTTCCTTGGGGCACGGGGTGCGCGAACCAAACCCTCAACTCCAAGCCGCGAATCCGCCTAGTTCACCGTGTGACTCTGGCTCTAAACCCTCCCGAGCCCCTAAAGGCCCCCTAAGCCCTATGGCCTATGGCCCTGCATGGTGCCGCCTTCCCCGAAGGTGTTGGGCCTTTGCGTCTGCCGCGCTTTGGTTTCAGAGTTCCGTCGCGGGCTTGGCGTTTCATGGCTCTGGGGTTCAGGGCTCCATGGGCTATCGTGGGCTCATGGGTCCAGGGTTCCTGGGTTTAGGGTTTAGGGTACAGGCATAGGGCTTAGGGTTTCTTTCAAAACGAGGTTTAGGGCTCAAAGTGGAAGACCCGAACCCTACGTCGATCCCTGAAGCCCCAGGCCTTTGAACGATCTCTGTGACATTGATACGCTGCATGTGCCTCAGCATGCTGAACTCAGCCGTCGTGGCACTGGGCCATGGCATTGAGCGTTCGACTGCCCGTACTTGATCACAAGGTTGGCACATTCCGATTCGACGAAGTGACGCAACCAGACTTCTGTGGGCATGTCTTAAATTGCGTAGCTCATCAAACACCTATCTCATCAATGGATAAAAAGCCCGTTCTAGCCCTGTTTTCATTTAGATGCGGTTCTTGAAGCGTACATGCGAAAGTTGAGACATTCTCATGGCCTTGCGTGCTTCAAGGCCCGAAGCTATTGTCCCAAGCTGGGCATGATCTTCGCTTTAGCCGCAAGGTAAGAACGTTCTTTCGGGCCTGGAAGATTTAGTTGCGGAGGAACCCGCGCAAACGACAGAAACCTGTAACTCCATCGGCGCCCGCGCGCCCCAACGCAGAACCTTGCGCTTGGCGGCTCGCCTTCTGACTCTGAGCTTTAAAGCGGACACTCCCATCCTGAAACCCGAGGAAGGGAAAGTCTCTCGCGAGAAGAAAAAGGGAGCCAGGATGCCTCCGCACAAGCCCAAGGATCCTGCCGAAGGCGGAGAGCCGTCAGAGGGCATGATGCTCAAGTGAAGAAGGTAAGTGGCTTAGGGCCTTACACGCCATACCACTCTTTCCCCGCTTTGGGCCAACATGGCTGCGGAGCTGTGGCCATGGCTCAACGCCACGATGGAGCTTTGGAGCTCCTTGCTGGGCTGCCAGGCTGAGACGTAGGACGTAGGCGGTAGACGCACAACTCAGCGTGTGTCCTTTCTGCCCTTTCCGCCGTGGCAGGCCTGCACCTTCAAGAGCTCCGAGGCCTCAATCCCCAAGCCCTAGAACCCTAAAGTTTCACATTGAAGCCCTGTTGCGCCCCCTTGCAGGAGGAGATCCTTGTTGAAGCTCACGACACAGAGGCCATGGCCCCCCCTGCACGAAACTTCCCAACCTTAAACCCAAAGGCTGTCTTAAACTCTCTGGCCTGCGCCCACAGGAAATGCCACAGGCCTCCGATGCAAATGTTTTCCGGTGCATCCAGCTGGAGCCTCAGTGCTTGGAAGAAGATTCCAGATTTCTCAAGCCGAAGCCGTCCATGATTGTAAATGCCCAGGTGCCGACGTCTTTCAGCAGACGAGCCTCTCCAAGCAGTTGTGGCCCACAAGCCTACGCAAGCAGGGCCCCCAGTAACCCCCCCCCCCCCGGAGCTAGGGGAGAATCTTCCCCAACCGCAGGTTGAACTACAGGGGGGTGCAGCGGGTCCACCCGAAATGGGTCAAAACGGGGCCAAATCCCCACCTCCTATGAAATGGTGCCCGCAACTTGCCTGTCACCTAAGGGTCGCTCAAACTAAGCGCCCCTTAGGTGAAAGGCGAGCCTTGATGATCTCGGTCAAGAACGGTGGCCTCCACTTACCGAACTAACTTTTCCCCCGTCGTCCCACCCCGCAAGTCTTCTCAGGTTCGTCGCGGCTGCCGCTCGCTGTAGGATTGTTAGGATGCAGGAGTTTAGCATGCGCAAGGCTTCGGGGGATGTTTCTGATTGCATGCTCGTGTCGAGCAGCAGTCGCTATTCAGGTTCGTGGCTGTGCACATGGGCCGTTCTGCGGACGGTGTGCAGGCAGCGTGCGCAAGCAGGCAGGACGTTTGCCAAGATTTCGGCAGCAAGGTTCTGGTTGCCGTAGCTCAGGTTCCTTGGGGCACGGGGTGCGCGAACCAAACCCTCAACTCCAAGCCGCGAATCCGCCTAGTTCACCGTGTGACTCTGGCTCTAAACCCTCCCGAGCCCCTAAAGGCCCCCTAAGCCCTATGGCCTATGGCCCTGCATGGTGCCGATTTCCCCGAAGGTGTTGGGCCTTTGCGTCTGCCGCGCTTTGGTTTCAGAGTTCCGTCCCGGGCTTGGCGTTTCATGGCTCTGGGGTTCAGGGCTTCGTGGGCTTAGGGTATAGTATATGGCTTTTAGGGTTTCTTTCAAAAGGAGGCTTAGGGCTCAAAGTGGAAGACCCGAACCCTACGTCGTTCCCTGAAGCCCCAGGCCTTTGAACGATCTCTGTGACATTGATACGCTGCATGTGCCTCAGCATGCTGAACTCAGCCGTCGTGGCACTGGGCCATGGCATTGAGCGTTCGACTGCCCGTGCTTGATCACCAGGTTGGCACATTCCGACTCGACGAAGTGACGCAACCAGACTTCTGTGGGCATGTCTTAAATTGCATAGCTCATCAAACACCTATCTCATCAATGGATAAAAAGCCCTTTCTAGCCCTGTTTTCAACGATGTGCGGTTCTTGAAGCGTACATGCGAAAGTTGAGACATTCTCATGGCCCTTGCGTGCTTCAAGGCCCGAAGCTATTGTCCCATCTGGGCATGATCTTCGCTTTAGCCGCAAGGTAAGAACGTTCTTTCGGGCCTGGAAGATTTAGTTGCGGAGGAACCCGCGCAAACGACAGAAACCTGTAACTCCATCGGCGCCGCCCGCGCGCCTCAACGCAGAACCTTGCGCTTGGCGGCTCGCCTTCTGACTCTGAGCTTTAAAGCGGACACTCCCATCCTGAAACCCGAGGAAGGGAAAGTCTCTCGCGAGAAGAAAAAGGGAGCCAGGGATGCCTCCGCCCAAGCCACAAGCCCAAGGATGCGCAAGGTCCCTGAACTTAAATCCTTTCGGTCCTTAAAGCTCCTTAGTACCTCGATTCCTAAATGATCCTTGATAATCTTTAATCATCCTTAATCATCCTTACTAATCCTTAATGATCCTTAGTAGCCCTCAAGTCCTTAAACCCTTCAGCCCTAAACCGTCATTCCTGGGTTTGGGTCCCCTGCTGGCAGGAACCTGGCGCCAAAATCCAGTGGTGCTGCGCTCAGTCCACGTGGCGTGCGATCTATGCGTCTAACCCCTCCCCCCCCCCAAACCCTAAACCAAACCCTAAACCCTCAACCCTAAACCCTAAATCCTAAACCCTAAACCCTAAACCCCTAGAACTGAACACCCCAGAAGCCAAGACTTTGTGTCATTTCGAGGCCGGCGAACTTGAACGCGGCACTGCCCGACCCTCGTGCATGCAGTTTCTAAATTGAGTATCTATATAAATAGATGTATACATACATATATATATATACATATGTATCTCTGTGTGAGTAGTGTGTGTGTGTGTGACTTGTGTAGTGTGTGTGTGTGCGTTGTGTGTGTCAAAATGAGTATGTACATGCGTATATATATACACATCTATATGATACAGTGTACATATGATATCACATACTAGACTATAAATGTATGCAAGACTTACACTTATAAGAAGTGTAAGTATATATATATATATATATAAATACTTGTCCGGCGTCGTCTGTAGATGACCACGATGCCAGTACTGCAGCTCAGTGGATGAGTCACTTGATGACACAGAGCATTCTGCGGGTAAGCTGAGGTGGCACCGTGCCCGTGTTCCACGTGTCGGTGGAGCATGAGGGGGGCTGGTTTCCAAAATTTGCGCACCACCGTGTCATATCTATATATGTATATATATATGTATATATATATATATGTATATATATATATATATATTTATTTATCTGTGCATTACAGTGTTTCCTTGCAAGCTAATTCGCCCCATGATTTAACGAGGCGGAGCATGGCTTCAGTTGTTTGTTGCTTGGGCTGCCTGAATCAGCGGCAATCGCCATGACGAAGGCAAGATCAAAGCTTTGGGTCAGCCCATTTCAAAATAATTAGTGCATGCCAACTCTGGTGGTTCTCTGCGGGAAGGGAGCGTCTCAGACATCGCTTCGCAGGAGATACGTCAAAGCTTCAGGTCGTTCCAGCGAGCTTGCGTTGCACGTGGCAAGCATGGGCAAGCGTCGGCAAGTGACTTCGCCGATGGAGTCTTGTTTGACTGGGCCCGCCTTTGGCTACAAGCTCCGAGATGTCTTAGGACAGGTATGGCGACTCCTGTTTAAAGCTGTGCCGGCCTCCCAGGCATCAGTTTGGGCGGACTCTTTGAAGCTTGAAGGCTGAGGTGCGAATGAAGGTCACGGTTCGCCTCAGTCCTGACAATCCAGGGATGCCCTGAAGGAAGCGACCTAACAGTCAAGCACAGATGAAAAGAAATATGTCATCGCATGAAAGGATGAAGGTCACTCCCTTCACATCCGCCCATCTCGACCTCCTCTGCTAAAGCTCCAGATGACAGAACCGAAGAGGGTTAGGGTTAGGGCTTAGGGTTTAGGGTTTTGGGTTTGAGGGTTTAGGGTTTAGGGTTTAGCAAGGGAGGCCTGTTTTTTTTTTTTGGTTTGCAAGCAGAAGAGCTCCAGCAATCGCAGTGCCGAGCTATGTCATCGATGCCCTTGTCGACTCTGAGCCTGACGCGAAATCCAAGCAGTTAGTGTTAGTATATTACTATTCTTATTAGCATCATTGTTATGATCATTGTTTTGATTCTGTTGATGAGTCCATTATTTATTATTAGTACAGTATGATTATTATTATCATCATTACTATTGTTCTTCTTACTATTGTCTTTCTATTATTGTTGTTATCATGAATATTCGCATCTTTATTGTTATTGTAAGTGCAAAGAAGCTTCCAAGGTCGGTCAGATGGCGGTGAACTTTGGACAGGCTGCCGTGACTACTGCGGGGGAGGGCCAAAAAAACATACACCATACGCACACCATCCTATGTCTTGCCTTTTGCAGGTTGCGGTGGTGCCGCATGCCTCTACAGAACCTGTCGACAGGAATCGAGGGTCTAGGTTTGTGGCTGCTGTGTTCACCTTAAACGCAAGCCGCAAGTGTCAGGACGTCTCCGGTGGATGCGGAGTCTGGTTTGCCAGAGATGCAGGCAGGCAGTTGGTTTCCCCCCATTCAAGTATGGCATTCCCCCGTCGTGAGAGCCGACGCGGAAGAAATGCTTCTCGGAACAGACGGCAAGGCAGAATAGGCGGCCTCTGTCCTATTAAGCCTTGCATTTGCCCCAAGAACTTTCCGAAAGAGTGTTCTGTCTCTTTCGGGGGAGAGGGTTGCGGTAGGCGCTGGGGGGGGAGGTTGGCAAGAGGTGGAGGGCAGCTGCATGTCCGCGTTGTAGAGGCAAGAAGCGAAGTAGCCCCACTGTGCTCATGGCCTTCTTTTTTCGGGACGCTGGGCTCCTAAGCCCTAAACCCCAAGGTTTAGGATTTCAGGTGTGGGCCCGGAACCCTAAACAGCGCAGCTGTGGGTCAAAGCACCAGGGCGTGCAGGGTGTGCGGTGCAGGTCCGATTCCAACTTCCGGAGTCGTGCGGGCCCAAGCTCGGCTGTGCTCTTGTTCTTTGCATCTCTGCAGAGGGGGGTGAATCCACAGTTTCAGGCGCCAAAATCCCGAAGCCCTTTCCTTTGCCAGATCGTTGGCCTCAGTCGGCTTCATGCTCAGGCCGAGCATGAGCACCCCAAGCTGCTGGCGACCTGGCAGAATCAAGTGACATGGGGCATGATTAACCCAGCTGTGCAACCCAACAGCCAGCAAGACAGATGATTCCGGCGTTCCGTTCCGAGGGCTCCGGAGTTGCGATTGGCCCCCGCCTCTAAGAGATAGAAGCCCGACCCTTCGGTTGTTGGAAATTATACGACAAAAGTGAGTAGCAGTAGTACCTGCAAATGGTAGCCATCAGAAGAAGAAATCGAAGATGCCTGGCCTTTGAGTACAGAGCTTCCATATCAGACATTCTCGGCCAAGGATTAAGGATGCGTGGTCAGAAGGCGAGAGGCCAGGGAGCACAGTCTGCCGCAGGCATCATGCGGTGATATCCCTTTATCACATGATTTCCATGTTCACAAGTTCACGGCGGTTCGCTTTGTATGTCAAAGTGGTTGGCCGGCGCATCGTTTCTGCAACGCAGATCGCTGTGGCGCTTTCCCAGCAAGCCCGGCTCCGTCCCGGAGTACATGCGCAGGCATGGGACTCCAGTGAAGCATGATTGTAGAGGTGGGAAGCAAGACGCTGCGTGAGCCTCATGTGGCTGGTTGGACTTTAGCGCTACGCGACCCGCCTCGGCCGGGTCCTGCCCAGCAGCCAGACAACCCAAACAGGAGATCGCGGCGGGTGTGAAAGGTTCTGCTGGTGGGGGGGGAGGTGGAGGCGGTGGAGGGGGTGGAGGGGGTGGGTGGCGGTGGAGGGGTGGGTAAGGGCGGCTTTCCAGACGCCTGCGACCCGAGGCCTCGGCGGATTTGGGTTCCCTTTGAGGGTGGGGGGTCTTCCGTAATCCTGAAATGGGGACCCCCATGTTCAAAAGACTTGAGGCCCTCAGCCCTTGTGCCTGCGCCAGGGCATTTCGAGTGAAGACCTTCTCTCTGATGAGCCTGCAGCTCTTGGTGGTCTTCGCCGAGATGGTGCGCCTCTGATCATAACGTACTAAGAAATTATGTACAATGTATATGTACCCTCCTGAAAGAAGAAGAAGAATAACATAAAAAAAACAACAGTAATAATAATAACAATAATAATAATAGAAATAATAGTAATAGTAATATTAATAATAGCAATAATAATAATACTAATAATAAGAATAATAATAGTAAATAGTATACGTACACACATCTATCTGGCTAACGATCTGTGACAAGATCGTCATCGACCACTACCAGCTGTGGCACAACGTCCTCACCGAGATGCGCGAGGGACGCTTCATTGACATCGGGCAAGAGGTGGGTTGCTGAATGCCTTGAAGGGATCGTGCCGCCAACGCTAGTTGCATGTTCTTTCAGATGCTACTCGCCAGTCCGTGCGAACGACTGTATGCAATAAGCAGGTTCTGTTCTACAGCTCCGGCTTCTGCACGCTGCTTGCTATCATGGCATCTTGACTGATATCACTGATATTGGTTGATCTGATCTTGGCTTTGCATTGGTTTTGGCATTCTTCCGAACAAAAGCAACAAGCCGTCCGTGCCGGCCTGGCGGGCACAAACTGCAGGCGAGAAGCATCCAGTTATGCATAGTGTTGCATAGTTAAGCCTGAGGTGATGTTTTGCGTCAAGGACCGATACCCTTTGAACTACTGGATTCGCGGCAGCACTCATTGAAACACATGTTCCCCATATGGTGTGGCACATATTCTCGTCGATGCCGCCGTTCACTCCGACAACCGCATTGAGGATGATGGCGTTGACAACCTTACTCTCCGGATCCTTCTGGGGAATGACCCGTGCGGTGGTTCAGACAACCATGCACTTCCAGATCCTCGGACCCGGAATCCATGCAACCTCGATTTGGTAACATCCCCGCGAATTAGCCAGGCAATGTCCACGTGCCCAACGCATTCCGCATGCTAAGGATTGTTGGGATTCTCTGCTGCTCCATGTGCGGAGGAGCCGCAGCTTGGCTGGAGTGCTAAAAGGCAAGTTCCAAAGAGGGACCTTGGGCATCATGGTTGCGGGCCTGGGGTTCGAAGCCGCAAGCCCAACCTCGGATTTAGGGTTTAGGGTTTAGGGTTTAGGGTTTAGGGTTTAGGGTTTAGGGTTTAGGGTTTAGGGGATCAAAAAGCGAACCCACCCCCACATGTGGAACGAGTCAGGGCTCCAAGCCCAAGGCCATCGTGCCAGGATTTTACATGGCCAATCCATGAACCATGACAAGCCCATGACAAGATCCATAGAAAGCCACGACAGAGGACCAACAAAAGCCCCAATCACATCCCACAAGGTCTATCCTAAACCCTAAACCCTAAACCCTAAACCCCACACCCCAAACCCCAAACCCCAAACCCCAAACTCTAAACCCTAAACCCTAAACCCTAAGCCCTAAACCCTAAACCCTAAACCCTAAACCCTAAACCCTAAACCCTAAACCCTAAACCCTAAACCCTAAACCAGTTGTGGAAAGGTGGCTTCGACGTTGGTGAAGGAGGTGCAGGGCCCCAAGCTCCTAATGGCCACCCTGGCCCCGGGGTGGCTTCTGGGAGCCACCGCCAACGTGCCTTGGGGGCACGAAGCCATCGGAAACCCTGAAAAACCCTAAGCCCTTAACCCTACAACCCTACAACCCTACAACCCTACAACCCTACAACCCTACAACCCTACAACCCTACAACCCTACAACCCTACAACCCTACAACCCTACAACCCGAAGGGCGCAGCTAGCTACGGAAAGGCCAGCCGACAATGGCATCGCTCCTGAGGTGCTGGTAAGCCGGGTTTTCGTACAGGAGACGGACCGCGTGGTTCTGGGATCGACAGGTGGGGGTCCGCTTGCAAGACAGTGCGGGTCGCTTCGGGGTGCTGAGGCGTTTTTTCTGTTTTTTGAGGCCTTTTTTCGAGGGGTCCCTGCGCAACTCCCCTCCAACTGAGCATGGTGAGCAACATTGAGTGATGAAGCTTTGTGATCCTGAGCTTTGCCGAATGCTTTTTACGAGCACGCGCACCTTTTGCATGTGTCCCGATGGTGGTAGGATTATCGATGCTGCTCCTATGTATTTTGACGATGGACGCAGGCTCGGGGTTGCCCATGCAGCGTTCAGCCAATTGTTTCGGGTTGCGTGCAGGGGCGTAAATATAGGGGCATGTAGGAAACAATGTGGTTTCCTGGTTCTAAGATAACTTTGCAGAGTCGTACAGACGAGCCAGCAACCCAGTGTTTGGCCGTGGTATTCAGGGGCCTCAGCCTCCTGCTGTCTCAAGCTTGTTACTTGTCTCAAGCTGTTGCGGCGGCCGGCATCTGTCAGGCAGGTACCTGATCCTGTGTAAACCAGACGATTTTATGCGTCTCGGCCGATCCAAGAATGTTCTTCAGCTCGCAGGGAGACCGACAGCAGATTGATTGTGATGGCGTTCTTGCAGCCTGTTCTCCTTCTCGTGTCTCTGCAAAGGAAAATTATAGTTGCTATGAACTCCACGTTGATGGTGGTAGCCGCTTGGCTGCACTTTTGAAGGTTGTTGGTGGTTTACAGGTGTGCTTTTCCCGTATGCGCCCGCAAGTTGGGATTGCAGGGTAGGTGCATCTGCGCTGGCAGGTGAGCATTCCGTTCTTCGTCCTGTCTTTCTGTTTCATCCACACTGGTGAGGTGGGAGTGGGATCGCTGGACTCCAGCCACGAGTAGAGCATAGGCATAGGCATAGACATTTCTTGATGGAGTCCGTTTCAGCAGTTGCCTCGACCTCACCAACCAGCGCCCGTGCTCCCTGCGCGTGTACACTCTTTGTACCATCCCGAAACCCTAAACCCTAAACCCTAAACTTTAAACCCTAAACCCTAAACCCTAAACCTCAAACCCTGAACCTTAAACCCTCAACAGGCAGTCGTTGACGAGGACGTGGAGAACGCTTTGGAGGATCGGTTCTGGGTGCTTGCGCTTTGCGTTCCACCAGCCCCTTTCCCAAAAAGTGTGCACGCCGACTTTCGGAAATCGCCCGAAACCCTAAACCCTAAACCCTAAACCCTAAACCCTAAACCCTAAACCCTAAACCCTAAACCCTAAACCCTAAACCCTAAACCCTAAACCCTAAACCCTAAACCCTAAACCCTAAGTTGCACAAGAGGCTGGCCATGCAAGGGAGCAGTCCAGACCAGCGGACCAAGTCGCCGCTCTGCTGCAGTGGGTGCTCTTGAAAAGTGAAGGACACCCAGGGGCTTGAGCTGCTTGAGGCGCTTTCGTCGGGTTTTAGCAGTTTTAGCCTGCCCTTCTCAGACTCATATACGGCCCCTCCCTGCGCTTCTGGGTTAGCAGTGTCACAGCGCAGGGGAAGCAGCGAGGTTTCAGTCATGTTGCGGTGAGCGTTTTCTGTGGTATGTTGACAGCTTGAAGGGCGTCTCTGCCTTATCTCCCCAGCAGACAGCTATTGAATCCCAGGCTCCGCCTCAATCAGACGCACTGCGACGGGACGCTGCAGTAATTGATTGCTTGCTCTTTCGTGTGCGCCTTTTGGAATTCCTCTCAGACGCAGTCTTGAGAAGTGAGTGCCCTTGACCGCATGTTTCCATTTCTCTTGCCTGAAAGGAGACTGGCCCGCCTCTGCAGAGGTCTGCTTCGGTGCCTCGACTTTTGCTTTTTGCACCATCGTAAATGGGCTGCCTCGCGTCGTACTCTTTTTTTGACTCACCCGGATTTTCGACTTGTTTTCCGGGCTCGACATCATCCGAGCTACTGACTTCACGGCCGACCAAGGAGCCTGCGCTGACCGTCTTCAGCTTGTAGGCGAGCTTGCTTGAAGCAGCCTGGGTGGATCGAAATGCGCGGCACGGGGAAGGCGCGCCCAACAGCGCGGCCCGCAGCTGCCAGGCAGGCGCATTCCTAGCCTAGCATTGCTGGCTACAAAGGCCAGGGTGAGACGCCACCAAAAGGGTGGCTTGTGGAATGTGCATGTCCGTCGGGTATCTCCCGCGATCATTTCTCTGATCTGAGCATCTGATCTGAGCATCTGATCTGAGCATCTGATCTGAGCATCTGCTCTCTTTGTGCCATCCAAGGTTCCACCGCAGCTACTGCCTGCTGTTAGTTTCTGCATTTTAGTCATCGCGGTCTCTCGCCGCGTTATTTGCGTGTGGCTTCCCACCGCTGGGCGGCTTTATTTTAAGTGTTTCGGCATTGCCAGCCATCCAAAGAGAAGGCGCGAGGCAGGTCTCGGGAGCTTGCGAGACTGACCAGGGACTTTCGAAGTAGTTGAGTCTGCAATATGGGGGTTTACGAAAATAAGGGACCCCTAATAAAGACCCCCAAATAGTAGGATCCCCTTTTTACAAGGACCCCAATAAGGTACCCCTGCTATAGCCCCAGATTGTGCATGATTGTACTTGGGGGTAACCGCTTGCAGGCTTGCAATCTCATCCTGGAAGCGTCGGCACAGCCACTTACACACACAAATTCCCCAGAGCGGCAGGTCCTATGCACCTGGGACCGTCTTTGAGGGAAGAATTGGGTCCATCAACTTCCTTATACAGCATATTCATGTTGAAGGTGCCTTCGCCATGGACCTTTGTACTGCATTGCTGCGCTGTTAAACTGGCCAACCGGCTCAACAGGAGCTGCGAAAGCCAATGCGGAAGTTTCTTCTCGCTTGTGCAGACCATGCACTCGAAAAGAGCTCTATTTGATGGCGCAGAGGAGAGCACATGCTTCTACCCCGGCGAGACCGAACTTTGGAATTGCATCTTTGTTAGTAGTTTAGTCTTTCTTGAGGGGTGGTTTGTTTGCATAAGGTCTGTAGTACGCATTGGGAGAAGGAAGGCAGGAAGGGAACATCATGACGTTATGGGGAATTGCTTCCAAACCCAGACTTGGATACTTTCCCAACCCGACATGCAAGCCGTTCCGGGCAAATGGTGGGGGCGGGGCGGGCCCTCAAGTGTCATGGGCATCGTGGGAACTCGCACAGATGCATCACGCGTGGGACAAGCTGTCGTGCAGAAAGCTCTTGGCTCGCACACTTGGATTGAGTCGCCACGTAGCAGCATTGACAGAGAGTTCCAGGAGCTTGTCGATCGTCTTGCCAAGATTGTGGAGGAAGAGTGAGAGACACTCGGGCTGGTCTTGCATAAGCCATAGCCATACGTTACGAGAAGGGGGAGCCCCCAACCCCACATGCCTTTTTTGAAACCGTGCAAGCTTGCGATCAAGAACCTACCGCCGTCCAGAGGAATTGTTGCAAAAACTGTTTCAATCTAGCATACTTCTACTACGTTTAGTTGATTTCTCTCTATTCTAGTTTTAAAAACCGAAGAAAAGTGTCGAAGCAACATCTACTCACGTATATGTGCACACACATATGTATGTATGTATGTATGTACGTACGTACGTATGTACGTACGTACGTATGTATGTATGTATGTATGTATGTATGTATGTATGTATGAATGACAACCCCGCCCCGCATGATCCATGTCCATGTTTTTGGTGCTTGCCTACCCTTGGCTTGCGCCTGTATTGAAAGTCTTGAAAGCGCCGGCACTTGTGATACGTTGTTATCTTTGGCATGAAGTCATGTCTTCTTCCTTGCTGCAATGTCATTGATCTGCAACGAGGGAAGAAAAATGGCATCAATCGAGGCTAAGACTGTTTTTGGCGGCTGCCTTTGGAGTTTAGCGGTTCTGTGCCTTGTCACGGCAAGCACAAGCATAGCCGGGCTTTAGCCGCATTTTAATGAGTGTAGATGACAAGCTCCCAAACATTGCAATTCACGTGTGCCGATATCTGCGCTGCCTCGAGGTCACGAAGTCTTCGGAGACATGCTTGTCACGCTCCTGCAGGGGTAGAACGTAGAACGGAATTGAGCCTGACATGTATCAGGCTTGGCTCAATGTCTGCACCACGCATGAATGAGCTACAACACATCTCCACTCCAAGACTCGGAGGAAGCAGCCATCCGAGTACAGCGCACCCTGCACGAGCTTTACCCGGCTTTACCCAACCACACTGTAGCACCGAGTAGCTTAGCCTAGGTAAACAAACTGTTGCAAAAAATGTACGAGCAGCTCTGTGGAGCTTTTTAAACACGTCCAGTCGGGCTGTCGGCTCATGTCTTCAGCTTCCGACTCCTACGACTCCTACCAGACCGTCACCGACCAGACGGACAGTGACGATGATCCTAACAGTTGGGGCCAGAAGCCGCGGAGGCAACGTTGCAGGCGCCGGGGCTCGGCGAAAAGTTGGGGCTTGCTGTTTTTTTTTTTTTTTGTTTTCTTTGTTTCGAGGGGTTAGGTTCTAACCACAACCAACCAACAAAGTCTCAAGGGGCCCGAGAGAACAGCAACTGCCAGCTGCATGCCTGCAGAAGGTGCCCACCCTTCTGTACTGCCAGTCGCATCTGCCACGCGTGCTATGCCGCTCAGATGACATAAAGGTCCAAGGGATGTCTTTCCGACTGTAGTTTCTTGAGGAGGCGGCAGATCAGATTGCAACGACTCCGTAAGACCAGGATCTTGTGGGGGTTTACGATCATAAGGGACCCCTAAAATAGAAAGTTCCCCTTATACTAAGTAGTATGGTACCCCTAACATCGTAAACCCCCTTGTGACTTCTGCTCAGCGATTGGAGCCCCCTGTCAGATTTGCCAGCTTATCCTGTATTTGCTCGTCTTCCCGCTGTGGACGAAGTGGCTGGTAACCAGTCCGATGCCAACTCGGTATTGGCACCAGGAGGGCCTGAAGTTGCAACTGGAAGAGACATGAGCAGTTCAAGCCCTGAACCCTAAACCCTAAACCCTAAACCCTAAACCCTAAACCCGAAACCCGAAACCCGAAACCCGAAACCCGAAACCCGAAACCCGAAACCCGAAACCTAAACGTTGACCTTGCCACAGAATTTGCCAAGCAGTTTGCCATCCCTGAGCACGGCAGCGCACGCACGAAAAAAATCGTTGTACCCGTGGCACTACCCTTGTGCCCTGGCCAGGGCTTCCCTGACTGGCCCGTGATTCCCACAACGAGCGGACGGTCCATCGCTCTGGAAGCCCAAACGAGGGCCATTGACATGACGCCTCTACCAATGGACTCGCGCAGTTGCCACTCGGCCGGTCCCTGGTGTTCACGTGTTCCGTTTCGGAGGACTCTGCATTGATGTGGGTTGCAAGGGCGGGGGTCTGGCGTGCCCCTGTAGACTGCGCGTGTATACACTTGCAGTCTCAGCTCTGCTCGAAGGCAACTACTCGTGTTACTCGTCGAGTGCTGGCGCCGGCGACACCGCTTCGGTGGGCTTCGAGGTGGGTCACAGACATCTGCGAGTGCAGAGTTGCTGAACATCGAGTAGGAGTAGGCCCCCTGTGTCCCGAAAGTAGCTCTACAAAGCACTCAGTGACAAAGATTCGAAGCAAGATGCCCGCGACAAGGGAAAGGGGGGGAGGGAATGGGGGGTTTGGGACTGGGACCTCGAGAAGCGCCTCCAAGGTTTGATAAGACTCAGAATGTTTAAGGTCTGCGTGTGCGGCGATGTACCGCGTCAGGTTGGTCTCACGCTGAACGACCCTGTGTTGATCAAGAAGAAGGTCTATGCGGTTTATCCGGTTCTTCTTGCATCCGAGAACTTTCACGACTGGTGGGTGGCTGCAGACAAGAGACACGCACACCCAACTCCATTCTGGAGATCACGGACAGCTGCACAGTCGGGCGTGTATACATACGTGTCCGAAGATGCTTGGCTGCATGGTGTTGCATGGTCGCCATTGGTCTCGCAAGCTGATTGTGGAAATCTTCAAAACACGAAGAAGCCCTAAACCCTAAGCCCTAAATCCGGTTTGCCTGACATGGCCACCTGTTGCCCCTAACAGGGCCTGGCACAAGAACCAAAACGCATCTGGCAGCTAAGAGCTGGGTCTGTGGGTCAGGGTTTAGGGGTTTAGGGGGGTGGGGAAATAGAGGGATCAGACTAAGTCCCAGGAGGATTTTCCTCGTTCAATGGTGGGGGTTGATCTAGACTCCTTGTTGGGTCTCTGTGACGGTGTGTTCTCTGTGGTTCTCGGATGCCAAAGAACTCCCAGAATTTCGATGAAACCTGACATGCTTTACCTCAGCTTTCCCAGCCAAGGCATGCACCAAGCCGCCAGAGAAACGAACAGACGTGTCGGAGGCGTCGCAGAACGCCACCACTACATACATAGATGTATACATATACTTCTGTATATATGCATACATACATGCAGAGAGAGAAGGAGTCACTAGAACACATGCAACGATTCTTGTTACAGTGCATGGCAAGAGCACATACATAAGTTCTATTTAACGTTTAGCCACAAACAGGCAAAGAAGCATGCTGCGGTACTTGTGTCCGCAAGTCCATCGGACAACGTCGCGCAGCCTGCAAGGTTCTGGGTGGGGTCTACATCCTTGCATGCGTCACCTGGAGGCGCAGACAGCCTTCTGCAAGTTTGCAGCATTCGTGACGTGTCGGCTCCAATCCCGTCAGTCCCGACAACTTCAAGAAGCTCTCGTCCGCCACGACATTGAAGCTCGGCAATGAAAAGGGAGCCACGAGCAGCGTGCGGCATGCATGCCGCTTCGGCATGTGGTTGGGCATAGTGGCGAGGGACACGCCTGCCTCAAACAGAACAAAGGTAGGAGAAGAGAGACAGGTCTTCAACATTCCGGTCAGATGATTTCTCTTGCTACCATCGTTATATGTTTTTTTTTTTTCATAAGATGCCGTGCAGATCGCCAGCCGTCTCGCTCATGGGCGCACGCTCACAATGGGAAGACGAAGGGTCTTGTCAAAGGTGTGTTCCTGTGTGGGTGTTCTTCGTAGAAGGTCGGGCTCACTCAAGGGCATAGGCTCTCGCATCACTGTCAGTAATCGCCGTGCCCCTAAGGCTTTCCCTCAGAAGAAAGAGTGTGAGAGAGATGGGAGAGGGGAGAATTGAGTGCATGGCCCCTCGCTCTCTCTCCTCTTTTTTTTCTCTCTCCCTCTCTCTCTGTCTCTCTCTCTCTCGCTCTCTCTCTCTCACTCTCTTCCTGCTTGGAGGAGGGAAAGACATCTGATTCTGTCATCTTGAGGACCATGGATGAAATTGGCGCCCTCTGCAGCTCCGCGGGTGGCGTGTGCGGATGGAGCGATTCCGCAAAGCGATCAGAATCCGGGGGGTGCTGTGGGTATTGGGAGCAAAAGCGACCTAAACCCTAACCCTAAACCCTAAACCCTAAACCCTAAACCCTAAACCCTAAGCTCCAAACCCTAAACCCTAAACCCTAAACCCTAAACTCATAACTTAAACCCTAAACCCAAGAGTGCAGTGGAAGTGTGGGAAGTGGGGGGAAGTGTGGACAGTTTTGGCGGTGCTCGCGAGGAGCTGTGGGGCAGAGGTGCCCTCCGACCGACTCCCTGGCTGCGTGGACCACCGCCTCTCCTTTGCAGATGCTTGCTACGTGGGGGTTTAGGGTTTAGGGTCTAGGGTTTAGGGTTTAGGGTTTGGGGGTTTCCGAATTGTGGGGCTCCTTAACTTCAGGGAATCCTACTAGTTGGGGGTCTGCTTCGGGGCTCCCCCCTTCTCGTAAACCCCATGTGTTTTGCAATGCTTCAGCACCTTCACTCGCCGGGAAGCAGGAGCATAACCAAGTGGTTTCGATATCCACCGCACGCGCACGCGAGGCATTTCCATGACGTCCAACAGTGTTGCGGGGCTCGCTGTCGATGGAGCCAGCTTCGGGGGGAAAGTCGAGATCCAGGAGCGGACTGTTGCTGTGTGGTAGATGAGGGGGGCTTTCGATAATAAAGGACCCATAATTTCGACCCCAAATTGTAGGATCCCCTTAGAATAAGGACCCCAAGAAGGTGCCCCGAACATCGTAAACCCCCATAAAGTAAAGGTTGTTCGCAGAAACATGCGGGTGCTCTAGTTGTACTAGTTGCTGTGCAGGAGTGCTCCGAAGGAAAGCATAGTCATGGCTCGTGCATGACCACGCCGAACAACTTCCAGCACTGGCAGTGCAGAGAACTTGGCCTGGCCTTGAACTGTCAGCGTTGCTTCCTCTAGCACTTCACCGACAGAGAAGCACTCAGGTCAAGAGTGTCGCTATGACCCCAATGCCGTTGGAAGTGACATGGACATGGGCTTGGATGATACCGCTGAGCGTGAGCGTGCCTTGACTGCAAGCTGCTAAACCCTAAACCCTAAACCCTAAACCCTAAACCCTAAACCCGAAACCCTAAACCCCAAAACCCCAAAACCCTTTTAGAAACATCCTGAAGCGCCCGAGAGCCGATCCCGCCAACATCACCAACATCTGCTTAAGTAGGTAACAAAGAAGGCTGTGTACATTCATAATGGGATTCTTATGACAGTTTGTAAGTAGAACCCGTGTACCTGTAGAATGGGATTCTTATGACAAGTTGTGTGCATGTTTCTTTTTGCCTGCGCCGGCCAGCACTCCAACAGGCTATGATTACGATCATGACTCAAGATGACTATGATTATGTGTGTGTGTGCGTGCGTTGGGCCCTACAACGGCCCCCCTTCGCGAATGCCAGAGTCCAGAGTTCTTGAGGTGCCCAACAATGGAACGAGCTATCGTATACGAGCCGAAACATTGGGGAACATGTGGGATCTTAGGGACCTAGCTGTGATCCGCAAGGCATGTGGCAGATGCTTGAGCGGCCCGCCACCCCAAGGCATCTACACGTCGCTGCCGCGCTTCAAAGTGCTGCTGACAGACGTGGAGTCTCCAGAGGGCGACGTTTTTAACCAGCCGCGGATTTTCCTCTTGAGCTCCACCGCAGGAGCCTCGAAAGATGCGGCAGAGATATCGCACTTGACTGCCGCAGCTAGGTCACGGGTGCGCGGAGGTGTGCCCTCTTGAACCCTTGAGGTCAAGCAGACCGGCATCTGGAAGAAGCTGTACATGCCGGATACGGGCAAGTACAACCTACCCGTTCCAGTATCAGCGCCCACACTGTCGCCGGATGATGTGGACGGTGAGGCCATGGCCCGAACCATCCCCACCCCATTCAACCCATCCTAACGGACTTCAACTCTTGCCTCCGAGGAGGGCTCCACTGTGACCGAGGCCTACACGAAGCAGGCGAAGGGGAGGGGATGGCGCACACAGGGGCTCACGAGACCCACAAAATCTCCATGGGTCCTCCTTCGGCTCTCCTTCGCATCCTTACTCAGATCAAGGGTCTAGTTGAGGCACTTCTAGAAGTCTAAGCCCTAGCCTAGATAACGCTCCAGCAGCCCTGACACCTCCTTCTTCTGTCGTGATTTATGGTGTGAAGCGTTGCGGGCGGGAGTCGTGATGGCTTGCCTCACAGAAGACGACATCGAAGCTTCGTCAGCCCGTATTCTAGTAGACACTGTTCGGATTGCGATCGGTTTGGGTTTCGGTCTCTGCCCATGGATGCTCACTCAGAGGTGTGCTCCTGGTGAGATGCGATCCGGCGCCCCCCAACGGGAGACAAGCAGTAGAGCTGCAGCATGCTTCCGTGCAGCACGATTCCGACGGACGACGCTGTCTCACGAGCGCTTTCCCAGGTCTTGTAGTTAGTGCATGGGAATGATCAGCAAAGGATGAGACCCAAGTAACACCAGACACGAAGATGGCATCCCTAGCAGCTACACGAAAGGGAGGTTGAGACGCTTGCAGGCCATGGTCTTGATGGAGCCCAGCCGGCTGAACATCGAGCCGGGTTGGTGCTTCGGACAGCAAGGACCATTCTCGGCTGGACAATTTCGTGAGGAGAGCAGAGGAATGAAGCAAGAATTCCTTCATCGTTCATGATCAGATTGTTGATGTCCCGATGCGTTGTCTGTGTCAGGGCTAGTGCATGCTGCTCATATAACCAGCCTGAGCAGTGTGAGACATCAGAGACGAGCGGAAAAGTGGATGCGTATTGGTGTCTCCCTGATTCCCGAGCTGTGAGTGGGACTGAGTGGGACAGAATCTGTCTGCCGCTGCTCTTTCGCAAAGCGGCGAGGACCCCTGTACCTGGTGGCCTGTGCTGTGAATGCAAGCCTCTACGAAGACCCGAACTTCGAGAACTTCACGCCAGGCTGGCCTTGCAGGGTGCTCCACTCGTGAGGGCTTGTCATGACCATGGCACGGTGGCAGATTGATATTCCTACATCCCCCTTGGGAATTATTTTTTACTTTTGTTCATATAAAGCCCAAGGGGATATGAAAAATACTATTTTTGTTAAGGTTCTAAGGGGATATTAAAAATACTATTTTTTTATCAAGGTTCCTAAGGGGAGGTATATATATATATATATTGAAAATACTCTTTTTTTGAGGTTCTAAGGGGAGTATAGATTAAAAATCCTAAACCCTAAACCCTAAACCCTAAACCCTAAACCCTAAACCCTAAACCCTAAACCCTAAACCCTAAACCCTAAACCCTAAACCCTAAACCCGGGGAGGCCAGCGAGTGGCTCCCCCGCCCTTCAACGACCGCTGCGTGGCCGTGTCCGGGCGCTGCGGCGGCGCGTGCCAGTCCTGGAACACGGAGCTGCTCACGAGGTGGGGTTTAGGGTTTAGGGTTTAGGGTTTAGGGTTTAGGGTTTAGGGTTTAGGGTTAGCAGGTAGATGCAGGTGGGTGGGATTGAGATTTGGGCTTGAGACCGATGCCAGTTGCACTGACGACGGCTACATCTTGCAGTCTGCGCTGGTGGAGCACATCCCTCCGCAGCTTTCCTTTAAGCATGAGGTCGGGGGCGAACATGCAGGGGGCATGTTGCGCGTTGCCAATGAACAACCCAGGCAGAAGAACGAGGAGATGGCAGTTTGGGTTTTTGCCTTCCTGCTGTTGCCACTTGGCTTTCTTGGCAGAAGCCGCCTCATTCCATGTGCAAGGTGTCCATGGCTGAATGCTGCATGTTGTGACCCTGGCCAGGCTGGGCTTTGCCGTGAAGGTGGGGGTGCTCTGCCCAGGGATCTTCCGATCCTACAAGCACCTCCGCAGGCGCTCCGGGCAGTTTGCGGGCAGTTGCAAAGCGCTGCAAACAGATAGGCTGATGGGGTATCAGGGCAGTGAAAGGCTTAGGCTGCTTTGGCTGCTTCGGCCGCTTAGGTAGGCGTCCATCTGTCACACTCACACTCACACACACACACACACACACACACACACACACACACACACACACACACACACACCACACACCACACCCACACACCACACCCACACCCACACCCACACCCACACCCACACCCACACCCACACACACACCCAC